AACTTCCTAATACTTGCGCAAAAGCTGCAAAGTAATAAAATAATTATTTGTTGACTAATGTAATATTGAGTATATTAACTCCTTATATAAAGTTAGTAGAATTGTATTTGAATCAACACAGAAGCATTAAATTGAACACCGAAAAAAATTATATATATGTTACTGTGAACGACCGAAATTGGAGAATGTCGACTTTCACCGGAGAATATCAACATTCACCAAATACGTCGGTGAAAGACCGAATATTTCCTATTCTTGTATATTCGGACCCTCACGGTGTATGTCGACACTCACGATATCTCTTGAAAGTCGAAAAGAGGGTCATACATGCCATAATAGGTTAAGTTTTCAATAATAAATTTTAATCACATAATTTATAAGTTTTTTATACTGTTATTTTTTTCTCATTTAAACGTACTGTTAAGGTAGTAATTTACTTCTATTATTTTCCTTCTCATTTTGAATGTATTGTGTGTTTTAGGTTCTCATGTTCTAAAAGTTCTTCTTTCAGTCTCAGTGCGTTTATAGGCGACTGAATTACGAGATGAAAATATAAAAGTTTATATTAACATCATGGTACTGGTGAATGTCGACATTGACCGTGTAAGTCAGAATAGAGTATTTGGGAAATATTTCGGAATACCCAAGAGACATGTGATGTTACTCACCGTTGAACTCGACATTCTCCAGATTTCGGTGTTTCACCGTAACATATATATTAAATTAAATTAAATTAAATATTATATTTAATTAATTTTAACATATTATATAAATTAAATATATAATGTTGCGTGCGTATGGGTTCGTAATAAATTGAATGCACAAGTCACACAAAAGTGAATAAAATTTATTCTTATCACAACAGATAAAATAGTACAGTATCGCAATATCTCAGAATATTTATCTTTTAAGCTACTAAAACGTTAAACAGAACATAGTTCAAAAGAGAAAGCTAATCTGATTTCACTGCGAATTCGTTACAGTAAACACAACAGTTATTCAAACAACAACTGAATTGAGATGTTTTCCTCTGGCTTTTATAAGCTTTTTAGAATCACGCACTGGAATCGTCTCGTATTTTCTCGATTTTTCTGGATAGCAAAAGAGTACAATTGAGAGACATCTATCATTAAAATGTTAAATGCGCGTGCTCCTATATTTCAAATTTTTTGATTGTATTTATAATAGTGTTTTTAATATTTACGGATCGATTTTGCAATTAATGAATTAGTTTCTGAGAAAAAAAAAAATAAAAAGCACATTTTTATATAAAATTCTTTTCACTATTTTTCAAATCCCATTCTTGATTCTATTTAGTACATAATTTTAAATAAGCAGTAAAATTATTAAATAATTTAGTCCATATCTGAACAATTAGTTTTAGGACTTTAGTAAAGGATATATTAAAATGCAAACTGACTAACTGTGTGATTCATAAATCATTTCAAATTCTTAAAAATTTATTACTAAATTTCATGCTGTTAATAAAATAAATCTTAGTTCTCCTCAATTGATAATCGATATAATTAAAGCTTTTTCTGAAAACTTACTGGCTGAAAATTGCAAAAAATCATAAAATGCAGTAGATTTTTCTTATTTTTTTTTTTTTTTTTTTCTTTACACGCTCAAACATTTTATTATAATATATTTATCTGAATTATCTGAATTATTTATATGTATTTAACGCTTATAATCATTATTAATATATTATTTGTCGTTTTATCTTTTTTTAAAAAGCAATTTGAAATTTATCAGACATAAACTTTTATTTAAAACACTCAGCAGCTTATGTGCTTCTTCTCTTATTTTAGCCATTTGTTCTCCTATTATTGCATTTTTATTATTTATTTCATTTTAATTATTAAAGAGTTTAATAATGCTTGTCCAGACTATTTCATAAGCTACAGTCAAAACTTGATCATTCATTACACCACCTTTCTGTTCGTATCTAATCACAGAATTAGATTTTTGAATACGTATAGCCAAATACACCTAAAATTATTAACTGACTCATATAATTATAACTGCCATTTAAGTGAAAAAAATTTTTTTTCCAACTTTATTTGTATTAAATAAATCAGTATATACACATAACATATTCTCGATAGTTGGATCATATTTAATTACACTCTTTTCATTACACTGCTTTTATAACTATTGAAAAATTAAGAAGTAAAAAAAAACCTGAGGAGTGTGGCCTAATAGGTTCAAAATTTTATAAACCTATTATGCATTTATTATCGTCATATAATTCAAATTTCTCTCAGTAGTAAGGTATTAAGGTACTTTTCAGCAAAAAATTTAAAAATCGGTAATTTCATTGATTTTGGGGTACCGAGTCCCCTTAAGTAATTTAAAAAGTGTGTTTTGTTTTAAGAATGGGTAAAAAAATTGTAAAATGCACACTGTAACGTTATGTGAAAAAATGTTGCAAATTAATAGGTAATGTAAAATATTATGGATGTAAAAATTAAAAAGTTTTTCAAAAAGCACTAATATAATTACTAATACAGTTACTAATATTTTGAAGTAAAATTTAATTTTAATTAGTAGTTTATTTAGTATTTTCAAAAATTTTTTCAACATTATTCTACTCACGAATATCTTTGTCCTACTGCTCCTCCTTTTGCTGGTCCTCTTCCTGCTCCTCCTCCTGCTGCTCCTCCTCTTGCTGCTACTCCTCCTCTTGCTGCTCCTCCTTCTCCTGCTCCTCCTCCTCCTGCTCCTCCTGCTCCTCCTCTTCCTGCTCCTCCTACTGCTGCCCCTCCTCTTGCTGCTCCTCCTCTTCCTGCTCCTCCTCCTGCCGTTCCTCCTCTTACTGCGCCTCCTCCGTCTGCTCCTCTTCCTCCTCTGCGCTCTCCTCCTGCTCTGCTTCCACGTCGCTGCTCCTCCTCCCGGCTGCTCCTCCTCTCTGCGCTTCCTCCTCTGGGCTCCTCTTCTGGCTGCTCCTGCTGCTCTCCTTCTGCTGCTGCTCCTCTCGGCCGCTCCTCCTCCTGCCGTCCCTCCTCCTCTGCCGCTCCTCCTCCTCCTCCGCGCTCCTCCTCTTCTCCTCTGCCCTTGGGAGGAGCAGCAAGAGAGAAGAGGTCTTATTTATTTTTATTACATTCAATCTTTTTTCTGAATTTATGAGAGATTTCTTCTGGTGGACTGATTCACGTGTTTTAATATTTTCCCTTGGCACACACCAAATGCCTGCTGGTTGATTGCTGTTTTCGAAGCAAAAATGTTTGACATCTGTATCATGACTGGTAATATAAAAGCAGCTACAGCAATTAAAGATTTACTGAAACACACTCGTAATTTAGTCCATCATTGACGGTTATGGCGACTGCAGATGAAATTGCTGGAAAGGAGAATAAAATGTGTTATAATTACTAAAACCTGACAGTTAAGATTTTAACTATGCTTTGAAGCAATTTAATTTCTAGGCAATTTATTTGGCTGTGTAAAATAACACAGCACTCAAAACGAGAACGTACTATAAAAAAGGGAAAAGAAAGTCTGAAAGGATTTAGATTGTAACTTCGCATCAGACAGTTTGTTAAGGTTCTTTTTTCTGTTGCCCCTGAGCTCGCGGTTTATCTGCCTGCTCTTGGACTCACTTCTCCTGACACAACTACTTTTAACTTTTTATAACCATTATTAGTTTATTGTTGTTATTGTTATTTAAGAAAAGAAATGCAAAACCTCACCTGTTCCACCAGATAGGTCATGAGGGTTGCAGAAGTAAGTAAATACGTCAGCAATACATAAGAACTATAAAACAGATGAATGAAACAACACAATAATATATGACACCTAGATCTGGAGAGAATTACAAATATATTGTTTCGGATTTTGTATTTAGTTAGCAATTTTTAGTAAAATTGTAATTAAAATCGTCTTATTTCCCCGTGTAGTGCAGCGCGTGAGGAGTTTTAAGGTATCCGAACGCATTGAAAAGGCCAATTTTCGCAAAAAAATGACAATTATCTTTTATTTGTTCATTGGATGGATTGTTTATTTAGGTTTCCAAAAATGCTTTTGTTCTACGTTAATTAGAAACCGAGATATTAAGGATGTCATAAAGGCGCAGAAAACCTGAAATGGGCATTTAAATTACCGGAAGTGGGCATTCAAAGCGTTGAAAAGAGCTAGAAATGGACATAAATATTTTTTTATCTTTGAAATGTAATGTAAAGACTTTTAAAGAGAGGGAATTAAAAGAATCTTATCTGTAATCTGTGCAGCAACAAGAAATGACATACCAGAATATTTATATGTTAAATATTTTTTAATTGAGGCCTGTTATTTAAATAATAACGTTATGAATTATCGAAAATCTCATAACAATTTCAAAATTCTAAATTTTTTTTATTTTTTAAATATCTTTAAAAATCGTATATCATTAACAAGATAAAAGTATGTAATTTATTATTCTATGACTTTTTTAACAGTATCTTTAATATTTTTTCATATAGAATGTTTCAAATTGTTTTAATGTTTGCTTAAAATTTCACGTAAATTTAACATTTTTTGCAGCAGAATAATAGCATATATTAAATTTTGATATTCAATAATCAATCTCTATAGATAATATTGAGAAAATGTATTTATTTTATATCTATAGTGCTTTTTTGAAAAAAAAAAAAAAAAAAAGCTTCGAACGTCGTCCGATAAAAAAGTTTTAAAATGCCGGAGAGAAATATCTCAGTTCAGTTGTTTACATAACTGTTTTGTTAACTCTAGCGAATTTGCAGTGATATCGGATTAGCTTTCTCTGTTTGGATTGCCTTTTATTTGACGTTTTGGTAGTATAAAATGTAACTACTGTGTGATATTGTATGATATTGTGATATTGTAAGCATATCTAAGAGGAAAAATCCAGCATTGTGTTTTATTTCTTGTGATAAGAATAAATTTTGGCGCTCCCCCTCGCCCAGGCGCCCTTGTCGGTGAACACTTTTGCCCCCCCCCCACGCAGCGGCCCTGGCTTTAGAAAATAGGAAACAGATAATAAAATAAATTCGAAATTCAAAATTCCAGCTTCCAGGTGCCCATATTCGGGTGGAGGACTACGTTATTCAATATTCGATAGCTCTAGGTATCGTTGCTTTTTCACAGTACGAGAAACATACCAACATTGCTGCAGATTTTTTTTATTTAATTTCTTTAAATGTAATACAGGTCGATAATATTTGGTGGCAACAGTTTGAAAAGTGATTCAGCATCTGTCGTTTTGATATTAATATCCTTTTACGGCTAACGACACTTTGGGCTAAAAAAATGTTTGTTGTAAGCCATCGGAGAAAACTAAATAACTGAAACTGAAAAAAGACTGAAAAAGAAAATGTAGGCCAACGCTTAATACTGTATCAGGAATTCTAAACATAGGCTGCTGTTAGAATTTTTGTGATTTTGCTGGTGAATTGTACTTGAGTTAAATTCGAAGAAAAGAACATTTAATAATAAAGCTAAAAAGGTACGTTAAAACAAAAAAAAAAAAAAAAAAAAAAAGGGGGATGTTAGACTGAGTTCAACAGCAGAAACAAATCAGTGAGAGAGTAAAATCCTTAACCAACCCTTTTAGACTAAAAAGCTTTCAGACTTTTTTTCTTTTCTTTTTTTTTTTTTATCTTTTTTTATTGCTAACGTTTTGTGTGTTGACTTTATTTATTAAATATCACTTCTCAATTTTTTTTATTAAACATAATTAATTTATTAAAATTCAGTTCAATATCAAAATCAAAAAAATATTTAAAAATGGCATAGCTTTAGAATTTTCGGTAGACAGTCTAGGGAGCTGGTGGCAAAATTGTTTTTATTCCATACAATGTTGCCACTGCTTGCTTTAAAATCGTTAATTTTGATATCACAAAATTCACTAAAGTTTTACAAAATATGAAATGAATAATGAAAAGGTATATAGCATCCATAATTCTGTGAAAATAAGCTAAATGCTGAATTAAATACATTTCTTTTATTTAAATCAATCCGATTGATAAGTGAGAAGTGCATATTCTTAAGAATTGCATCTGTTGCTTTGAGATAGCTTAGTTTCTTAATTCACAGCTGAGAGATTTATTTTGAAAGATAAATATCTTACATTTTGCCAAATGGCAACAGACACGAAGGAAAAGTGAAACGACGCATTTATAGTGATTCGTCACAAAATCCCATTTCAAGACTATTAGCTTATTTGGAATAAAAATGCATTTTGTTAAAAAGATAATAATAATACTAAAATTACATTTTAGTAAGCGTTAAGTACTCTGCTGACAGCAATACAAGAGTCAGTACTTGATGAGACATAGAACAGTTAAGCATTTAATGCTACTCTGCAGAAAATTTTCCCTGAAATTTCGCAACTGCTAAGAGGTATTCTGAGAAGGCTCCAATTTACTTCCCAGATAAATGCCTCCCTGTATATGTACATGCAATCATATATTTTTTTTATTATTAATGTTATCTTCTAAAGGATACTCATTTTAATCCGCAACTAATATCTCTATAAGTTTTGAGATATTTAAGATTTCCCGTAGATTCTTTAAATTGCCCATTGTATGGTTTCATGATGAATTTAAATTTAGTCCTATTTAGAGTGGGACGCTACTTGTAGCTGGTTTTCTGGTTATCGTATTCTGAAATGAAGTTTTTTATTATTTTAACTTAAGTGAAATATGAAGCATAGCCCGGGCGTTAAGCAGAGTTTTATTTAGGCTGAAGCGATAGTTTTTCAGAAATGTCAGGACCAGTGATTTTCCACTTATTTTGTTTCAAGATGAATTGAGCAAGATTTTATTAAACTGGAAAATAACTGTAGGGTGTCGCAACGGTTTTAGTGAGAATTAGTGCTTGCATTGTTATCGGTTATGTCTTTTTCCGGAAATGAGCTGTCAAAAAATCAGTCTCTGCTTTGGCCGATTTATTCACCATTTTCGAAATATTCACGAAAAAACGGATAGAGAGTACACTTAAATTATAATTTAATATTTCTACACAGTTGTAAAACGAAACAGTAAACGAACTTGCACATCAAACTGTTTTAGTGAGAACTTTGAAATTTTAAGAAAGTGTTAGACACCCAATTATAAAAATTAATTCTTTTAATAAATTAAAATATAGTGTTAGAATAACATTAATATTAGGATGAATAAAGTGTATACACGAACTTGTAAAAACAGAAGGGAAAAGTTCTTTTTTACAGTCGCGCAGAGATGAGATTCTTATTGTGCATGCGCGAGGAGGAGAACTCGAGACGCTGAAGAAATGGGGGGGGGGGTAATGGTAACCCCACAGAACCGATAGAGGAACGCAACAACAGCGACGTGAATCTAAGATGGGTGAGATGGTTTCAAAATGGAAACTGTGAGAAATTAATAATTCCTTGTTTAGTGAATAATTCCTTGTGAGAAAATAATAATACTTCCACTGTTAACGGAAAAGCAAAACCTAAGATAGGCGGTATAAACCTAAGATAAACCTAAGACCTAACCGTAAACCTAAGATAGGCGATATGTACCGAAGATTGAGTCATGAGACTAACATACTGATATGAACACTTCGAATGTGAACCCCGTGGGGTGGTTTTCCGAAATCTTATGTAGATAGTGACCTTCCTCTTGTTTAACATCAAGTGGGAAATTTTCACAAAGATCAAAATAAAATCTTAGATATGTATGAATTACATACAAACAAATAAAATGAGTTCTGAGTTGTTTAGGTCAGGGTGAGTTCGGAGACTGATATATCTCCGTATTAGTTTCGTTCTTTAGACGCGCTTTGCATTACGTTGTGTTTTGAACTAAGAAAATATAGTGAATTTGAGTTTCAGAAAGCAGCGCTCCTTTTACTCCTTTTACTTACTTTTGCTCCTTTTACTCTGTATCACGTGAAGAACATCAGTAAAACCAAAAGACGAAAGTAAATGTCAGGTGGCCGCCATCAGTCGACGAAAACGGTGAGTGTCTGGTTGAAGGTCCAAATCAGTGAATTGAAGAATCTAGTATAAGTAAAAAATGTTAAGGATGGAGAATGTCAGATGGATATTTGTGCTTTTCTCTGGGAAATGGAGAACATCTAAGAGAGTTGATACAGTTTTTAGGATGAGTGAGAACTGAATAGAAGAAATTTCTGGCAAGTTTTTGAATATAATCTTGAATTGTATCTACTTTGAGATCACGGTGGATATAAGAATTTGGAATGAACCATGGGCGTTGATGATCTCTCTGAGTGCTTGGTTTTGAAGAACTTGGATGTGTTGAAGGTGAGTTTTGGCAGCGTGGCCCCAGACAGGACAAGCATAGAGTAATGTTGGTCGAAATATAGATTTATATAAGAAGAGTTGTGTAACTACTGTTTGTGCTCTGTGATACTGAGAACAGCTGTACAAGTATTTTTGCGAACAGTTCCAGGACTGTATAGTATTCTTTTGCAAAATAAATTTTATCAAGCTGCAATCGAGTCTGTGACCATTCATTTCATTATGACCTTGTACACTCGCAACAAAACGAATACTCTTCTTTACATGTATAGATGTTAAAAAGAGATGTTTGCGCATGCTCAAATAACAGCCAAACAATACATATTCTTTGTAACAGCTGCTGCCCCGAGCGGTAGAAATGAGTTGAAAAGAATGGCTGAGAGCTGCTGTGTGTGTGATATGGGAACTCAAGTTTTAAAGTTATCATTAAACAATTATAGCGGTGAATGATTGGTTATTATTATATTGTGTAAGTGTCTTCGTAACAACAGGTTTAAATCAATCTAATTCGAGTACGATGAATAAGATTTCTTCAAACACATAACAAGACATTTATCATGAGAAAAACACAAACAATAGGGCTTCATGCGCATCGATGTTGACAATAATCAACCAGATCTAGTTGGCCTTACATGGACACGGTACTTCTGTAAAAGCAAGACACCCAAAACGGTCAAAGACTTCTAAAAAACAATGGACAAAATATAGAAAATTTTGAGGGTAGCCTTAAAACTCAACAAATCATGCTGGTATTCCACTGTTAAATATTTGGAAAATTTCGCGATGGTTATTTAAATGAAAACATGTCGTTTGGAGATGTTCCAACATTTAGAGCTAGGTATTTAAACCCAGAGAAACAAATTCCATGATCGTCTGCAAAAGCATTGCAAATAGTCTTGTTTCTTTACATTAAAAATGTCAGCCAAGAGAACAAAAATATATATGCAAAATGATTTGATTAGCTAAGAACCAAACTGGATATTCTTTGCATACTGCTATTATTTGTATCGAAATAATTTGTATTTTAGTATTACTCATATGTTTGCATAAACTATGCTACTGTTATTGGCGTAGTAATTATTAGGCTATAATTAGTAGCAGTTTAATACTTATTCCATTTATTACAGTCTTCTTGATAATTGAAAAACAAAAACAGTCTAAACGAATGAGAAGATTTTATTTTGGGGAGGGGCCTAGAGAAAGAGAGACAGGAAACAAATTTCTCTAGTTTCCGGTCTTACGAGAAAGATTGAATACGGTTCTTTTGTGAACGACTCTGTTAATTTTAAGCCGACAGTTTAGCGGCATTGTATGTTACAGAGAATTAGCTAATGTGAAATTCAATTAATGCTCTCGTCTAATAATTTGCGTTTTGAGGTCTGAATGCTGTGTTTTTTTTATATATATGTATATCTTTTAAGAACTGTTGTAGCTTTCATAATCTTCTATTGTGTGTTTAGGACATTTGATGCATTTTAGTGATTTCAATATGTTCTACTAAATAAATTGAATTCAAGCTATATTTTTTGTAATATATACGCACTAGAGGCATATTTTTTTATCTAAACTTAGGGTGCTGTTTATTTTCGTTGTTTGAGGGATATTATTTTGTGGATGAATCCTTCTAAACTGAATAAACAAAAATTTTGAACTTCGTTGAATAATTTATCTTTAACGCATGTGATAGAATGTAATTCTTAAAGAAACTCAATTGGGTTATTTCAAAGTGAAAACAATGTTATGAGGGTTTTTATTGTTGTAATCAGAAAAGCGAATGTAAATAGTGGGCATTTAATTGTTACATCATAGTTGCATATATGCAGTATATTCAGAAAAGCATAAATTAACGTACGTATATGGAATTCAAAACTGTATTTTTCTATTGCTGGCTTTGAACATTTTTAATAATACGTATCTACGAAATTTAAAAATTTTATATGATAGTATTCATTGTTTATACATTCTGATAGCAACTTTGATATTTATATTTTAAATTTTAATACTGAAACCTTTAGTAATTACAATTCCTGACATATTTACTTTTTAATTTGGTCAAGAGTAATAATTATCCTAATTTAATTTGCAAAGCTAGAAATAACACATTTATAAAAATATTTGTGATAATTTTAGGCAAATTTTATTTGGAATGAACCTAAATTTTGAAATATTAAAGGAAGAATCAAATAAGTTTAATAAAAAAAAAGGTATTAATAAATATATATCAAATTCAGTTAACACTGAGCAGCTAAAATTTTGACAGCTAATTTTTTCAATTTGTGCGATTTTTACAAAACTTGGCAATTTGGCATAATTTGAGTCCTAGAATCGAAATATGGAAAAAAATTGGCATGTCATTTCAGAAAAAGCCTGATTTATGTCAAAATACCTATATTAGAACAATGCTATATATAAATCTATTGCATATCCTAAATTGCGCTTTCGAGACATGAAAAACGCAAATTGAATTTCGTCGATTGGACCAGTAGAATGGGAGATATAAAGCTGTCCGATTTTTTCTGCATAGTGTACATGGTTTAAAACAACATCATGTCATTCTAGGCAATGAACGAAGGAGGAGAACTAAGCATAGCAGCCATGGAGGTAGGAAGTAAGAAGGAGTCGCCCTAAACAAGTTTCTCCGTATCCTGCTCTGAAGCACCGGCGATCCCTACGTGGTGACCAAAACATTGGGTCATTTACCATTGAGTTCTATGGGATTTGACGCGTTCGGGTGTAAATATTTTGTAATTACGTCGCAAATATACATATAAATGTATATATTTTCTTTTTCTACAACACTTCAGAGTCCTAAGTATGTGAAAACAACATATTTTAAACAACATTTCATTCTGAACGGAATTAAATGCTATACGTTTTCACAGGACAGTTTTTCTCAGAATGGATTTAATTTGAATGAAATATTTTCACAAGTTTTCGTTAATTACATTAGAAAAAAAAAAAAAAAATTATTATTCGATTTTATTCGGTTAAGGTACAAAAATTAAGATCAAGTTTATTGTATTATTAATATAAAATTATGCATTATTTCTTTTCTATTTATAGAGCTTCTTCCTAAAATACTTTCTTAAATATGACATGATTTTTTGGCTTCTTTTAAATCGAAAAATGTAAGTCAATTTATAATTAATGCTCTATTCGGTTCATTTTAAATTAGAGAATTATTAGGAAAATAGTATTTGACTTTCTCTGAACATTTCTGAAAGGGAATAAAATAAGTTTTTTTTTTTTTTTAAGTATTATTTAAAACTTGTAACTGAGTTAATGTAAAATGTAAAGGGAATAATTCTTTTAATTATACTTATCAGATTTTTTTTTTTTACCCTTCATTTCAACAATACATGTTCAAAAACTCTATTACGTTCTTAAGTGCGCATCTCATAGCATTTGCTTTACAATACCTTTTAACAGATTGATTTCCAATACGAACAATTCTTGCTTAAATAGTTTTATAACGTATTTGTCAACAGGATTTCAATTTATGTTTACAATTCAATATTAAGGTTATTATATATTTAGATAACATTTATAATCATTATAAATTAGATACATTTAATCATTAGATTTCTTCACAGTACTATTCACAGTTGTTTATAAGTGAATAAATTCTTCATTTCAAATACATTTATAAATAATTTAATGAATATTTAAGTATTTTGTCAAAGGCAGATACATGCTTTTTGCAAGTACATGCATAAATACCCATACATATTTCCTATTTATTTATCATTTCCGGCATGTGCAAATCTTTAATTCTGTGCATTCACTATATTTTTCGTGTAAAGTAATTTACACTAATTTAGCATACACCCAAAAGTTTTACATAAAAAAATATATATGAATATAATTTGAATGAAAATTATAAGTATTATTTTTAATACCCCACTCAAAGGTCAGTTTTTCTTCAAAATTCCCCCACGATGGCATCTCTCTCTTTAGGCAGATAGCCCTTGCATACGTTACTCTATTTAATAAAAACTTAATCTGACCTATGTGCCTAATTACAAATATTTTAACATACAAATTTTATATTTACATTTAGCCATCAAGTTTCAAACTTTTCAAATCTTCTAGAAAATAAATTTTGGCAGATCTCTTTTTAGCAATTTTCTTAAAATCTATATTTTGCAGTGCAAACAGCTTAGAATTTTATAAAACAAATTCATAATCAAAAATCGCTGTTGTTAGTTATCAAAAAATAACAAAGATGTGATTTTTGCGTAAATGTCAGTAAACTATACAAATTGCTATTATCCATCACACTATGAATGTTTCTTTCATGCGAGAGTGTCCCTTTTTCGATTTCTATGGAACTGTCGTGTGTCGAAATACTATCAGAATTTTGTCAAGCGAGCTTCTGAATGTAAACAAAAAACACCCCGTCTGGTGACCCAAGCTTCAAAGCAGTGCTTCACTTCTAGCGCGGAATGGCCCCTCCTCCCTTTCTTACCTCCATGATAGCAGCACAGAGATGTTTTGCAGATCAGAAGTTGAGAAAAGGTTACGTAATTGCTTGCGAAGTAGTTTTTATACTAGGCAGGTGCATATGTACAGCTAAGCTGTGATTCATTAATTTTAGGTTTTAGTTTTCTTTGCAAGCAGCCTTATGTAAGGATCATATGATTATGGAAAGATCTCAAATTTGGAAGAAGAGGTGAACTTAGGGGGAGAACAAAATTTGGAGTACTCAGTTTTGAAATTGTCAATTATTTCTTAGTGTAGCCATCATATTTTATTATAGTTTATATATATATATAAGAGATTTATAAAGGAATTGTCTTCTTTTAAATTTAAACATGTAAGTAGTGAAGGACACTTATGTGACGGTATTCTTTGCATATCCTTCTTTATGCCACTGGCCACTGTATATCTGATTCTGTTCATTTTCAACTTGTTGGTCATTTTCACTTCCAGTGATGCAAATCCATATTGTTGAAATTAATGCTGAGCATGTTCTGTTTATTTATAAATTATAAATTTTAGTCTTTTGCCTCCATCCTTACACATGTATTCTAATTTGGTGACTTTCCCAAGAAAAATTAAATTGCTGGAACTCTTTTGCAGTAAGTGCACAGTCATTGGTTTAAAATCACTGTCCAATGATACTGCTTTGAGGAAAAGAGAAACATGTATTATTCATTTAGTCAGAAGTTTAAATTTCAGGTGAATCTAATAATTACTAGAAGTTGTAGGTGACCAGTCATCTCAATCTTTGGGCATTCATAAAATTTAGGATATTTGGAAACATATATGTTCTGTAAATTAGTTTTTATTGAGATGCCAATTTTATGAATACCTCCAATAATACTTTATGATTTCTGGATGCCTATTTATCTGAATACTTCCAATAATGCTTTATGATGTCTGGATTTATGTCTAGATGTCATATGCCCTATAAATTTTTCATTGGCTTTTCTTCTGCAGATGCCATGTATCTTGGTACATCCAAAAATGCTTCTCGGAATCTTTCAAAAACTGTGAGTATTTTTTTATCCTTAACAGTCAGTGTCCAGGTTCCAAAAGATCTAATTAAACATTTGTAAATTTTCAGTTTAGTTGTTCTTTTGTTAAAGTATGGTTTCAGATACTTCTTTAAACCAAAGAATTATCAGTTAGCAAGTACTTTTATTTCTGATTATTGTAGTAAAATGCTGACTATTAACAAAAATGAAATAGGAGTGTTTCAATTGCCATATGTTTAGTAGAATTACTTAAATTACCTTTTTTAATGTTTAAGGTACAATGATGACCTTTGAGGGATCTGGCAGGTCCTCTTCAGGACCCCTTCAGTGTATTCTTCTGGAAATTTGTAATTTAAACTAGTAAGCTGGGATTGTAATAAAATAAAGTATGTATAATTTCTTTACATCAGAATATATCATTTATTTTGACATGCCATTTATTTATATACTGCTGCTTTTCGTGTAGGTAATGTTATCTGGTTTTGATCTTATTTCACGGATGGTAGGTAATGTTTCACGAGAATTCCAAACTTTTACTGCAGTTTCTTCCATTGTAGCAAAGTCCTACAATTGCATATTTTAAAATTGAGTTTAGGACAAAAAATATCAGGATTTATCTCTCAAAAGCATCTGATGTTTGAAATACAGCAGGCATGCAAAAATGACAACATCTCTTTGTTAAAACTAAAGAATTTTTATATACATGTTTGGCAGAGCATAGTGCGTTTAGAAAATTTGATTACTTAGGTGGTTATGCTGATGTATACTTTGGGACTTTTCTTGATAAACTGTGCTTTTTATAGTCATCTGTCTTATTTTATTTAGTATTTTTAAAATTGAAGTAAACAGTAATTACAAATTAGAATAGTGTTTGAAATGGATACATTTAATCCATTAAAATCAAGTGTTTAAGGACATACTTACTGTTTAATTTTACAGTAAAAGTCTTAAGTGTTTAAGTTCAAATACTGAAATATTATAAGAATTCTTTTTTTTTTAAATCTCTGTTGGACTTTAAAAAAGAAAAATAAGAAAATGAATTTATTGTCAAAAGTTCATGAATGAATTTATTTACAAAGATGGCTACTTCTTGACAAAATTGCCGTGAAAATACGGGCATTTGTGTATGAGCTTTCTGATTCCTTCTTTGAAGGATCTTGCCATCAAAGATGCAAAAGCCTGGTCATTGTTTTGAAGCTCCTGATTTATCTGGTATCTCTGGCCTCCTGGACAGTTCTTCATTTCAGGAAAGAAATGAAAATCAGTCATGACTAAGCTCTCACAGTGCCTTTATAACCCAGCAGTTTATGGAAGTGTAATCGAAATGATCGACTGCCATTTGAATTGAGTGATTTTCATCTCTTAACTAAGCTGAAGAACTGGCTAGGTGGCCAGAGATTCCAGACCAGAGGAGCTTCAAAACAACATTCAGGTCCATCGTCCCAGCATAGGTGGTAGTATTCTTCATAGGGAAGATCAGAAAGCTTGTTGACCAGTATGGACAAATATCTGTATCTTCACTGGTTTAAATAAAGTAACCATGTTAATGTAGTATCACTTTTGGGAATAACTTCATTATTTTTTTTTATTCTTGTCATTTTTATGATCTGTCAGAGGTTAAAAAAAACTGTCAAACTATTCTCATATTTAGGATATAATTGCTCATTATTTTTAGAGAATTTTTTGTCCGGAGATTGAGAGAATGTCCCTTTTTGAAATGAGGATAGGGGTCATAAATTATTTGTGATCTTTTTATAATTTTGTAAAAATTTTCTTGAGTTTAAAGTGATTTCAAATTAAGAATGTCATTAGGAATGTAGGAAAATAAGAAAAAATGTATCAATTTTATAAATTTCAATGTTTAGGAAAATATATATATTTTACTGATCCTAGAGTTTATTATACTTTTTATTGATACTTTTGGTGTTTTTTATTAAGTTGCAAGTAAATCTAACAAAAATTAACATCCAGTTTTTTTTTTTTTTTTCTTCCTCAGTCTTTGCTAGGTTATGGATTTCGATTTCAAAATACGTACAGCTAATGAAAGAGCTAAAGTCGAAGATTTATTCGAATATGAAGGTTGTAAAGTTGGAAGAGGAACATATGGCCATGTTTACAAGGCAAGACGAAAGGATGGGTTGGTTTGATTATACATTTTTCTTTTTTGATTAAATAGACGGTACTATTCGGTTTTGAGGACCGTCAAAAATTGCCAAGCTATTGTTGATGCCAGTGCTGCCAAAAATAATTGGGGCTACCCTAACCCAAGAAAGGAAATAATAGTAAATAACTATGTAAGATTGATGTTTTCATTTAGATAAAAGGTTAGTTTCATACAATAATTTTTATAAATATAATTTATATAAAAAAGGCTAAACATGACTGAATGGAAGCATAAGAGTAAATAACTATATCAGATCATTATTATAATTTATATAAAAATTTCTAAACACAACTGAATGGATGCCTGCATCACTATTTCGCTACCGAGTTATCGCTAAAGCATAATTTCATCTCGTTGGTTGTTCAAACATAATTTTCTATAATGAATGACATATTTTCTTTGAAAAAATTCTTGGTAAAGTGTAGAATCGCCCACTTATTTGTTTGCCGCTTTTTACAAGGGTAGAAACAATTAGAATTTTGTCAATTTTCCTTTACTTTTTAAGTGAAAATAGTTCGATGTGTACATAGATAAAGTCAAGGGTGTGTGCAGTGCCATTTTTATGCAATTCTGGGATTTTTTTTTTTTTCAAGTGAAAGTAGGTTGATGTGTACATGGATATCGAGTGTGTGCAATTCTTAAAAACGCTTCAAGCAGTGGGTGATTCTAGACTTTACTCAAAATTCTATTGCAGCCTTTTCATCATGGGCAATTCCCAAATTGTTAAATCCATAGGATATCAAAAAAGGATTTAAAAATTAAACTAGTATTTCACTGGCATCTTAAGAAATATAGAACTATATAAACTTACGCAATCTGAAATCAGCGCGTACGCTAGATTTGGCGCGCTGTTAAATGGACGCATTTGCTAGATTTGGTGCTTTTGCGCATACATTTTCGCTGCAATTTTTTTTTATGGTTCTCAAAACGGAATAGTACCAGATAGACTTATTTAGTGAAAAATTGGAATATTATATGCTGGTAACCATTAAAATTGCTACACTATGAAGGTGGCATGTGAGAAAAATCAATTTCCATAAAAGGTAATGTGAGGGGGTATGCAAATGGTTAGCATTTCAGGGTACGTAATAGGTATGAGTCTCAATATATGCTTTGTGTACAAATAGAAAGATTATACGAGAAGTTTTTCATACTATCTGATCCTTCTCTAGGAGCTTATTTAAGGATTTTTTCAGCTTTTTAGGTCCCAATTTAAGGGGGGGATTTGAAGTAACTAGAAAGTGCTACTCAAAAATAGCAACGGAATGCCAGTTTAAATCCTGGAATTTTAGTTTGTCATTTGGAAATTGGGAAACATTTATGTTATGAGGACTGGATTAAAAAATGTATCTATGCATGTGTCTATGTATACATGAACATAGATATACATGCATAGATACATTTCTGAATTTGGTCCCAATAATAGAAGAGTACTGGATATTGCATTTGAACATCAGTTGTTTTTGTAGAGGTAACTGCCTCGTGTATGAAGGAGAAAATTTTAGTAGCACATATCAGAATTTGATTGGATTGTGGTCTATCGGGACTGCAATTTACTGTTCTGCGACAGTGCTGCTAGTGTTGGTCAAAATCCCATAACTGATAGGGGAATATGAAATTGATGGGTTCAGGTGGGTCATTCTGAATGCCAAACAGAATATCAGTGGTTATGGGCTGCTAATACCCGACAAGGCAGTTTTATAATCTTGGCCTTTGTTGTTAAGATTCTTAAGCAGGATATGATTCAACGTGCTATGGGTAAGCGTTGAAAGATTGTGTGGGAAGAAACGACTTTCATTTCCACTTTTCCAAGAAAGACAGCAGTAGCTCTATTTAGACATCTGACCGAACATGACTGTTTGCGAGACCACCTCTACAGAATTGGAGTGATGGATTTCCCACTTTTTCCACAGTGTATTTTGTGTTACTCCAATCAGCCTATGATTTTTGAGCATTTAAATAACTGTATTGACTTTCTCAATATGAGGACATTGTTAAAAAGTACTGGAGAACCCATGAATTAATGGCTTAAGTGCTAATGGTTTAAGATTTGTAAAATAAATATAATTTTGGCCTTGCAAGATTGTACAGCTATGTGGCTGAAATTACATTATGTTGCATGGCCTGAGTTGGGAATGTGGCTCCTGTGCAGGAGGATGTCTGCGTGAATGGTGTGATGATGTCTGCAACACCACGGACTGCCAGAACAGTGATAATTATTGTGCAGAGACGAGCATGCCTACAGTTGTGTTACACTGGACACAAGAGTGGCACCAAATCAACTTTTCAAATGAATCCTGGTTTGGCCTTGTCAGAGGTGGCAGCTCTGCTGAATTCTGCACACTGTGTACTCCAAACAACCTTTTAATTGAATTGTCTTTTTATCTTTTTACAGTATGTGTACAATAAATAATATTGTGCTATTGGCTTTCCTTCTTGGTGGAGCAATTTTAATGGTCGTTGTATTTGTTTAATTAAAGTAACAACTTCATAACAATTGACTCATTTGCATAAAGTGATTAAAAGCACTAAATAATTTTTCTCACTGCAGAACAGATTAATGCATTCTCTGTCGATCAAGCTCTGGCACGTGATTGGCATTATTTGCTGAAGAGCCAGTCGCGTTCTGATGCTTAGGGTGGGATGATGTCTAGGGTGCCAGTCACGCACTGGCACGGTAAAAGCAGCGTCTCATTGTTTATTTTCAAATTCAATTGCATTCTGCTTTGAATATGTGTCCTGGTATTGCCATAGAGTGAAGGTGTGAAGGTTAAAAACTAGTTGTAAATGTATGTGGTTTGGAATGAAAACAAAGTTTCATTTCATGCAAAGCTCATACACAAATAACATTCTGAAATATATATTTTGCAATAATATCTTTGTAACTATCTTATAATAAATTCATTTGTAATATATATATATTTGTTTGTGATATAGCATACAAAAATAGTGCATGTTGTTACATATTTTGAATCCTTTCTAAATGCCAGCGCATCTGCCAGCATTGCAGAAATCATTTTACCTTTAGTGACGATCATGCACAAGCGCATAATCATAAAATTCTATTATTAAAGGCATAACAATCAATGTAGTTTGCATAATAATCTTTTATTGCCACTTTTAAATCTTATGTCTTGTAATAAGTAAGTCGGCATATGGGTTAAATCTATTTCTGTGACACAGCATTAACTATCAACGTAACCTCATATGACCGGCAGCGAAACTATTAACTGTACTGGTTTTCCCTGTCTGTGAATAATGTAGATACAGTCTTTAGTTTCCTTTTGAAGAGTATCCTGAGGCAAATTTTATATAGCCTCCTTTGTCTTTATTAATTGTTTGCATTTGAGGAGGAGTATTAACTGCTGCTAAATAAAGAGAGACTCCTATAGTTAATAAATATATTTGATATAATTTTAGATCCATATTTTGGTATTGTGAATTGTCAGTATTTATCCTTTTGATTGCTCATCCCACGATTACTACAGACAGCATGAAATAAAATTTACTCATCTCATTATCTTTGCTGGTATGCAGTTGTTCCCTATATTTAAAAGTGTATTCCATTTAACCCTGAAGCATTATTAATGTATTTATTTGGAACTACTCTTATATATGCCCTCACTTGGCAAAAAATTTCTCTCCAAATATTTTTGGCGTGAACCTTCACTATCTAAATTTTTTGTCTACATATTGAACTTAACCTACATTAAAAAAGCCTAAAATGTCTCCAAAAACGCAGTTTTCGCATATGCAAAAACCTCGTTTTGAACTCACAATTTAAGCTAAAAATCCCAAACAAAAAATTTAGATAGCAAAAACATCAAAAATATTTAACAAGAATCCATGTACACAGCGATATGTTTTAACTTTAAAAAAATCTACGAATTGCACAATCTAGGCAGCGAAAGAATCTATAAACTACGCACACCTCGCTTTAATAAATTAACATAACAACGATAAATTTCAAAGAATACCATGTACACAGCATTCTGTTTAAACTAAAAAAAAAATCTACGAATTGCACAATCTAGACATTGTGCACAAATCAGCAAAATAAACTAAAATAAATTAGAAACAATTCAAAAAGAGCACTAACAACAGAAGTTCATGGTAAAAAAACAATGAACATAACGTTCTACAAAATAAAAACAATAAAATAAAATGCACTAACCATAATGAATGCTTCTTCGAACAGCAGAAATATCACCAATAACACAACGTCTGTGAACAAAAGTACCACGATTTTGCTATATCACGTGTCTTTCTGCAATTAAAAATTTCAAAAGTAATGATAAAAACTTCCTCCAAAGTTAATTTACTACATGAAAACCCCAATCCAAATCTTGAACATTGCTGACAGCCCCATACTTTACCAGCAAACATTTCACTGCAAACCCACACAAGTCTATTAGAAATGCCATTCTTCGTCTGAGTTCTCATATCAGCTCCATATTTCGGACACGCCAAACTCCGTTTTAAAAGCCCTGACTCCCACAGAAATTCCAAAAATATGCTTCAATCAACATAAACACACCAGTTAACAAAAGACTCGTTAACAACTCCAACATAATACCTTTTAATACTAAATTTACTCTAAAATACACAACTGAAATCTTGTCACCATGTCTCTCATTGTAACATAGGCTATTTCAAAACATGCATAACACGAACCAATGAGCAAATAAAACCACTGCAGCAAAAGAGTAAGTTTCAACGTCAAAAGGGTTGCCAAAACACGCTATTGTGCCAAAAAACTGTGCAGAACACATTTGGCGACGTTAGGGCATATATAAGAGTTGAGCCATTTATTTTAATATTTAGACTTATTTTATTTATTTAGTCTTATTTTGGTCGACAGATGACATCACAGCAAGTGATAAAATGTATATTCCTGATGATATCTATGATGCTGAAAGTAATTTTAGTTGTTTTGAAGACGATAACAGTGAAATGGATTGCTGTTTCTTGGACTTATCTCCAGGCAGTGAAATTGAAAGTGATTAGATGACCATCCAAAATGTTTTGCAGTGGTGCAAACTGGATGTGATAAATATTTCACCATCTCCTTTTTTTTTGACAGTCCAGGAGTAACCGTGAATATGAGAAATAATGCAACTATTTTGAGTATAATAGTATTGAGTATATTCATTAATATACATACTTTAGATTTATATTCTACAAAACAGGGTTTCTTAAAGGGGGTCGCGGGACCTGCAGCTGGGAGTCACCAAAAATTTTAGCAGTTTTGATATTTCTTTAACTTATTATAGTAATTTTACAGTTACCAAATATTTTTACACAATGCATCTGAAAATAGATAAAGATAAGACAATGTAGACAAAGGAAAAAAATGAAAATCTTTTGATGCATTCTTTTTATAATATAAACGTTCATTTTCCTTGCTTTGCACATGACACTGTCAAATTCATCTGTTATTTATATAAAATTTTCACATTGTTCTATGTCTTAAAATTAATTACCTAAAACTGCAATAGTATATTACAGTACAAACAAAAAAATTGACAGTTTCATTCACACGTAGCTCAGATTTGCACAATCCTTATGGGGTCTCACAAAATTTTTGTAAATATTATGGGGTCCTGGGGGTCGCAAATGGAAAAAGTTTTAAGAAACCCTGCTATAAAAGATGCTAAAGTCATAGCTAACACTGGAAGTAATAAATAAAGCAGGCAACTCATAATATCACAATGTCCTTTATTTCATAATATCGTAAAAACTGGCATCAAAACAGTTCACAGAATGCAAATTATAAAATTACATCATAACAATAAGGCTTACTACATTCTATTGATTGCATTATTGGTATCCTAAAATTCACAATTCTAAATACATTAAAAACAACTTCTTGCCTTTTTTTCAAAATAAGTCTTACAACTTTAGATTTCATTTTAAATTGTATAGCGAATCTTTGCCATCCTGAGTTTTAAAATAAAAAGTAATTAAATTTTTTAAATATAATTTCCAGTGATTTTTAGCTCAGAAGGGCTATTAATTTCCTTTTGGCATTTTGCATTGAAAACTTTAAAAGGCTGTATCACTTTTCAAATTGCTGCCACCAAATATTATCGCCCGGTGTTATATTTAAAGAAATTAAATAATGAAGAATCTGTATGAATGTATGTATTGTGATAAAACAACCATCAAACCATCACCTAGAGCAATCAAATTTTGAATAATATAATCCTCTACTCGAATATATGGGTATCTGGAAGCCCTAATTTGGAATTTGTTTTATTATCTGTTTCATATTTTGTAAAACTTCTCAAATTTTTATTAACAAACTCGACGATTTCAAAGCGAGCAATGGCATAAATGTCGGGTAGGGGGAAACATTTTTATCTCCAGCGCATGAGACTTTGTATTTAATAAATAAAGTTAACACACAAAATGTTTAAAAAAAAAAAAAAAAGGCCCATTCAAGCATAATATAAAATCTGAAAGCTTTCAGATTTTTTCCCATTTACTTATGTCTTTTTAAATATTGAATTAGTATTTTCATATGTTAGCAGTTCATATAAACTTTGTGAATAAACAGGTCTGAGAAGCAAAAAAATTCACCAAAGATTTGAACCTTTTGTACAACTCCAAGCAGTAATAATTTTTTCAGGTGTAGGTATCCTGAGAAAATCTGGATATTTTCACCAATTTTTCTTTCAGATATAAATAGTATAGTGAATAAAAAAATAGTAACACATAGAACTCTGTAAAAATAAAAATTGATCGTAATGGGTGCATAAATATGTTTGTAAAGGAAACATTGGTCAGCTACTTCACACAATTTTTTCTCTTCACCTTTTCGGATATCAGATTGTAATCTAAATAATATAAAGTAGATCTGTGTTTGTGAGTGTGCCCCAGCACCTGGTAAAGTAACTTAAACTCCAGTTGGCACTTTTAGTGAGATTTTTTAAAAAGATCACCAAACTACTGATATTTATCGTAAGTCTGTAAGTGTATTTCCTTTTGATATGTTGCTAATGTTTACGTTATTAACATATCAAAAGGAAATACACTTTAGCAGTTTAAAATGTAAATTTCCATTCTTAAATGAAGATTATGTAATATATTACATAAACAACATAAAATAAAACATTTAATTTTTTTTAAGAAATTTTTCTGTAATTTTTTTGCACCATTGTTCTTGTGCGCATAATGATCTATTTTCACTAAAAAAAAAAAAAAAAAATCAAAAAAATCAAATTGCACCCTGGCCATGATCATGACAGTATAATAGAAGTTGAAATTTCAACATGCCTTCTAATAAAACACTCCAATGTTTTGAAAATGAGTATTCTTAAAATTATTGTTTTCACCACTTAAAAATAACAAATATCAATCAAAAAGTGAACACATACCAAGAGAGAGAAATATCCCACAATCTGATTGATTTTAGTAGAAAAGAGAAAGTACTTTCTAATTATTGGACCTTCCCGAAAAGTCTACAGCTATTAACGACTATTTTTTCAATGAGCTATGATGCAAAAGACTAGCCATTTTCGAAAATGGGACACATTAAGAATTTCATAAAATGACATTTAATTACAAAATTTAGAATGCAGAAAACATTTAGCTTTTCTATTACACTGTTCTTCCCGCTACACAGTGATCTACTTTACATCAGGGAGTTGCAAAAACTTGGCATCATGCGCAGTTTGACCCTGCACATACTGTTCATTTCTCCCCAAGTGTACAAGGATTTGTTTTCACTTAAAATGAGAGACTTGCATGAATTTAGCATTGTGCATGTTTATGTTCATATACACACAACAATCAGCATTTGTACGGTACTTTTAAATTCCTTAAATTCTGAGGCGTATTCAAATAATTTTTGGTCCTTTAAAGTCCTTAATTTCATCAAAATCAGCTAAAGATCTCTCATTTCTCCCTATTTTTTTAACTACCATTCTGATGATGTATTGACAAATATGTAGTTGATGGATTAATTTTAGTTCTTTCTTTCTTCTTAATATAAAAGGTGGATATTCTAGTTTTAGTCATGAGGCCCTACCTCAGTTAAAGCATAAACATTTCATTTTTTTTTTTTTTTTTTTTTTTTTTTTTTTTTCCCAAATGAAGAGTTAATAAGATATTACATAAAAAATTTCATTCATTATTTCAAACTTCATTCAAATCATTTTCCTTTTGGGTGATAGATCTTTATCGTGCAGTGCTAAATTTAGCATCTCGTCAACATTTTAGCAGTTTCAAGATTTTGTATACAAATTTTTTTATTTGGAGATTAGTGAATTTTTTGACAATTTTCTTTTACAAACATAACATTAATAAATATAATAATAATATATTTAAATTATATTTAAGAATACTATTAAAACATTTTTATTTCTCCTACCATTTTTAAAGTGGCATTGCTTTCCATTTTGGTGACTTAAAAATATTTTGATTCTGAAAAAAAATAGATATAAGTGCTATAAGCACAGTTTCCAAAACACTTCTTAGAAAAAGAAAAAATGCTACTGTAAGTATTTAAAAATGAATTTCATTTTTCTATTTTTTCATAAGAGATTTTTCCCATATATTTATTTTAGAATATTTTAATGCATGTTAGTTTTTTTTTTCCTTTAATTCACTTTTTACACTTTATGTTTTTGAATCCCCCCCCCCCGAAAAAAAGCCTTCATTTGAGTGCAAGATTTATAGATCTGTAAGTCTGTAATGAATTTCTTATCTTACTGTAATGAATTTCTTATTCTTTCTTATCTTCTTATGAGAATTTTTAGAAGAACAGTGAAAACAAAATTATTTGAATTTCTTCTTTTGATTCGCAGGAGTCTTTCTGTAAATATTTTTATCTTCCCATTAAATACAAACATGGAAGCAATCAAAGAAAAAAAAAAAAAAAAAAAATGGAGAACGACAATTTCTTAAAAGGTTCATATATGTCTTGCTGCATATTTCAGTGCCTGCCGTAAATTCAAAAAATTTTGCGATCCTTAAATTTTGTTGGTCGGTGCTTCACTGAATTCTTAAAATTCTGGTGCCGCCCCTGACCTTATATTATTTCATATTTATTCTCAATACTTGTATTATTAAAGAAATAAGCAGTTTCTTTGATGCCTCCTAAGTACGAGCAGTTCTTTAGAATAACTGAAATCTTTAATTAAATCTGAAAATTCTAAAATGAAGATGAAACTTATTGAAGAAATTGATTTAATAAAAAGAGGGAAAATTATTCTTCAAAGGTACATTCCTGAAATATTATCAAATTAGGAGATTAAGCAGAGATTAGTGAGAACATTGATTTGTTTATTGAGACAAATTAAATAAAAAAAGATGCTAAAGAGAAGAAAATTTATGTAATTTAACTAAAATATGTGGAAAATTTTCAAATTAAAAAGACTTGTAAACATTTTGTTACTAATACAAAACGTAAATGTTTTTTCCTTTTATATACTACTATCATTTTAGAATCAATCAAAAAAAAAAAAAAAAAAAAAAAAAAAAAAAAAAAAAAAAAAAAAAAAAAAAAAAAAAAAAAAAAAAAACAAAAATTACAAACAACTGTAAAATGTTCTTAGTGCTTTTTAATGGAAATTTTTTAAAAATTTAAAAAAAAAAGGGGGGTGTTATTTAATAATAGAGGTATATGTTACATACATATTAGCATGTCTAAACTGTATAGTTAGTCAAACATAAAAATCTGTTATTCTAAGAGCTTTTTAAGATTTATATAAGCAGTTTTTAGTCTTTAAAATGTGCATGCTGTGAAATCTTATTTATGATCTATATATTTTTTTATTCTTAGATCTGATCCTAAAGACTATGCCTTGAAACAAATAGAAGGTACAGGAATATCAATGTCTGCTTGCAGAGAAATCGCAGTAAGTGCTACTTATGACATGTTTTGAGACTGGGAATAATTTTTAAATCATTATCACTTTTATTTCATTGGTATAAATCCTAAAATTTGACTTTTCTGTACATTAAAATAAATCATTAGTTCTATTACAGTGTTGCAATTAAAATGCTCTGTGATGTTATGTATTTCTTTTATACATATGTTCATGTTATGCTTTTTAATTTGTGTGTAAAATTTACTTGCTTTATTTTACACTTGAGAATATGTTTAATGCTATGCCTTTATTCAGGTTTTCGGGTATTACCTATTGATTTGGTTTCATTAGTAGACATTTGAATGTGAACCAAATTAATGCTAGTAATTGTTTCACATGCAATAAAACAATGGTAAAATTTTCTTGGAATAAATAATTATAGTATTTATTTTTGATTCATTATAAGGCAATTATTGATTCTGAATATAAAACAGAAAAATATTGTTAAATAATATTTAATATTGATACAGTTTTAAGATTAAAGAAGCATTGTTTTTAGTTTTAATTTTAATACTTTGGCAGTTATTATATTTTGATAAGTAATGTAAAATATTGCATTAATACTTCTTATACTTCTTGTGAAAATATTATGATAAAATTATTTTTAAAGTATTTTGAAATATTCAAAAGCTATTAATATTAGAAATTGATTTATTTTCAGTTGTTGTAATACTGAGTACGTATTGCATGAGCTGGAGCGTTTAATTCATAGATTAATTTTTTTAATAATCTGATAAAGTTGAGCTAAAAAAAATCAGATATGAAATCAAGTTTTAACAAATTCTAAAGGTATATTAAGACACTATATATAAACACTAGATGGAATCCACATAAAGTGAAAAGAATTGCTTAGAAATGTACTAAAAAATTAGTACAGTACAAAGTTCGTTATTTGGACTCGTCGGGACTTTGGAGATTCCGGATTATAGATCATCAATTTAAATCTGATAAGATGGCATGCAGAAATTATACAATTAAAAATATGAAACCGTAATTTATGAAATAAAGAGCAGTTATGATCTAAAGGGTATCAAAATTTACAAAAGAAAAGCTTAATATTCATTTGTTTATTTTATTAAACATTTCTTTTAATGCAAGTTGTTTAAGTTGCTTCATTTTTTGTGCTAATATTTTTCTCTTTAATTCTATAAACAGACATAATTTCCTGTTCAGTTAGAAAGTTCCTATAATTGCTGTGTCGAGAATGCCAACTAACTTGTGAATCGAAATTTTTTCGTTTTCAGTAACCTCTCTGTCACTATTGGAAATGGTATTTTTTGGATCTAGAACCATACTACAGATCTCGCCATCCGTTGATTGAGGCATTGTTGTCGCAATGAAAAGCTTCTGTATATCATCTTTATTTATTACCGCTTCTACACATTTCTTTACAAAATCCAATAACTGGAAAATTTCACCTTTGGTTTGCGTTGTTTTGACATAATTGAAAGTTCAAGCTTAATGTTTATAAAATTGCTCTAACAGTCTGCAAAAAAATAATAAGCCGGATCCAATTAGAAGATTAAGGAACAGCGCAATCTGCAACATTAACTGAAATGCCTTGGAATCAGTAAAGATAATTTTAGCCTAGCTTCAGTCCATTATACATTAAACATGCATGCGTAAAGCATACAAAAAAAAGTTTATGGCTTTGAGGTCCGGATTATAGATCACTCCGGATAATGGACGTCCAGATTATGGACTTTGTACTGTAGTATTTTTTTATGTTGAAGCACTGTTTAACAGTAAAGAGGCTGTTAAATAATATCAAATCAAAAAAATTTTTTTTTTTACTGCATTAGCATTGCTCATAATATCAGATTTAGAAATCTGTACATTTTAAAATTCAATGTCCTATTGTAGATCCTTGGTGACATCTGTATAAAGGCATTGAAATGCTCCACTCGATGAGTTCATCTAAATAAATGTAAATTTATTTCAGAATTTTCACTTCTTACATTTTTTAAAATTTTCCTTTTATGCAGTGTAAACAAATACAGTAGCTTCAGAATCATCTATGCTGGATTATCTACAGCCTGCCTTCACATTCAGATTATGAATACCTGAAGGTTTTGAACAGAAATCTCTTGACTCCCTGAAGGCAAATAGCCCTTGCATACTTGATTATATTTAAACCTGAAATAATAAAAAAAAATATTAGACAAAAATAAAGTCTGGAAAGGCTCAGATTTAAATAGTTGCCCAAAAGGCTAAGGTTTTTCTATGCTTCCTCTGAAGGCGTAGTTACCAGTTTGTTGCACTCACTTCTGCTAACCCATTTCTTTTTGTCTTTTTAGCTTTATTATTAAGCATAATTTTCTCTTATGCCATATAAAATTCAACAGCAAAATTACAAAAATTTTAAAAGTAGAATGTGTCTAGAAACCCGAAGAAGGGTTAAGTGTTGCCATAAATGTTTCTATTTTTGTAGTATTTTCTCAGTTTATCATATCAATGTATAGTTTGCTTAGAAAGGTAGTTTTCAAAATTCTTTTTGTCTTTGTATTATTAAAGTTTTGTGTGTTAAATTTATTAATTAAATTATATTCTTTGCACTTAAGCCACATAAAATTAAATTGAATGGCAAAATCACAAAATATTTGAAAACAGCATATCTTTAGAATTTCCGATATACAGTCTCGTGCACTGTAGATAACGATGTTTTAATCCATATAGTGTTGCTACTGCTTGCTTTCAAATCATTGAGTTTGTTAAAAATTCACTAAAGATTTTACAAAGCACGAATTAAATATTCAAAATTGAAAATTTGGGCTTTCAGATGTGCATGTTTGGATGTAGGACTATGCTATTCAAAATTATGATCCTAGGTACCATTGTGTTTTCACAGTGTGAGAAACATACATACATTCATGCATTTCTTTAAAAGTAACACAACGCGATAATATTTCATGGCAACAATTTGACATGGATTCAGACATTTAAAGTTATACGCCTCCAAATCTTGTTTCAAGACTAATAGCCCATCCAGGCTTTAAAAGAAAAAAAAAATTGAATATAACAATCATTGACACCTAAACAGAACTGAGAATTGTCTTTGAAAATGGTGTGGTGCTATTTTGTTGATGGGAAGTTTCTCCGTATTGCTGCCATTCTTGACAATGTCATAGAGTTGACAGAAGATAAATCAAGGGACAATAATCATTCAAGGATATTTCAAGCAGCTATTTTTTCACTTCTCCCAATTGCAAAAGCTAACATTAATATTTTATTACTTTTTTTTTTTCTTGTGGGAGGTATTTTATATGGATCGCAACTTTGAATGCAGTGATTCCACAATCAGGCCAGTTCTATTGGTAAACTAACTCTTCAGCTTGCTTGTGTTAAAAGTAAGGTATTTATGTATCGTCCTATCAACCATGAAATTGTCCCCAAACAACACAACGTAGCACTAGCTACGGATGAGCATAATGTAACAGTGCACTTACCTCCGCTTTAGTTTCATGTAACCCAGTTGATTCTCGGTAAGTCAGCTTTAGATTTTATGAGCAAGGGTATGAAATAACTGTTAATGCTATACTTTTTTCTTGTATTTTGAAAGAAATGATTAAAAGTTAGAATCTGCCCTTTACAGAACAGTAAGAAATGGATTATTTTATAGAATTATTTATGAGAACTTACTATAAAAAAGTGTTTATTAATGGACACTATATGGTCATTTGAATATGTAATTGATTGGAACATATATTTACAGGAAGTTTGTATTCATAGCATTCTAAACAGACCTTTCGGTAAAATTGGGGGTGGGCTGCTATTAAAATAATAGAAACAGATAAAAGTCAATTTATGAAGTATAAAAATGAAGCTGAACACTGAAAGCTTCTTTATTAAAAAAAAATTTTAAAAAAGGGGGGGCAGGATTCTATGGGACAATTGGCAAAAATTCAGTCGAGATAAGGCAAAAGTACCAAAAGTAATTTCAGAGGAGATAAATTTAGTTTGGAATTGTACTTTCTGTTTCATCTGCAGCTTTGTACTTTCTGTTCATCTGCAGCTTTTTACATCAGTTTACATTAAATTGCAATAATTATCTTTTTTAAAAATTATTTATTCATTAATTTTGATAAAAATGCGGAAATATAAAGTGTTTTGGTAACTAAGATGTCCTTCGAAAATTTCATGTACCATTTTCATTTTGTTATAATTCAAGTTATTGTGTCTTGTTGTGTAATAAAGATGCAAAATGGTACATTTGATAAATTCTTTTGTAAATCATACTTATTTTGATGACTTTTAATTAGATCATTATATTTTTTCATGTGTTAATATTCTGCATTTACAGGCAAAAGAGTGTGCTGGCTTCATTATTTTGTATTTGTATCTTGTTCTGCATTTTTATACTTTTACTTTTCTAATGATGAAGAATGTATGTGTTTGTAATAGTTTGATTTATATTCAATTATTATTTTTAGCTGCTTAGGGAATTAAAACATCCAAATGTGATAAGCCTTCAAAGGGTTTTTCTTTCTCATACGGATAGAAAAGTTTGGCTGCTTTTTGATTATGCTGAACATGACTTGTGGGTATGTATTATTTATTTCATGTATAATTATTCTCCTAACAATTATGATTGGTTTTTTACATCAGAATCAATCACGTAAACATGTTTTTTTTTTTTTTTTTTTTTTTTTTTTTTCAAAATTTCCTAAATAGTAATTTCTTTAACAGTTCTTAGGTTTTACACGAGAATAAAACCAGTTCTAACTTTCTTTTATCTAAGTCATTTGGTATTATTTAAATTCATAAGTTACTAATTTTATCCTTTTTGTTATACTAAAACATAAATTTTCAATCAGTATTCTAAAATAAATTACTTTACTGATTATCAAGTGTTTCTTTTCAGCATATAATTAAATTTCACAGGGCTGCTAAAGCCAACAAAAAGCCAGTATTAGTGCCAAAAGGTATGGTGAAATCTCTTTTATACCAGATTTTGGATGGAATCCATTATCTACATTCAAACTGGGTTCTACATAGAGATCTGGTAAGTAAATTTAAGCTCTTTTTCTGTTTAAATACAGGTATAACCTGCTTTACAAAATTCTCTTTTGTAAAAAATTTGATTTGTACTTTTGTTCAATTAATTCAAAGAAAGCCATGGAGGGTTTTGTTCTGTTATGAAGAAAGGGCAAAAATATTATTATGGTGTGTTTATTTTTACTCAATGATAAAATTATGTCCAATTATTATGTAATAATTTAAAGCAGTTTTCACATGTTTGATTTTCAGCAAAATGTTAAATTGTAGGAAAATAAATACTTACAATTCCATTTAAGTGCACCATCATGCAAAAGCTAACTATGTTAATATTTAAACATATATTTAAATAAAATTAATCCTCCCTGAAAAGGTGAAAATAAATTATATAATTTTACCTCATACGATTTCACATTCAATTCATCTTCTGTTTATTTTAGAAACCTGCTAATATATTAGTCATGGGAGAAGGACCAGAAAGAGGAAGAGTAAAAATAGGTATGCTTTTCTCTTCCCTTTTACTCGTTCACTTTAATATGCTTTCATTTATTATATTTGGATTTTTTAAAAGTAATCAAAGCGCATTCTTTTTTTTACACAGTTATTACCATATTTCTTTATGTATCACCCCAGCTTTTTAGCACTATGTTCGTATAATTTTAGAAACATATGCATAACTTTGCCCCTCATCTATTGTACATAGTTTCCCCTCTGAGGGTTACAATTTGTTTCTCTTGATTGCTTTTATTTATATTCAGTATATACTCAATACATATTTGCATTTTTGTATTTTCATTTCATCCATTTTATTTTCCCTCGCATTTATTATTGAAACTTATTTTGTGCAGATTTTTCATAAAGCTATCCAAGCATGGCAGATGTTCTCGTACTTCAGAAACTTTCCAAAAGTGGGATTTCAATTTACGAGGGCTATCCAGAAAGTAGATTACGTTTTGGAATAAAAAAATAAACAAAGTATAGGAAACAAATTTTATTATATACAGATGAAAGCCACACTCAAATACTACTTTTCTACATAGTCACCATACAAATTAAGGCATTTATCGTAGCGATGTACGAGCTTGGAAATTCCTTCGTCGAAAAATTCGGCCGCCTGCGCCTTCAACCACTTCGTTACCTCTTCTTGCAGCTGTGCGTCGTCATCAAAACGCTGCATAGCCAGCCACTTCTTCATTGCTGGGAATAGGTGGAAGTCGCTCGGTGCCAGGTCGGGACTGTACGGCGATGATGAGGGGAAACAACTCCCACTTAAAAGATTCAAGAACTTTACGAGTGACATTTGCCGTGTGGGGCCGGGCGTTGTCGTGAATCAACAAGATCTAGAGCTCAACATTCCTCTGCGCTTGTTTTGAATTGCTCTTCTGAGTTTTTGGAGAGTTTGGCAATACCTTTGAGAGTTTATTGTAGTGCCTCTTTCCAGGAAGTCCACCAAAATTACACCTTTTCTGTCCCAAAAAAACAGTCGCCATCATCTTCCTTGCCGACATTGTTTGCATGCATTTCTTGGGTTTTTGGGAGAACTTGTGTGCCCCCACTGCATTGATTGCAATTTCGTTTCACAGTTCACATGTTTTCACCATGTTTCGTCACCAGTAACGATGCGATCGAGTGTAAAGAGTCACCATCCTTATGGTAAGCGTCCAAAAAGTTCAACGCTGCAGCCATTCGCTGATTTTTGTGGTCCTCTGTCAAGATTTTTGGAATCCATCTTGCACACAAAACTTGTGGTAACCAAGCTTTTCGCTGATGATTTCGTGCAACAAACTTCGCGAAATTTGTGGAAAACTCAAAGAAAGTTCCGTTATTGTGAAATTTCGATTTTCACGGACTTTAGCATCGACTTTTTCGAGAAGTTCGGCGGTCACTATGCTGGGTCTCCCACTTCGATCTTCGTCGTGAACATTGGTTCGGCCATTTTGAAATCTTATGACCCACTGACGCACTCCACCTTCAGTGATAATGTTGTCCCCATACACTTCACGAAGCTGCCGATAGATTTCTATCGGTTTACAGTTTTTTGCAGTCAGAAACCTTATTACTGAGCGCACCTCGCAGCTCGCGGGATTTTCAATTAACGCAGACATTTCAAACCGTCACAGTATCTGAACGGAGCACAGCACGAACCTCTCACTAGCACGGCTAGATGCAGACTGAGCTGCGCAACGCTCTGACCCCAAGATGGCCGCGCTAGCCCCGCCCCTAGCGGACACAGACGGAACGTAATCTACTTCCTGGATGGCCCTCGTATTTCTGTTGTTTATGTCATGGCTCATTGTAGTCTTATCTCCTGCTGATGTGTATGATCCTACAAAATTTGGGTCTTTTGTTTGTCCCCTCTTCTCTTTCATTCCTTCAGTGTCCTTCTTGAGAACTGCATTCAGGACTCATTCACTTGATGTGCCCTTTAGGGCTTATTGTTGTTGACTAATGCTCACTGACTTATAGTCAGCCTAACAAAATTCCTCATGGCAAGGAATGCAAGTTATGCTTGCCATTGGCAACAGCCTTGAGCACCTTACAGGTGATAGTGTGATTTAGCTCAGTTCCCCCCCCCCCAATTTTGGTGGAGAGCTCCCCGGGGGTATGTGTCTGAGGGTCTCTCTCTCCCTACCATCAACATCTCCAGAGGACTTTTGGCTCGCCACATACTTAGAGTGCCCCCATGCCACATGGTCGCTGTACATTTACAAACATCCATACCTTCTCTGAGACTCGAACCTGGGCTCTTCGGCACAGCAGTCAGTGACTCTAACCACTATACTGGTTGGGCAGCTTTTCAAACCCTCCCTTTCGGGGAAGCCCAGGGTGATTTGATTTTGCTTATAACATATGAAATGCTATGCTGCTGTTGAAACTGGAAGGATTGCAGCAAAATTAGCAAGTCCTGTAATTTTCATATTACTTTTATGGGTAATTAAAAGAACAATAGTAGGATTAATGTATTGCTGTGGTACAATAGTCAGTACATTCAACTGGCAGTTATATAACTCTAATTTAATTCCCAGCAAGAAAGTACTGATTTTTCTAGATTTCTTGCTTTAAAAAATACAGTTTTAGCTGCTATTGTACAATTTAAGAATTTGGTATCATATCCAGTTTCTTTTGGTGATGTAAATTTTTCTTAAAGTGTATTTGGTACTTTGTAGAGATATCGGTTGGATTCTAAGTCACTAATGGAATTTGGCATATATTCTCAGTTGTTTTTAACTATTAAAAAGTAATTATTTTCATCCTACTTCAGATAAAAATGACATATGCAGGTTCTCTCTTGTCCTACAATTTGAATGGACTGTACATGATAATTTTCATTTTGTAATGAATTATATAATATATAATACATAGTTATTATGTATAATAACTATAATAATAAATAGTTAATAATGACATGCATAATATAACTACAATAATACATAGTTATTATGTATAATTAACTGTATGTATGTTGTAACTATGCTGAATTATTATAATTTTTATTTTATAATGATTATATAATGATCTAAATAGTTGTGGCATATTGTTTGAGTGCAATGTTAAAAATGGAGAACTTAAAGTTCATTATCATCATGTTCTGTATTTATTTTTTAAAAAAAGCAAAAAAATGTTAGTCTGCCAGCTCATAAAATTTGTGCTATGTTTGTGCATCAGAACAGACAAAGTGCTGTTCTGATGACACAGATTGAAGCTTGTTTGAGAAATTTAAGTGTGGAAATTTCAGCCTCAGAGATGAAGGCTGCTTCGAACGACCATTCTCTGTGAACAAGGACCTATTAAAAGAAGCGGTTTCTGATAATCCATGTTATACATTTCAAGAACTGTCAGGCAGACTAAATATTCCTAAAAGTACAATATATGATCTTTTGGAGAAGATTGGGTATCTGAACAGCTGCAATGTATGGGTAATCAATACTTTAACAGAGCAGAATATGCTTTCCTTGATTTTGGCATATGATTCTAAACTAAAAAATAAAGAAGCTTTTTTTAAAACAGCTTATTACTGGAAATGAGTTACTATAATGTTACGAGAAGTATACTATAATGTTACGAGAAGATTATGCAGTATGCCAAAAGAACCTCTTTTAATAACATCTCGGGGAGCTGCATCCTGAAAAAATAATGCTTTGTGTATGGTAACACTACAAAGGAACTGTGAAATGAATGTTGTTACCATCAGACAATAAATTTGGAAAAATACTGAAATCTAAGCAAGGTGTTCAGAACCAACTAATCACTAAAGTGTTATCTTCCATTATGACAATGCTGGGTCCCGTATTTCGATGAGTCTGAGTATGGCTGCAGTGTTTTGTGTCAGTCTCCGTATTCATGAGACCTTGCCTTCTTGGATTTTCATGTCTTCAGGTCACTTCAAAATTCACTGAACAGCTGGAGTTAACTTTTTTGGAGACTGTCAAACAGCCTATCCGTAACTTTGTTACAAATAAACTTGTGGACCATCTTCTAAGAAGACAGAAAATTGATATGATGAACTAATGAAAATGGAAATAGGTATAGCAAAACTTAACATAATAGTGAAAAATCTAAAAAATTGGCTGCTTTTAAAAATTTTGTCATTTTACTGTTGAATTTTTTGTAGCATAAATGCTGGAAAGGCAAAATTTAATAAAAAAGTTAAAAAGACAAAAAAAAAAAAAAAATGCACTACCAGGAGCAAGTCCCAGAAAAGGTTGGTAAATTGCAGGTTCAGTGTGAGCATAAAAATCCTTAAGAAATCCTCTGTTGTAATATTAAAGTCTGAATCTTTTCATATCTTCTTTCCTTTCTTTTTTTTTTGGGGGGGGGGAACCTGTAATTACAACATCTGGACTTGGATAATTTAACTTGATTGTGGCTGCACGTGGTAACTATATGATGCAGAGTAAAGGCCATGTAAAATCTGTTAGCTTAAACATCCTCTTCTAGAAAGTTTCTAGTTAGTGGCTGTGAAAGAATTTTGTGATTGTTGGATGCGTTGAGTTTGTAGTCATGCACATTGGTCTATACTTGATAAGTTGTAATAGAGGTCAAATGCTGCAATCTACTTTGCATAATAAAATTTCTTGCCTTTTTGTGGCTAAGAAATAAATTTTAAAATTTTCAGATCTTTGCTTAATAATTCAACACTATGAAATTTGAAATTTCTTGTAACATTCACAGCAGCAAAAAAAAAAAAAAAAAAAAAAAAAAAAAAAAAGTATTAATTTTTTCATGTGAATCTAGTTTGTTTCAAATTAAGCATTAATTGGCTTTAAATATCTGTGCAATATACTACAACATGTAAAACGTTTAACTAGCTTCACTGAGAGATTTGTTGTACAACGACATATAGTGTTTTATTAAAATTTAAATGGTTCATAATTCTGTATTTTGTTTATACTGTTAAGTGTCATTGCAGGAGATTTAATAAAGAAAAGTAGTAATGAGATTTGATGTTTTTCCCTGCCTCCCTATAGCTGATATGGGCTTTGCACGACTCTTCAATTCTCCTCTAAAACCTCTTGCAGATCTGGATCCTGTGGTTGTCACATTTTGGTACAGAGCTCCTGAACTTCTACTTGGAGCAAGGCATTATACCAAAGCCATAGGTTGTATTCCATCATTTTATATGAAATTTACTATTTATTGTCCTCCAAATTATATTAGTGAAGCTAAAGACTTGCAAAATTGTTTTGGTGGTTTATGATTTAATGATTTAAGAATGCCATTCATCACAAATGGTTCCATTAATTAACAACCCATTAAATTTTTAATTATGTTAAATTTCAATTTCAAGTAGTTTTAAAAATATGAAAATTTTGCATACCAAATTATTGTATTATTGGTTATTTAAATGTATTGTATTGTTAAAATATTCTGATATCATACTGAAAATAATTTAAATGAAATTTGAATTGATTTAAAATTGAAATAATTTAAATAAAGTTTTAAAATACTGTTATAGATGATAGATATCTCTTTTTCATTTTATTTCTAGTGTATATGCTGTATATATTGGCAGCATATCAGTGGTAGAATCTATGTGTGAATGAATAGTAAAATAATTTCTTGTTGAAATCAATCATACTTGTTTTGTCATCTGGTATGAATTATGTAACTGAAGATGAGGTGCATAGCACACATATATAGATTACACCCAGTAATATGGTATAAAAATATGATGAATTTGGATGTGAAAACCCTAATAATTTTCTCACATACAGAAAATTATTGGAATATTGTAATCCTTGATCTCTCAGTTTTTGGTTAAATATGAGAAAAAAAAAAAAAGACAACTTTTAAATGCACTTTAATGCCATCTTTATGTATTCTGCTGTCAAAAAAAAAAAAAAAAAAAAAAAAAAAAAAAAGGAAGAAAGAAAGAAAAAGAAAATAAATTTTGCCACTTGAGATCAATTTATTTTAACATGAAACATTTAATTTTTTTTAAACAGTAGCACATGTAAAGAATATGGTGACAAACAAAAATTATTATTTTTAATACACAGATTTAATACACAGAATTGTAATGTTTTCAATATTATTTTATAACCATTGGCATAGGAAGTGAAGTACTAAAAGTATCTACTTTACAAATGTGTAAAAATTATTTTCAAAATGTGAATATATTTTTACTTGGCATTGTTTGCCCTGTCATGAAGTTTCACTTTGATTGTAGTGTTAATTAGACATCTCCATTTTTAGTAGGATTACATTTGTTAATATTTGGTGTAGTAGTAATTTTAACCTATGATCCAGTTGATGGGAACTGTGTGAAGGGCACTCCGAAATAGTGTTAATAGCATGCTAGTGTTTGCCTTTGGGAAAATCTAAAATTTTACCATAATTGTGTAATGGACACAATTTTGGTTTCTTTGTGTGTATCACTTGGTGACATTGTATGCGTATGAGAATAAAGCGTATAATAAATAAATAGTGTAAACCAATTTTTATTATGTAATATTCTTCACTCAATTTATGAACAATTAGAGTAATATTTATTTTTCATTCACTGCAGTAGTCCCAACATTTCACATTCAACGATTGTTTCTTTCAAGACAAAATTATTTATTATGCTTAGTTTGCTGCAAATGTCACAATGGAAAAAATGAGATTATTTGAAATTCCCAGGTTAAAGTTTTGAGAGTAGTACAGTATTTTTGTTCTTTAAATAAACCTTCTATCCTTCATTTTTGATGATATCATAGTATCTATAGTATTCTGAGTATTCTGAGATTATAGTATTCTGAGAAAAAGTGATCTACTACCTGTCCTGTCAAGATGACCTGCTGCTCATGAACCATGATCAAAATGAATGAAGCTGATAATGTTGCCATGCTAAACCACACTAAAAGCCGCAATACGTACATATAAACTAATTATGTGTATGTACTTTAATTACAATACCAGATTGTTATACTAAATTGGTACTTATTTACTATCCATGTTTACCGTGAAATTGTTGCCAAGCAGTGTACTGAGTGCCAATTATGGGTAAGTGTGTTGTAACTACACACTCATAACATCTACACTTTTATCTGTTGTAACTCCATAAATTGAGGATAAGCATTTTTTTTAATAAACAGGTATATAAATTGTTATTGCTATAATTTTTTCTTGCATTTTGAAAAAAATAATAATTAAAATTCATGATCAGCCTTTTAGCAGTGGATTACTTTAAAAATTAGAGATGGGGAGGTTAGGGAATCTTTCCATCATAAAAATTTGTATGAATGGACACATTACGGTGGCCTGAATATGGCCAACAAAACAGTAATAGATTGAAATCGTCACCAGCGGGGAGTTTTTACTTCTAGTGCTCTAAACAGAGCTTACGGTAAAATCAGATGGTCTAACAAAACAGTAGAAATCAGAAAAGGCCTTTTTATGAAGTGTAGAAATGAAGTGGATTGGATATTGATTGTTTGTTAAATAAAGAGAAAGTTCCTTAAAAATTCCACAGGAATGATTGGTACAGTTTTGACGAGATCTCTGCCAACTTTCATGGTTTGATGGTATTTAGCTGTCATGGTTGATGAGATAATATGTAAGTACCATAAATTATACATCAGACGAATGTAGTAATGTGATCCTGAAGAGGACCCTCGATGATTGTTCTTTTACTTTAAATACATTAAAAAACTGGTTGGAGCAGTTCTATTTAGCATTTGTCAATCAAAGCTGTCTTATTTCACATTTGTCAGTAGTCATTATTTTACTGCTATAATTTGATATAAAACAACATTGGTAGTGATCCTTATTTTTCATTCGTACCGACACTGCAGTGTCTCTCAGTGTTACTTCACAGATTCACGTCCCGAAATTTGCTTCACAGATTGCCACCAAAGTTCAGCAAAGTGACAACCCAGCATCATGAATGTCATTCCTCTCATATTCTGTAGAATTTTTGTGTAAGATGACCCCGTAGACATTCTGCCATCTGAGTGTTAACATCACTAGCAGGATCATCAGAATTCATTAAATGGTGGAATGAAAATCCGTGTTCATATCCAGATCTTAACTTTCACTGATTTCTTTTGCCAGTGGGATAGGAGTGTTACACTGGTATAAGCAAGGTAAAAAAGAAAACCAGTCAAAATAAAATCATGTGATTCATACTCAAAGGGAAATACAGGATAAGGGACCTGTTGTAATAGATAGAGCTCAACTAGGTCATCTGCTGTGAGAATATCATAAACTATTTTACTAATTTATCATTCTGAATTTTAACTGTCTTTGTCTAACTTTATCTCAACATCGTTATTTATATTATTGTGGATAATATTTATGTATATATGTGTGTATATATAGAAATAAAATATTCATCCTAATTGAAATATCCATGTTTATTTAAATGCAAAATTTTACAAATTAAACATGATTTTGTGTTTTCCATTTACTTCTTAAAATTTGAATAAATAAAATTATTGTGTCATTCTTTTGTGAAAATTATGTATTTTATTTTATTAGATATATGGGCAATTGGATGCATATTTGCTGAATTGTTAACATCGGAGCCAATATTCCATTGTCGTCAGGAAGATATTAAGACTAGTAATCCATATCATCATGATCAGTTAGATAGGATATTCAATGTTATGGGTTTTCCTCAAGGTAATTAATTTTGGTGTAGCCATTTTTAATAAAAGTTTGTTTCAGTTGTATTAAAATTTAATTATTGACAGTACTTGTGTGTTACACTAGCCACAGTAAAAGAAAATCACTAAGGCAAATTGTGCACAGACATAACAACAGTATAATGGAAGTAAAGCATAAAAAATTTATATTTATTTCTTGCATATATCATCTTCAGTTTTGATGAACATATATTTGGAACTGCTGTTAATATGGTTTTGAAAACATTTACCTTTTTTGTATACTGGCGCGTCATAAATTGCTAGGTATGGCTTGTGATTATGTCAAGCCTTAACTTGTTGCTTATTATTATGTTATTTTTCAGAACCCCGGTAGGTGCATTTCTTGATTCTTGATATTCTGTTTCCTTTTTCAATATAAAATTTCCTTTTCAGGGGTATGCTCGAGAATCGGCATAAGGGGAAATGTCGTTATGCAATTATTATGAAAGAAAAAGAAGCAAGGAGCAAACACTGTGCAATAAAATAAAATTGTTCAAAAGCTTTGCAGTTTTCAAACATTATTGTACAAAATATCATGGTAAAAAATAGAACATCAACAAATTGTATGATGATAATTAAATGATGAGAAAAGTGTCTTTCAAAATAGCAGTGGAATTTAATATAAATATAGCTAAAAATATACAAATAGATATTTTCACAACATTTTAATTAAGAAAATGCGAACATTTGTTTTCGAATTTTTCATAAGGTCTTTAATGCAAAAGTTCATTTATGAGCTGTTAATTACATTTTCTGGAATTTTTTCCCCCCCCATAATCCCATTGGAAGGTATCTTTCATTGACAGAGAGTATGCAGATTAGGCAAAAGAAAAAAACGTTAATTTGGGCATAGATGGTTTCAGGGAAATCTTTTTTACTCCTGAAGAAAAGGAACTTGTATGTGATTACCCTGAAAATTGATAGTGTTTGAAAATATACATCAAACTGTGATTTTATTTTAAATGTTGATTAAAATCAAAACCAAGCTTTTGGGAATACTTTTGGTAATGTAAGTGCAAAGAAAACAATGCTTAATAATAAAATAAAGAGATGAAAAGGGGAAAAAAATGCCATAGCAGAAGTGAATGCAAGAGCAGACTGGTAAACTGCAAACTCAGCAAAAGTGTAAAAAATATTTACAAACTCTCTTAGATGATTGTTAAAATCTGATCTTTTTTTTTTTAATTATTATTATTGCTTTAGAATATCCATTTAAATAGTACATCAGAATGCTAATCAGAATTGAATTTTTACATTATGAAATAAACCATTTCATAATGTAAAAATTATTATTGCTGAATATTTAAAAGTTTCTTATGCCCTTGTACTTTTTTGAGTTGCCTGTTATCCATTGTTAGCCAGTACAATGTTAACATGTGTAATCAAAACTGTTGTCAGATCTGTAGGATGCTTTATGTAACTTTATGTGGATAAATATATGCATAACTAAAATAATTTTGCACCCCTCATTTAAATTGAATTTATTTGCATTTACTTAACAGCCATTTTTAATGACTTTATATCAGCTTATTGCAAGTACAGTTGTGTTTGCAAACTGTTTGAAAAAATGGTAAACCGCTGCCTTGGCTTTTACTTGAAAAAGAACAATCTACTTTCATCATATCAAAGTAGTTTCTGCAGAGGAAGAACGACTGTTGATAATCTACTTTTGGAAACTTCCATCCGTAAAGCCTTTGTCAATGTTAACATGTTAAAGAAAATCATCTGTCAAAAGAAATCATCTTGTCTTTTTTTTTTTTTTTCGTGACACTAAAAAAGTTTATGATAAGATATGGAAATATGGCATTTTGACGGATTTTCACGCTGGTGGCTTATATGGCAACCTGCTTGTTTTCATTCAAAATGTTTTGGAGGTTGGAACTTTTTAAATTTTAATTGGTTCTGCTTTTTCTGATAACTTTCAACAAGAAGAAAGAAGGAGAATTTGTTTAAATGTTTCTTAATCTAATAATAAACTCTATTTTAAAAGAACTTCCTCCTACTGTTTTAGGATCATTGTACATAGATGACCGTAGAAAGTGAATTATCTGTTCTGAACCTGAGCATTACCTTGAGGATCATTAATTCCAGTTGTGCCCAAAGTGAAATTCTTAGGAGTGATGTTTGTCTGAAAACTTACTATCCTTCCATATCATGTACCTGAGGAAGAAGTGTTCCAGAACATTTAATCTTCTCAAAGTCCTGGCGAGTGCCTCTTAGGGGGCAGAATATCTATCATTGCTCTACATTTATAGCGCACTCATTTGCTTTAAATTTGATTATGGCTGAGTAGTTTTTGGATCGGCATAGTATTCTGTATTGTTGAAACTTGATCTCTTCCAATATGTTCGAGCTGTAATGTTACTCTGTCAGCACGTCGCATTTTGATAGACTTTGTAGGAAATATTTAGGTTGTTCCAATATCTCTCTTGACTTTTTAATTGGAAAAAATATCAGTTTTAATATATTTCAGCTTTTAAAGAAGACCGTTTTTCCATCCTAAATTTGAGGTTGCAATGGGTTTTGGTGTGCTTTCATGGTTTGAGATTTTACTTGGTTTTAAATTTGTGTGATCTTGTGAATTTTATGCATTCCTTCATCAAACAATTTTGGTATTATTTACCAACATTATGTTGCTTTTATAATTATGTTGTTTCACTTTTTTCTCATTACATAACACATTTTCATTAACATATTTTAGCTAATTTTATAATTTCAGGCTGCTGATTTTAAATGAGAGAATAGATTTACTGTGCGACTAGTGTGTTATGGCCTTGCAGGTTAGGTGCCAAAATATACACCAACCAGTAAAATGTAATAAAATACCATATGAGTTTTTTTTGTAATTATAAACACAATGTCTGTTTGTAATTTCTACTTTTTTTGTCATCTCCACTTTTATGTATGTTTATATGTTTCTCGCATTATTGGAAAACAGCTGCACATTGAATCACCAAATTTTGAACACACCTTGTTCTCCACCTCAACATGTGCAACTCAAAGCCTGAATTTTTAATTTCCTTTTTTCATTTATTTTGTATTTTCTGCAAATATTAAGAACTTTTTTATTAAAAACTCAGTAGTATAAAAGCTTTATGTTGCTGTTCCACAAAACATAAGAAAGATATGAGTACTTCTGATTTAATCAGAAAATTCAACAATGTAAAAGAAACGTGTTGCGACTTGTCAGAACATATTTGTATTTCAATTTTAATAAAAGAACTCTGCGGTCTAAGAGAAACGTGTTGCCACTGCCCAATATAAAATAGTTTTGCTTTCCACATTCCAGTTTATTACCAATTGGAGAAGAGTTAGATATTATTTATTTATTCTTTCAAATTTATTCTTTTATAAATTAACAGACTAAACAATTTAAAAGCAATAAACACAGATTCATTACAGTTATTATTAATTACTAGCTGGGTTTGTGAAATTGCATTACCTGGTTTCATTAAAGTAATTTTATGTATATATTTGTGTGAGAGATAAAAAAGAGAGAAAAAGATGTAGGAAATATTAATGGCAGCACATGCTATTCACAGAATAAAGTAGATGCAAGTAGAAGAGAAAGAATTTTGTTTGCATAGAAAGCTAATCCATGATGAATATGAAATTGGCAGCCAAAGTATATTAAATCTTCATTTTATTTTCAGTAAATGTGCTACAGCCACAAACAACTTAGCACATTATTTGTGCCTATTTTCCAGAACATTCACATTTTTGATTCTATGGCGATAAGCATCCAGGCATAATGGCAGCACATGCTATTCACAGAATAAAGTAGATGCAAGTAGAAGAGAAAGAATTTTGTTTGCATAGAAAGCTAATCCATGATGAATATGAAATTGGCAGCCAAAGTATATTAAATCTTCATTTTATTTTCAGTAAATGTGCTACAGCCACAAACAATTTAGCACATTATTTGTGCCTATTTTCCAGAACATTCACATTTTTGATTCTATGGCGATAAGCATCCAGGCATAACAAAGCATCCAAGCAGCACGTAAGTTGAAGCTAAAAGTATACAATTATCAAATATGGAAGCTTACATAGAGAAGGTTTTGGTTTAGGTTAGAAAAGGTTTCGGTTCTCAAGAGTTCAAGTTTCGAATACCATCAGGGTTGCAAGGGCCATTTGACCTAGATTAATCTAGAAATGGTGCATTTCAGAAAAGTTATTATTATTTTTAGAATAAAGAGGAAATAACCAAATTAAAAAAGAGGAATTAAAAGTCTATTACTAAATTGTAAAGCTAATTTATGTATATTTTATCTTACACATATATATATATTTCTTTTTATAATAACTATTTTAAGCTTCTGACCACCTGAATGAAAAATACAGAAAAATGGAAGTAATTTTTTTCGGATGTACGCGTTAAATCCATTTAAAATGAATTCTGATCTGTTCGAAACTGGGAATAGTGTGTAATGATGAAATAACCAATCAATTCTTAGTAGTTTCTGCTATGTTTCTACCTCCCAAGGAATTCATTCATTTATTTTTAAAATTTTTCTTCTGTTCTAGAAAAGGATTGGGAGGACATAAAGAAAATGCCAGAACATACCACTTTGTTAAAGGATTTCAAACGTTCCAAGTAAGAAAATTTTACAAGTTTAAATTTTATAAAATAATCAGTAACAGTCAAACATGTAAAATGCTGTATTTACCTTCTGTTTATTGTCTAGATTTTTTACAGTACTTTACTATTTTGTATTCATAAACTTCAAATTATTAAAGCTGATAACAGGGCAAAAGTGCAAAAAGAGAATATATATATGATATAATAAAAGCACAAGGGAAAGAAAAGCCGGAACACTGTTGATTCATACGTAGATCTGTATTGAAAAGGAAGCATTCTGATTGTGTAGTATGCTAATATGTTGACTTCGTAATATCTAAAAAACTTGGCAGTTTTAATTCCATTTTTATTTTTTAGTTGATTTTTGTGGTCACAATTCACTTAATATTATTCAAGAACATTTACATTTTTGATATTATAGCGATAGCAAGAAAGACAGCAAAATTTCATCCTAGCAGAGAGCGAAGCTGAAGTGTGTAGTAGAGAAAAGTTTTGGTTCCCAGGTAATTACGTCATCAGAGCTGCGCAGGCCATAAAATGATCTAGAAATGATGCATTTCAGAGAAGTTATTATGATTTTTAGAACAGAGAGGTAGAATTAAAGTTTTACCATTAGTTTAAATTATAATTTTGATTTATATATTTTTTATCTTATATAATCAAGAGATAATAATTAAATCAAAAAAGAGGGTTAACAGTTTGTAACAATCTCTTTAACAAATCAAATGCTTGTGCTACAAAGAAATTCAAACAGCATAATTTACCATACAAGAGCTCTTTTGCATTAGTTGTACTTATATTTTTGAATTCATGCCTCATTCATTAAAGAACACTGTGGGGAGATAAATTTGAACCCTGTGCTGAAATTGCCAAAACAATTGACTGGTCCGGCCCACCAGCGGCCGAGCGGTAAAGTCGCTGAACACTGGTAGTTCGGTTCGAATCCCGCGAACGGGCTGGCTGCATGGGCGTTTTCGTGGTTTTCCCCATGTGTAACGTGTATACGAGCCAGTTTCCCTTAAAAATGTCCTCCACGGAGGCATCCCTCGTCTTAGGCAGATAGACCTAGTGTACTTTGCCGTATTCTCAATACACCACACAATTGACTGGTCCTCTGTTTAGTATACGCAGCTGTAAAGTTGAGTGCATTTCCCTCCTTAATCCCGATACAGAATAATAATGCTGAACTGGAAAATTGGTTAGCCTCATCAGTGGAGCTTGCTCCCTTTTTTTAAAGCATGTAAAGTACAGGGTTATCCAAATTAAACTTCCCCAACTCAGAGGCCTGTGCAGTGTTGCATGGGTCATAATGTGATGAAATTTTAAAAACAGACACTTCAGATCATGCGCTCGAGATTTATTAAAGAAAACAAATTAGTACAAGAAGTTGTCGATAGGTGGCGTTACAGATCAAGAAGACATTCTACAGATGTTCTATATGTGTGCCATGGTTCTCACAACTCTTTCCATTCGCAAGCGTGTGTTTCCACAGCGGAACGCAGTAATCCACATTAATTCCACGAACATGTTGAATAATTGAGTCTTTCAGATGTGCCAAGGTTGCTGGGTGTTCTCGGTAGACCCGATCCTTTAAGAATCCCCATAACCAAAAGTCGCATTTCATGAGATCTGGCGAGCGGGGAGGCCAAGCTATAGGGAAACAGCGGCTGATCACACGTGCATCGGTAAAAGCTACATGTAACACATGTACTATAATAATAGAATAAGAAGGAAAACATGTAAAAGATACGGATATGGAAAAAGAATCATCTTTTGCTCTTACTGCTGCCTTTGCTTTACAGTGTTGTATATTTAATTGAATAGTACGGAATTTAGTTTCATATGGTATATTTTTCATCTATATATTTCTAATTCTCTTTTTAGACTGGACTTGCTTCTTAGATTTTTAGATTCAACTTATATATTTATAATTGATACAACAAGATTCCATAGCTTGACAGTCTATTCTGATATCTCTCTAGTCTTTACATCTAGAACAACTTTGCTTGGTTCCACAAAATTTTTTAATTTGTCCATAATTAAAACATTTGTGGCACTGAGGTCACTTTAATGAATTATCGTACCGTATTCCTTGACCATTTGAAATTTACAAATTGATACTTAACAGAAGCTAGAAAGGAACTGGGTAACAGTCAGTAGGATATGGTAATAATTGCCAGCACCCTTATGTAATTTTCCTTACACGCTTAATACTGACTTTTATTTTTGTTGGATTAATATTTTGAACTAAGTGATTTTTCACTTGTTCTGAAGTTTCTTTTTGATCCTTTGGGTATACTCAAATATTGAGTATGAATTCTCAATGTATTCACCTCTTCTGCTGCACCAAAGGGATCTAGAATTGTATTTAACTCTCTTTTTTACCACTGGTTTTGCTGCTTTTCGTTTTAAGTCGGTTTTTTTACTCATCTGAGGTAGGTACATTTGCAAATTTCTCTTCTATGCTTTTCAGTCTTTAGAAATATGTTCTTTTGCTAATAAGCATTTAAATTATCTATTTCTTTGCAACTGAAAAGTATCTTATTATAGTGGTCTCCGAGATTGAATTGCTAATAATCTGAAATACCTTGCCACATGTTTTTATTAGAGTCATCTTTCATAATATTCCATGCTTTTTTGTGAATATGCAGTTAACAGTCTTTAATTTACCAAGTAAAGAGATCAATGCCATATCATTTTTTCAAGAAAGAGGTCTTTTACCTGACCAACAAGTATAGAAAAGTGTCCATCGATGGAAACTTTTGTTAATGATGAAATCATTTGGAGGTGCAATGTTAAAAATCATTAAAAAAGAAGGGCTTCCATGTTGGAAATTGGTTTAATGGTTTCAGAATATTGTTATTCACTGCTCTTAGATTCATGTCTTCTTGGCCAGAGGAGCCGATGTCCATTCAATGGCATGACAAAAAGCTTTGTGTGTGAAAATGCTGCAATCGATTGGAACAAATACCTATGGGGAATATGTTTAAATTTTATGAAATAATTTAAATCTGATGCAAAGATTCAATGTGTGAATAGGCAGTCCCAGTAAAATAGTTGAAATTGTTGACAGTTTGTTCATCCAGCATAAGCACATCAACAGCAAAGTGCTCCCACAACAGCTCATTTTTTGCAGGAGTATGTTCAGAAGATGAGAGTGCTAAGATAGATCAAGGATCTGTTCGGACTGCAAGAAAAAATATAAAATGGAACAAATTGAAGAAGCTTATTATAGTTACTTTGATGATTATTTAAAATATTCTTAGCAAACAACATTTACTATATATTTTATCCTTTTATTTTTACATTCACATTTCGCGAGTTTGCCGAAACCATAGCTGCATAAGGTCGGGGGCCACAATAATAAGGAAGCATCCCCCTACTTTTTTTTGTTTGTTCTTCTGTGGTGGCATCCAACAGCAAATTCTTATTTATTTAATTTATAACTAATTCAGAAATAAATTATAAAATGGTTAACTATCAGAAATGCGCAATTTAATGTGCTGAATGCTAAAATATGTTAAAGCATGGGCAGATATATGAAAGCTATTTGATTAACAATGAAATAATGGTGGCTAAAAGATTGATAATATTAAATTTAAAAATAAATGCTGCTGTAAGAATTTCATAAAATTTATATTAAAAAAAGAACTTTAATGCTATTTTTCTATTATAATGTCTTATTGATCACTTTGATTGCCTTTATACAATAAGGTATTCAATAGTTTTACCTGAATTACTTCTTGTTTTATATTGTCAAGTCTGCTAAATCCAGAAATGTTTAAACTTTTAATTTCAATACATGCAAATATTTCCATCATATGTCCTGATGATATCAAAATGCAGTACTCTATGTGTACTGAATCTTAAAAATGGACTTTTTATATAAAATGCAAAAAGAAGCTTCTGATCATAAATAAATATGTCAGTCAACATCATTTGCACTGAAAAATTATATTACATTAGTAGTATAATATTTGACTGCCATGTAACAGATACAGGATCAAATCCCAAGATCATTATCTTCAAAGGGATACCAACCTCATTCGCTGCTACACTTCTCGTTGATGCTAGTAGATGGCAATACAAACAAGCAAGCCACCTCGGGATTTCTCTTAGTCTCACAAAAGTACACACACAAACACAAAAACACACACCAAAAAATAAATAAAAAAATTAATAAAGCAATACAATTAATCTAATAAATATATAATTCAAATAATTGTTAAAAATGGCAAACTTACAAAACAAATATTTAAAATAATCCAGAACTGAAACAAATTATTGTTTAATTATTTTCATATATTTGCTACTTTATTATTTTGCTTTGTTTATATAGTATACTTAAGTTTTTAAAATACAATCAATTAAAATTAATTTTTATTGGTATTAATAACTTAATAGAAGAAATGTTATATTTCTTTTAATGTTTCAAGACTATTAGAATTTGGACAATTCTTATCTTATTAACTAATAATTAAATAAATGTTGGTACTCGCATTAACTTGGGAACGTGCACGCTCTTTTAAGTTACACGAGTGTGTGTCCTGGATCCAAAAGACCTGGCTCGTGTTTTTGAAGAAAGAACTGTTGCTGTTCAGGTAATAGTGTTACATTTATGCCAAAATTTTACGATCAAACTTATATGCAAACAAATATGCAAATTATAAAATAAAATTTTACTTTATTACTATATTTTTTATGAAAATTTTTTAAAGATAGAAAAACTATTATATTAATATAAAATTATTAGGAATTCATTATATTATTATTCAGGTTATTCAGAAATTATTATTCTTTATTAGGAATATATTGCCTGTAAGAATATCTTCCTCAGAAAGCTTCAAGTTCTTCATCAATTGTTATGAACTCACCGGCAGTGTAATATTTCCTATTATCAGACAAATTTCTGGCAATTATTCACAAAATCTTCAAAAGACCGTCCTATAAATGCAAGTTTATCTGATTCTTTCTTTGTGACGCCAGTTCCTATGTCATCAAAATGTAAGCATCTTGATTTAAAAGCAAGAAACGTTTATAGGATATAGTTTTGTGGAAAATCTCTAAGTCAGTTCTGTCTGTTGCCCACAGAACCCACTCATTTACATGAGATAACTTATTTCACAAGAATATAAAAGCACGAATTTCAATTAGAGTGGCGTGACAAGCATCTCTCTCTTTGAAAGCTATCAGAAATAGACACAATATAAATATTTGTATATCTTACGACTTTCAGCAACATTTGTTCACTTAGTAAAAGTTTCTCCCGATTCATTTGGAGTCAGCACATATTTTGCCTTACAGATGTTTCCAGGCAATTTAATAATAATATTATGAGCAGGAGTTCTAACATCAACTTGGGGCTTTTCTTTTGATCTTTGGGTCTTTTCCAATAAAGTAATAAATGTCATTCTTGTTTTTGTTTTTAGAATGCATCTCGATTTCTTAATCAGTAGCATGAGCACTAAAAAATTCATTAAAACTTTCATCATCAGTTTCAATGGAATCTTCAACAGTTGATATATCACCTAATAATTTTTGTAAATGTAACATTTCTTTCTTATAGAATAAATTATGCAACATGTTTGCAGCTTTCTGTGCTACCTCAAATCAACTCTTGTTACAGCACTGCAAAAAAGTGTACTGCGTCTGAAAGACCCAATTCGATCAAAGCAAAACTTTGAATCAGATTTCTGGCGAAAAATTTCAGAAACATAAAGAGGATAGCCTTGGAGTAGACTACACTGAACCACAACCACTTGGGAATAATAGGGACATTTTCAGAAAGTTTTCTTTAATCGGGTGGGTCCATTGGACTCAACGTGCATGAACGCTTGCAGGTTAATGACATGGATGAGCTTGCTGTCTTTTGCACAGCTGTTCTATGTTTGGATGTATGCCAGCAAGGGGTTAACCCCATCTAGCTAGAATTTTTTTTTCTTCAAATTTCCGATTAAAAAAAAAAAGCCTTTTATTATTATTATTGCTAAAAATGAAGGTGTGTTCTACCCTGAATTCAGACATAAAAAACATTTGTCAGTAAGCAGTTTTTTATTTGACATACTGGTGATCAAGCACGTGATATCCCATTCACTGATCTCCAGTTTTCATTGCAGTGCACCCAAATTTTAAATTTAAAAAATATGTTTATCAAATATATTGCTTTAAAGTATTTAAGATATTAAGTATGTATATAAAAAGAACTATTAAAAATACATTTTGGAAAATATTTGTCAAGGTGTTTTAGAAAACGGTTTTGCAGTGCTATAGAGAGAACAGCTTTAAGGTACTTCTTGAACATCGGAGCATAAAAACAACATTGAAATCATTTATCGTAGATTATTTTATTGCTTACTTTTGCAAAAAAATCCTGACTATTTTATTCACTGCCCTCGGATTCACGTTCGGAATTCATCTCAAAAGCCATTTTGATTTGTAACAATAACTAAAGAAGACAGAATTACAGAAAATACAAAATGATTGTTTTTCATTCATGGTGAGAAAGCTCACTGAAAAAATGTGAAGAAAGTAATAGTAGTTATGCCATCTCTTAACAATATTCAGAAATGCAAAATATAATTATGTAAATAGTGACAAATTCACCTTCAGTGGTGCAATTTTTCTCTTCATCGCATGGATTGCCGATTGTATGGGCATAAAAAAGCCAAGCGTGGCATGCGATGCCGACCAAGAAGGGGTTAAATCTGAAATCGATACATACGTCAAGTTATCTGCAAGTTAATTTTTTTTTTAATTTGGGCTTATGTATTATCATTATGTTTAAATTAATTTCATTAGACTAATTTTATGCTTTTGATGATAAGCATATCCTCCTGACCAGTTGTTTCAGTTTATGCAATAGTTGGCAAATATGTAGAGAACAAATATGTTAGTATTCTCATTAAAATTTAGTATGTGCTTTTTTCTGAATTTTTCTCTAAATTTTTCACCGTATTGGCAGGTATACTAAAATAATACAGTGGTTTATAAAAAGTGTAAATAAACAAATATGTGAGATGTAGTTTTGCTTCTTTAGAATAAATCTTGCTTTGTTTCTAATTTCAAATATTTTTCCCACCAGCTATTCTAATTGTTCCCTAATCAAGTACATGGAAAAACACAAAGTGAAGCCCGACAGTAAAGCCTTTTTGTTAGTAAGTCTTGTTTTATATTAAATTCTATATTTTAAATTTAAAATGTCTTTATGTAATAAAAATTACATTAAAATTCTTTATTAAAATATGTGTTTATGTAATTAAAGTATAAAAGTTGCTAGCAGCTTTTTATTCTGTTACATATATAACTGTAGCTTTTTATTCTATTACAAACTGTTGACAACTTGTGACTCAAATATGTTTTGTTTTCTTTGTCGAGAGATTTTTTTTTTTTTCTCTTCAGGTGAAGATGTCAGTTTTGAAGGTTTTTTTTTTTTTTTGGACTTTTTTATTATTATTATTACTAAGCTTATTTTTAGTAGTAAGAAGTTGTTATTACCAAAAATAAGCTTATTTTTGTTTTGGGTTTTGAATAAAACTTTGCCCATTTCAGTGTGATTAAGTCACTCTGTTTTAAGTCAAAATACTTTTTCCAAAATTTATTGAACCTAATAAAAAGGGACCTGTGTTAGATACTCTCAAAATATTGGAAAATTTTGCAGAAATGGGAGCAAATACTTAAAGTTGATGTTAATAAAGTAGTACTAGCCATTGTGAAAGACTGGTATCATAAGTAAAACTATTAGAGAAGAAAAGTAATACAGTCAAAAGTCGTTAATCCGGACTCGTCGGGACTTCGGCGATTCCGGATTATCGATTTTTCCGGATTATAGATCATCAGTTTAAATCGCGTAAGATGGCATGCAGAAATTCTAAAATTAAAAACATGAAACCGTAATTTATGAAATAAAGAACAATTATGATCTAAAGGGTATCAAAATTTACAAAAAAAAAGAGCTTAATATTTATTTGTTTACTTTATTAAACATTTCTTTCAATGTAAGTTGTTTCGTTTTATATGATAATACTTTCTCTTTAATTCTATAAACAGACATAATTTCTTGTTCACTTACAAAGTTCCGTTGTTCAAGTCCCGTTAATTGCTGTGCCGAGAATACCGACTAACTTGTCAATCGAAATTTTTTCGTTTTCACTAGCCTCTCTGTCACATTCTGCATGTCTTTATCCATTTTTTGCAGCAATTCCACTTTTTGTTTGATGGACATCGAAACATACTTTCGTTTTGTACGATCCTTTGGGAGCTCCAGAATCAAAAATTCTATTTGACATAATCGAAAGTTCAAGTTTACTTTTTAGTATTGCTCTTACAGTCTGCAAAAAAATAATAAGCCGGATCCAATTCAAAATAAGGAACAACGCAATCATCAACATTAACTGAAATAGATAATTAGATAATTTTAGCTTACACAACCGTCCGTTATACATAAAACGCGCACGTGAAAACGTATTCTGCGCTTGCGCACACGCAAATGCGCAGTCGTAAGAGGTCTTACGCGCACGCGTAAACGCCTATGCGCATGTGTCAACGCGGAGCATGTGCAGAAAGTTTTTAGCTTGAGGTCCGGATTATAGATCATTCTGAATTATGGGTGTCCGAATTAATGACTTTTGACTGTATGAATTATTTAAAGCCCTTAAGTATTAAATGGTATTTTAATTTCATGATTTTAGAACGTTTTGAAACATGGCTGTAGCACTATTATTTCTTGATTTCCAAGGAAACTGTTTTTTTTTTCCCCTTTCATATTTGGGAGCAACATCTTAAAAAGATTATACGACTAGATAATGTAGGATCATTTGGTATAGACCTACGGTTCCAATTTTAAGAAATGAATCAAATGACATTAGGATTTGCGACCTATAATATTTGATCACATGGCACTTTTATGTGCAGTTATTGAGTTATTTATTTTATTATAGGAATTATCACATTCTCTGTAGATGGTTAGTATATCCAGCTAGCATTCAGAAGATTCTTAGTTTGAATCTTGATGATGGCACAATTGATTTTTTACATTTTCCCCACTCAGGAAAAATATATAATGGTCTCTACAGTGATGCCTGAACTAAAATATGTTGAGTGCTAATTTATCACTGCCTAGATTTGATTGAGTGAATCTCATGCCTCTCTCCGGTCACTTTTTAAGCGGTTAGCGCATACAGGTGTCAGTTGAAAGATATGTAAACTGAGTCCTAGTTAGGGCACTGTTGATTTTTAATGTTTCCTGCATTGAAATGTCTAATAGTCTCTGATATAACTCATCCAGTGAAAAATCGGTAAACCATCAGTTTTAAAAGACCTTATGAAGAATTATTTACAACAGATAAAAATTTGCATATTTACCAATGGGTACTCTAAAGCACGTGGTTGGCTGACACAGGATATCCTTTAGAAATTTGCATTTGAAAAATTTATGCTTGAATGTTATACATATGTGATATGTATTAGTGTTCAATTATATAATTCAGTATTAATTTCATAGTTATTTCATGAAATAATTGATCAAGTACAAAATAAACTACTATGTACACACTTTAGCTAATTAATTTCATAGAATAATTATTTAATAGACAGTCAAAGTGTAAAATAAACAATTTAGTGTTATACATATGTGATATGTATAAGTGTTCAATTATATAATTCAGTTATTTCATAGACTACTTAGTTGTTTCATGAAATAATTGATCAAGTACATAATAAACTTTTATGTCTACACTTTAGCTAATTATTTCATCGAATAATTAGTTAATAGACAGTTAAAGTGTAAAATAAACAGTTTAACTGAATTATGCTGCATAAAATATGTTATTTATAAAATCATATGTTGTAAAAGTGATCAGTAATATGGCAACTAGAGTTACATTGAACATTATTTCTAAAATAAATATATTTTTTGTTGACACACTGTGTTTTACATGAATACTTTTTCAAATCTCTGGCTGTACCTAAACTTTGAGCTGTAGTAACTGACCTAAGTAATTTCTCTGTATCTGGCACTTCTTTGATCTTAATGGGATGCTGTAAGCCCCCACAATGGCTTCAGAATGAGATTTGTCTGATATTGGCTTCATCTTCTTTGCTTGAAATTCCAAACACTATTTAGAGTTATCTCTATCCCTACATTTCTACATCAGTTTATATAATACAATTTGTAAATCTTCTGTACAGTTTTGTTTTCTGAAACAGTCTTTAAAACATATGTCAACAGTCTTAGTACTTCACTGCATTCTGTGAACAAACTATACGTCCCAGAGACATTATATTAGTCTCAAAATGCAATTTTGTGTAGTTTCACTTTTAATTTGAGCCTGGTGCCATTTAAAATTAAGATATTTATCTCCTAAATTTAATGTGTGTGTTATTGCTAGTCAAACTAAGTTAATGAAAAGCAATAGATACAGATCTTGAGAATATTATTATGCTTACTTTCTAATGATTGATTTAAATAAAAATGCATATAATTCATGATATAATCTAATTAAAAACTCTCAATATTTTTATAGTATTACATTACATGTTTTTCACATTTTAAAATATGCAGAAGATATAGAGCATTCGCATGTTAGTTTAAGTGCATATTGATCTAATATCCTATCAAATTTTGCTATTCCACCTGGGTTGTCTGTATTGATAATCTCTTGCGATAAATCTTATTAAACTTTAAAAAAGCCCTTTTGGGTGATCATTGAAATCTGAAACCTTTTTAGATATTTTTAACCTTTTTTTTTTTTTTTTTCTTGTCACCTCAGTATTATATTTGGAGATGAAGAATAATAAATTTTGGTATTCTGAGAGTGCTGAAAAGAAATATTCAGCTCTATGTATTACATTTAGCAAATTACCATTAATTACAAAAATATTGCATGCAAATAAAAGTAATAAATACATTTCATTTTCTTGGACAAAACATAATAGTAGATTATTTTTATATAACACTTCATAGTGGATTGAAAATGGTGTGCTGTTTATTACTAGTGGTTCACACGTTAAATCTTTTTAGATTTGGTTCTTTAATTAAATTGATCTTATATATCACAATATAGTAGCTAATACTAACAATATATTGAATTGTGCCAGTTATCTTACATTTTAATGGGGTTAGACCCTAATTCTATGAAATAACTAGTCAAAGTATAGAATTAAAATTTATTGCACACTTGACTGGTTATTTTATGAAATACAGTCAAAAGTCGTTAATCTGGACTCGTCGGGACTTCGGCGATTCCGGATTATCGATTTTTCCGGATTATAGATCATCAGTTTAAATCTGGTAAAATGGCATGCAGAAATTATAAAATTAAAAATATGAAACCGTAATTTATGAAATAAAGAACAATTATGATCTAAAGGGTATCAAAATTTACAAAAAAAAAAAAAAGCTTAATATTTATTTGTTTACTTTATTAAACATTTCTTTCAATGTAAGTTGTTTAAGTTGCTTCATTTTTTTATGTGATAATACATTCTCTTTAATTCTATAAACAGACATAATTTCTTGTTCAGTTACAAAGTTCCGCTGTTCAAGTCCTATAATTGCTGTGTCGAGAATACCGACTAATTTGTCAATCGAAATTTTTTCGTTTTCAATAACCTCTGTCACTTTCTTCGCTATCGGAAGCGAATTATAATGACGAGGAATTTGATTTAAATCATATCAAAGACGAGATGAAATACTACATTTAGTAAGGAATTATAAGCCAAATAAAATAAAAACATCTGCCCTGAAGATAAGGATAGTGCTGACAGATCAACTTCCAATTCATTGCGTCCCCCCCGCCCCAGCGTTAAAGATAAACAAAGTTTAGATAAACAACGTTAAAGTTTAGATAAACCTTTATCCATTTTTTTTGCAGCAATTCCACTTTTTGTTTAATGGACTTCGAAACATACTTTCGCTTTGTAGATCCTTTACATATTAGTAAATATATATCGGAAATTCTATTTGACATAATCGAAAGTTCAAGCTTACTTTTATAAAATTGCTCTAACAGTCTGCAAAAAATAATAAGCCGGATCCAATTCGAAGATTAAGGAACAACGCAATCTGCAACATTAACTGAAATAGATAATTAGATAATTTTAGCTTAGCTTATCCCGTCCGTTATACATTAAACGCGCATTCGTAAACGTATTTTGCGCACGCGCACACGCAAATTAGCAGCGGTAAAGGTCTTACGCGTCAGCGCGACGCATGCGCAGAAAGATTGTAGCTTTGAGGTCCGGATTATAGATCATTCCGGATTATGGGTGTCCGAATTAACGACTTTTGACTGTACTAGAATTCAAAATTTAATGGTAACATATATATACAAAATATCTAAATTTTTTATTAATAATATTTCATGTTTTTAATTTATGAGAATTATTTTTTTATATATTGTTTAATCAATTCGAGAATGGAAAATAAATTTTGCATTGGTTTTTTCCTCCCTGCAGTGTCTTTCTGAAATATTTATATATTTTTATTTGAAAATATTCTTTGACTGTAATTACTATAGCCTGAAAAATTTGCTTTTGTTCATTTCTTAAAATGGATTTATGACTAAAAACTGAAACAACAATTATTTAACAACACTTTTTCCCATTGCACTTTGGTTGCCAGTGAAGCTGATAAGTACTTTTGGAACCTTTGACAGAAGTCTTGTATTGTAGACGATTAAAGAGATCTTGAGCACATAAAATTAGTAAGCTGTATCATCAGTTGTAAATGAAATTAATATAATTTGTTTTCATGTTTTAGCTTCAAAAGCTTTTGTTGATGGATCCTACAAAAAGAATCACATCAGAGCAGGCGATGCAAGATAGTTATTTTCAGGAAGAACCTTTACCGACCCAAGAGTAAGTTTTCGTATTAATATTTCCTTTATGGAAAGAATTGCTGAATATATTTTCTCAGAATAAAATTTGCTTTACAAAACGTTTCATTTTGCTCAATTTGTTTTTTGTATGGGATTCCCATTTGCCTGCAAATCAAGAAATGGAATTAGAGAAAATATCTTTTTCCCAAAAAGTTGAGGAAGTTTTAAAAAAAAAAGTACAGATCAAGCCTTTCAAATAATAAAAAGTTTGTTTAAACTATATACAATGAGCAAACACAACCCTAAAAATAAAGCAAGCAAAGAGTTAGATCGGTTTTTAATTTCTTACAGAAAGTATTTTACACTTCTTTTATCTGATATAAAATTATTCACCCATAGCTCTATTCTCCATTTGTTAGTGACCTGTTTTTCACTTTTCTGTTTAAAAATCCAGCTGTTTTAAGAGTTCTGTCTTTGGAAAGTTAATTTCCCTTCAGGAATAAATGCAGTCAAATCCAATATCCAGAACACCAGCCCCCCCCCCCAAAAAAAAGTAATAACAAACACAGTCAAAAGTCTTAAATCCGGGCTCGTCGGGACTTCGGCGATTCTGGATTATCATTTTTTTTTCCGGATTATAGATCATCAATTTAAATCTGGTAAGATGGCATGCAGAAATTATGAAATTAAAAATAAGAAACTGTAATTTATGAAATAAAGAACAATTATGATCTAAAGGGTATCAAAACTTGCAAAAAAAAGCTTAATATTTATTTGTTTACTTTATTAAACATTTCTTTCAACGCGCACATACGTAAAGCATACATTACGCATAGTTAAAATTAGAAAATTGCAACCAGAAAACTATTTGATGTGTATTCGGGATATTTATAATGACGAGGAATTTGATTTAAATCATATCAAAGATGGAGTACATCAAGATGAAATACTACATTTAGTAAGGAATTATAAGCCGAATAAAATAAAAACATCTGCCCTGAAGATAACGCAAACGCCTATGCCCATGTGTGAGCGCATTTTGTGTTGACACATGTGCAGAAAGTTTGTATTTAGCTTTGAGGTCCGGATTATAGATCATTCCGGATTAATGACTTTTGACAACAATGTAACAAATGTAAAGTAATAACAAAATCCGCCATTGCAAAGTCTAGGAACAGATAATATAATAACAAAAGGAAGGAGGTATGCAATAAATGTGATTTTCTCGGGGCCATCTGAGATTTCTGCATGTCACTTTTAAATGCCTGCTGGTTAGGAAGTCGCACCATCGTTAATAACAGTGCATTCATTGATATTGTATTGATGTAGCCCAAGCTCACACTTTTGATCCTTGAATAGTTGTGGGGGTGAGCAGGACCGGCACTACACATTTTGCCACCTGATGGTTGCATTATACATTTTGCCACCTCTGGGGATTCTAAATTTTGCTGCCCCCTAAATTCTATTGCCTCAGTGCCTCTTCTAAATACTAAAAATTCAGCCGTCTCTAATTTTTGCTGCTTGGTTGCTCTTTCTAAATTAAAAAATTTTTGACATACCTAAATCCCGATGCCTGGTTGTGGCAGCACCATTGGCACTTGCTCTGACCTTTTGAAGAACTAAGAGCATTTTCTGTCTGATCTAAACAATACATTAAGTTGTGATGTCACTCTCCAAAATCCAGAAGCGTTGGGACTTTGGCAGATATGGGGTTTAAGTCTATCTAGCAAAATAACATCTATAAATTATAAATTTTAAAATATTCTTTATTAACATTTTATCAAGAAGAAAATATTTTTCATAAAGGAAAAAAAAATTTTGAATCACCACCATGTAAAATTAAATCCGAAATGGCAATATTTCCAGGGTTAAAACCATACTACAGCCATCTGCCTTTTCATTACTGTATACTTCCATGTACAAGCCAAGAATTTTTGGAACTTTTCTAAAGCTAAATTACAGGGGTCGGCTTATATACGGATCTGCTAATCGCACAAAAATATTTTCTATTATCCGGACAAGCAGTAAATTGCAAATATCCCTCCTTTTTTCCTCTAGTTCTATTTTTAAGTTTATGGGCAGGGGAATAATTTTAAATGAAATGGGTTATTTGTTTTATGAAAATGAGTTTATTTTCAAAATATTTATAATACCAGTTTGTTGCATTATCGCCACAATCTGATGCTGGTGAAATTTCCTCTCGACCTTTCTCTGTTCTCGAACTTATTTTTCATTTTTGGAGAAATGCTGAGCAGCCATATGGCTGTTAACATTTTCATCAAACGTGATCATCTGTACTTTGAGATTTGCCATATAAAGACTTCTCTCTCTATTCATCTGTTAGACAAAAAGTAAAATGAAACAGAAAATAAGACTAGCATGGATACCAGACAGTATATAAAAGATAACAGATGAATGGGAAAAGTGTACTATCATCAGCTAGGGTTACCAGATTTACAATTATCAACGTTTTAACGTCTGTTTGACCTTACAGTGGTTTGATTGGAAAATATTCTAACTGATTTATTTGCTTGGTTGCATTTTCAGCATTATGGCTGTATGTTTAAATGTTACATGATTTTTTTTCAGACTCATATGTGGGTTTTGAATAGGTAAGTTTTTAAAGAAAAAAAAAAATGCAATCTCAGTTTATGCACACATTTGCTTATATTAGGAAATATATGATAATTAATTGGTTATTGAAGCATTGCCATCACTATGTAAGACTTTAGTTGCATCATCTTCATTTAGCATTTCTTCTTCTACTCCTTTAATTAGAAAATTTTGCTTTTTCTAACAATAATATGCAGAAACTTTCCAATCTGTAGCTGTCATCATCATCATGTTATTTGGTAGCTGGTTATGAATTAATCATTTTTAAAAATATCTGCTAAAATGCCCTTTCATGATCTGGCAATGCCCTACATGTCAGATTTTATATTAAAATATTGCTAGAATTCTTAGATGGTCGTACTGCTTCATCAGTTTTTAGAACGCTACTTTATATCTATATATCAGTGCATGTAAAATTCTGATATCTTTTGGCTGATTGACAGATGTACAGTTTCGGAGAAGGGGTAAAAATTATCATTTACTCAAACTGTTATGTTGATAATTTGATTGTCATTGGCCACAGTGTGGCTCCATAGCCTGAACTCTGTTTGAAAGTGTATAAAAATCTGTTATGGGGAGAGGATCACTTTTATGGCATGCTTGTTTTATCTTGTGTATTATATTCTCTACTTCTCAAATATTATACACTTCGTAAGGGGTAGGGGGAAGAATTTTTTTTTTTTTTTTTTTTTTTTTTTACTACTGTTTGGAGGTCCAGACTTTATACTGTGTGTATAATTTTGATAATAAATTCCCAAAATCACTCGCAGAATAAACTCTGAAATGTAATTCAGTTAACTTTCTTTGAAACTGTAACTCTCAGATATGATTAACAACTGATTCATCCTGGCTCTCAGAGCCATATTATATGTGGTGTGGCATGAGCTTCGGGAAGCTATGGAAAAAATCACTTCTATTTCTTCAAAATTGTGTTATCTTCAATCTTCTGAGAAGTGAAAAACCATCCAATATTGACAAAAACCTGTCACAAAGTTGGCAAGAAATCATCCAGTATCAGCAGCATTCTGACAAAATATGTTGCCAAGGCCATTCGAAACATATTTGCGCAAGTTCCATGTTTCGAACCTTGACCTATTTTTTTACAATTCATATTTATTGAATTCAGGATTAAAAGATCTACAATACTAGGTAATAAACATTTATATAGAAAACAGTGGAATCAAATGAACCATTGCAATTTTAACCTACTCAGTTATATTTTGGAAGACCACATTTTTTTTATTATGATTATGATGTACTGCTATAAATTTCTTTTGCAAAATAGTTAGATTTTTCTCTGTTTGATAAATCCTACTTTTTTTTTTTTTTTTTTTTTTTTTTTTTTTTTAAGGCTTAGATGCATTTTTCACTTTTTTACAATAAAAAGTAAGATAAATTTGTGTACTCAGACAGTATTTTTGAGTAACCATATGAAGCTCTTTAATTATTTTTACTGAATTTATAATAAATTCATTATGCTTGATCAAGGAAATAGTTCCATTTGATCACTGAAAATCAGGGAAGGTAAAACTTGAATTTCATGGGAATCTCTTGTATTTTTATTCTTGTTTATATGCAGGTACTTTATCCATGCAGAATTGCTTAGTGTGCATTTAAATAATTTGTGCATATTTTTAGTATTGTGTACACGTAAAGTATTTTTATTAATCAAAGTCTACAGATGTAGAGAAAGAATTGGTACAGTGAAATCCCTCGTAATTGGCAATATCAAAATAGTTTTGAATTGGCGGTTTTGAAAGTCTGTATTTAAATTCGAAATTAAGGCCTATGACATGGGCCTTAATTTCAAATTTAAGTGTGAAGTCTTAAATGCTGAAATCATTTTTGTTGTTTCTGCTGCTTAATGTTTCAATTAGTGAATCTGAAATCTAAAAATGAGTGACAGATCCCTTTTGTCTGTCCGTGTGTGAACTTTGAAAGCGATGTCCACGATTTTCGGAAACAGTTCACACTAAGAAATTACTTTGTGTCTTTCCTGAAAAGATATAATGAACATTATTTTGCATTGCCATCAATATAAATTGTGGCCTGTGATCATGTTCGTAGATGACAAAGCAAGCAATAAAAACACTTTTGGTTTTTAAAACATGTCTGGTGTTCATGTCAGGCACCTTGGATTTACTTAAATATTCGGGGAAGATTAGTTTTAGTGTGGAGGGTGCTTGAGTGGATGTAGACAATTCTGTTTCCTTAAGTTAAGGATGAAATAATTGAGCATATACTGGAAAATGGTGAAGATAACATGCAGTGCAAGAAAGTGATGGGGAAGGAAGCTGACAAAGCATTGCAGATTTCTTATAGGCTTCCTTTCCTTCGTTGCATACACTGTGAATTGTTAAAACTGTGGCCACAATCTTTTAAGCAAGTAGAACTAAGTTATTATGCTAAGAAATTCGTAATTTTCATCTGATAACAAGTACAGTAATTTTGAAATCCTGTTTAATGTTGTTTTATTTTATTTTATTTATTTATTTATTTTTTATTTTTTCAGAATATAAAATTAAGTTATGTGTTTGAAATGTAAATAATATGTATGATTTTCAATGTTATTTATTTAATTTTGGCGTGATAGATCAAAATCACTACTGATCACTACTTCGCATTTTGGCTTAAATAGAAAACGCTGTTGATCACTGCTTCATGTTTTGGATAATAGGTTTAACACTAAAAAGCACTACTTCATGTGCTACAATTTCTACAAATGGCATCACAAAACATTCAATTACCTGGAAAAATCTCTTAACTGTAATTGGCACAATTCCATTGCTGCCAGTTAAAAGTGATTATATTGTAGTAAATATAGCAGTTTATCTGGTTTTTAGAAGTAATGTTAGTTGGGGACTTGTACATTTTATGTTCTAATTTATTAGTATTTCTTGTTTTCTTATACTGTTTGTGGATGTTGTTGATAGTGTTTGAATTAAATTCCTTTTAGGTATTCACCATTCTTTACTGCATTGTGCAGTTAGAATGGATTAAATAAGAACTGTCTCCTAATTTGTCATTACTAGGCTGAAATAATGTTTCAGTTAGGCATGCATCTTTAGGTACTTTCATGAAACACACAAAATGTACAATTTAGTAGCTTAATTATATGTGTGTGTATGTTAGCATTCCAATTGTGTATTTTTTTTTTTTTTTTCTCTCTTTAGCGTGTTTGCTGGGTATCACATTCCTTATCCAAAACGAGAATTTTTAACAGATGATGAGCAAGAGGATAAATCTGATACAAATAAGGTAAATAATTTTTATTGGCATTGCATGTGCTTTGTATCATAATTCCAAATTCATGTAAAACATCAACAGTTACTGTTGTGCTTATCAGAAATAAATGGTTAAGATGTCACTTTTCTGCTAGCATTCCAAGCTTTTTCTGTTAAATTTCTTTGTGCTGGGTAATGCAGAAGGCTTGCATAGTCGTGTTTCTGTCTTTGAAGGGCCCCGCAGGCATCCAAGTGGTTGAAGAGAGTCAAGTGCCAGTAGTTTGTCCTGAGTTCAAACCCCGTCAAATGAGTTGACCACATGGTTGATTTTTGCTATGTGTAATGTGAATATGAGCTAGTTTTCCTTTGTGTCATCAACAAAGACATCTTCTCTAGGCAGATTGCATTGAGTGCTTTCCCATATTAAATAATAATAAAAAAAAATCTGTACAATCTGCAAGAAAGATCCCTTGACATTTTAAAAAAAAAAACAATTATAGCCATTACCTTTTTCATGGATTAGGCATCTTTCCTTCCTCCAATTTTTACCGCTTCACAGATTCCTTCTTTGGTAGAGTATGGTAATATAGGCAATTGTCTCATCTCCAATTATAATTAATTGTAAAAAATTTCTTTGATTTGCTTTAAGAAGCTGCTAAACTGCTCAGAGCAAGCAGCACATTGCTATTTTTAAACTGCTGAAAGAAATCGGGGTACCCATTGTAAAAGACTTTATGTGGAAAAGGTTTATGTAGAATATTGTTTTAGGTCAGTCCATTCTTCTTTCTTTTTCCTTGTCTTCTATTCTCCTAATAGCAAACTATCCTCTTGGACATAAGTAGTATTTTTTGTTATTAGTTCCATCAGGAGAATCATCTTCTACAGATTTTCCGCTCATGCGAAAGTGGATAATCGATAATCCTGTAACATGTGACCTACTGCTTTTATTTATTTTTCATTTAATTTAGCTATCATTTTATTACATGTTGCAAAGTAAAAGCTACTGAATATTTTATTTTATGAAGCTATCGTTTCTGAATTATAAAACTACTGAAATTTAAATTGGCTAAGTTGAAGAATACTTGGCATACTAAATTTGGCAATGTTCTTGTTAGATAATGATTTTATCGTGGCAACTCCAATTTTATGTTGTTTTGTTATAATTTTATTTGGCAACCTTATTATTATTGATAACCAGAATTAATGTTATGTATCAGCAGTATTGTTTTTTATAATGTTGTTACATGCCTATGGGTTCGTTATGAATTGAATGCACAAGTCCGATGAAAAATTAATAAAATTTATTATTATCACAACAAATAAAACAAAAAAAATGCTTAAATTCCCTCAGATATTCATACAATACCTCAATATCTCACAGTAGTTATCTTTTGAACTACTAAAAACGTTCAGCAAAACTTAATTCAAAACAGAGAAATGTAAAGAAAGCTAATCTGTGAATTTGCTACAGTAAATAACCGCAGTTTTCTAAACAAAAACTCATAAACAACTAACTAATTGAGAGGTTTTCATGCCGCTTATATATATAAGCTTTTTAAATGTATGAGAATGTTCTAGCAATTTCTCGAAATCAAAAAAAGATATTTATTTATTAAATATTAAATGCACACTCTTATATTTTTAATTTTCTGGCTTAGCTTTCTCTTAATATTCATCATGCGTTACACTGCACAGGGAATAAAACAATTTAATTTATAATTCCACTGATATTAGCTATTTAAATATCAAATCCATAACAATATATATAACGTTTAATGTGTGCTATGCTGAGAGTGTGTGCAATGCCGAATTTGCGCAAGTCTGTTATTTTTTAAGTGAAAACAGATCATTCTGTACAAGGGGAGACCAAGAGTAATGTATTCTAAAATATATAGTAATTAAATTTTATTAAGTACCAAAATAGTAACCTTGCAAAATTTTACAAAATGGCAGTAGAAAACGTTGAGAACTAGTAAGAATAGTTTTAAGAGCTGAGATTTTAAGATTTTTCTTAATTCTTTTTCCTGTATGTCTGTGTATGTATAATAGTTCATTTAGTATATGGATATATATATATATATATACTAAAGAGCTAAAACATTATGACCATCTACTCAATAGCATGCTGCACAACACTTCGCCTACAAAACAGCTGCAACTTGTCTTGTCATAGATGTGTTTCCCGTGGTAGATGACTGGAGACAGGTTGTACGAAATGTCTAAGCAGCAGTCATGCAAAGTGGAGATATTCCGACATAGTGTTTGAGCTCTGAACTGCCACTCCGTGACATCCCAAATGTGCTGCATCATGTTTGGAAAGTTAGGTGGTCAGGACGTTAATTGAAATCCATCCTTACTCCAACAGAATTTGAGCCTTGTGACATGAGATATCCTGCTGAAGATTCCATTTCCAATTGGGAAGACAGACATCATGTAAGAAGGCAGCTGGTCCACAGTAATCTTGAGATAGTCTGCAGCTTTCATACTGAGGGTCTCGAAGCTGCCCATGAGAGTGCCCCACAAAGCAAAATACCGCTACCCCCAGCTTGCGTATGACCTGCTGTATAGGAAGGAAGCAACTGTTCACCTAGAAAGGAGTGTATCCTGACAAAACAATCGATTTGATGAATGAGAAATTGCAATTCGCCCAGCCAGGCAATTGTTTTCCACTCATCCATGGTCCAGTCTTGGTGTTCCGTGGCCCACTATAGGCATAGTTAACAATGGCACTTGGTCAGCAGAGGCACATGAGTGAAACATTTGTCACACAGTTCCACATGGAACAGTGTCCGCTGAACTGTGAATTCAAAACACTTGCTCCTGCATTGTATTGGGCAGTCGGCTGAATAACTGTCTGGTGCCGATTTTTCTGTATCAATCGGGCAGTTTCCAACATCCAACACCTTTGTGTCTGCTGCTGATTTCATCATTATTTATCCACTTTGCATAAATACTAACAACAACAGATCATAAACAACCTATCTGTTGTGCATTTTGAGATATACTTGTTCCGAGTCTTTGGGCCATTACAATCTGCCACTTAAATCGTTTCCCATTACTCGCAAATGTAAGAGCAAGAATGATTCCTTACCTTCTCCAACAGCCATTAAATACCATTTCCACTTAATCATGTGCCCTTCACGTCATCCAAATGAGGTCACTGAAAAATGTGGAAGTGGTCATAACGTTTTGTCTCGTCATTGTATATATTACAAATGTGCTGAGTTTGTATAATTTTCTGATATTTCGTAAGCAAAAATAGGTCACTGTGTACATGGGCAGAAAAACAATGCATATAAATTTCAGTTGTTTCATATTTCACTAATAATAGACTCATAAAATAAAAAAATTAAGTACCTTTCACATTCAAATATATGCTAAAATGGTGGGGAAGAGAAATAATTAAAGCAACAACCAATTTTAGAGGCGTCATCTAAAAAATAAATTTATTTGTGATTTAACATTCTTCAAGTGTTAATTAGTTAATGATTGAGTCGGGTTACACTCCCTCTAAAAAGTGAGTGAAATATCTGTTTTATTATTATCATCAAATATGTGATACAGTCAAAAATCTTTAATCTGGACTCGTAGAGACTTCGGCGATTCCGGATTATCAGTTTTTCCAGATTATAGATCATCAATTTAAATCTGGTAAGATGGCATGCAGAAATTATACAATTAAAAACATGAAACTGTAATTTATGAAATAAATGAAATAAAGAGCAATTATGATCTAAAGGGTATCAAAATTTACAAAAAAAAAAAAAAAAAAAAAGCTTAATATTTATTTGTTTGCTTTATTAAACATTTCTCTCAACACGTGCATGCGTAAAGCATACATTACGCATAGTCGAAATTAGAAAATTGCAACCAGAAAACTATTTGATGTGTATTCGTGATATTTATAATGATAAGGAATTTGATTTAAATCACATCAAAGATGAAGTACATCGAGATGAAATACAACATTTAGTAAGGAATTATAAGCCAAATAAAATAAAAACATCTGCCCTGAAGATGAGGATAATGCTGACAGATCAACTTCCAGGTCATTGCATGCCGAGACATTGCCCTTTCATTGCGTGCCCCCCCCCTCCCGCAGAGCAGCATGAAATTGATAGATTTCGGAATGGTTAGAGAAACAAAGGATATGCCTTTATCCATTTTTTTGCAGCAATTCCACTTTTGTTTGATGGACATCGAAACATGCTTTCGCTTTGTAGATCCTTTGGCAGCTCCAGAATCGGAAATTTTTTTTGACATAATCGAAAGTTCGAGCTTACTTAAAGCTTAAATTGCTCTAACGGTCTGCAAAAAATAATAAGCCGGATCCAGTTAGAAGATTAAGGAACAACACAATCTGCAACATTAACTGAAATAGATAATTAGATAATTTTAGCTTAGCTTATACCGTCTGTTATACATTAAACGCGCATGCATAGAGTTATTATGCACATGAGTAAACGCTACGCATGCACAGAAAGTTTGTAGCTTTGAGGTCTGGATTAAAGACTTTTGACTGTATTTATGGGTGATATGCTGTAATCTAGGAATTAACTAATTTTAACCAAATTCTAGTTGGAAATGCAATAATTTACACGAGAACATGTATTTTTTAATTAGTTTCCCTTATGAAGGCATTGATATTTAGATAAATGCTCTATATAAAAGTAAAGTTTATGTATTTGAAGTCTAAAAATATGTTATACTCATTATGAATATAAATGCACAATGCATCTAAAGAATTAGCAAATTGAAAGCACGTTACATTTGTGTGTGTGCGTGAAAACTTGTTCAAACTTATAAGAAAATGAATGCATATTGATCTTTCAGACCAATGCCAACAACAATCAAGGTAATCAAGACAACAATAACCATGGCCCGAGTGCGAAACGTGTGCGCATGGCCCCTCCTATTACCACGACGGCAACATCGTCCTCGCAGGTATTGAAATTAATTTCTTCAAAATTCATTTTAATTTCGGGAAATATTTTTTCAAATATTTATTTAAATGGTTATGTGAATCAATTTAGTTTTATATTAAAGATTTAATTTCACATGCTGAAACCTATGTCGGCATATTCATTTCTTCTAAAGCTTTCATGGACATCCTGCTTGCTAGAGCTTAATGTGAATATTGACAATTTTTGCATGTAAAACTAAGTCATTAATTGTATTATATGTGCAAAGTAAGGCTCAAGATATTATTTATTTTACTTTTTTAAGAAATTTATTTGCAGTTTTTTTTATTCAGGTTGAATTGTTTAGGTATTTGAAAATATCTGATTTTAGGTATTTTTCATATTTTGAAAAATTTGAAAATATATTGGGCCAATAGACTAATTAATGCACAGTAGTATTTTTGATGTTACAACTTAGGGCTGATTGTACTATATTGGGACATTAAAACGAGAATTAAATGAAATATTTTTATAGATTCAAGTAATTTAGTAAGTTAAAAATTCAATAATATATTTCATATAAATGTAAATATAAATTAAAAAATGAAGTAGTAAAAAAATAATACATCATGAAATGTCAAGTTGATCAGTTGCATTGTGTGATTTTATCAAGCACCTGCATCTTTCCGTCATCAAGTTAGTGAAACTGTATTACAATAGTGCCATGTTTGTCTTCTAAGACAGACTTGTTTGGTCACAATTACAGTGGGTCGCACATTCCAAGGGGCTCCCAAATCATTAATTATATTTTTAAAATAATGAACCGGAAGTTCAACTGAGATGGAGCATATTTTATCGATGTGCAACTTTTGTGCAAATGGTTGCCTTAGAAAAATGATGTTCAGCACCACTATTTATGTTCTCAGAAATACAGGTTGCTGTCGATGATAGTGACTGTGAGAGATTGCATTATAATATATTTTCTCAGCTGGTATGATTTTTAGATTTAATGTTTGATATTTTGTGCACAAATCGTAGCAGGCTGAATTTTATGATTATTTTTAAAATCATATTGAACTGAAATATAAATTTTACTGTTGAAATGTGAAATTTTATTACAGTATGAAATTTGAGGTATGAAACTGTTAGGACTTTTGCGATTTTGGAAATTTCTGAGGTTAAGATCATTGATTTAAATCTAAAAAGATTACAAGTAGATAGGAAAGCGTTTGGGATTCACTTATTGTTTAAATCAGATAGATAGAATGCCAACCCCCATCTCTAACAGGACAAGTGAAGGTGCAGCATATTTTAGGGACAGTAAATTTTTTTTTAGAATTATGGAAGGTACTGGTCAGCAGAATCTAGGATCTGCAGAGATTGCACCAAGGGAGGGGGGCAGAATGGGTAGTGCCAATCCTGCCCTGCCCACAAACCACTCAGAAGCAGAAAATATGATCCTGGCCTCCTGGCCCAAAATCAAAGACAATGTGAATTGTCATTAGCCACTCCTTACCCTACATGTCCTGAGCGGTACAGATCCATAGCCAGAGGGTTTTCTCCCCGGTTTGCTGGGTAATGGCCCACTGCAACGGGCTCGCCTATGCGACTGGCAGGAGCAATTGAAGACCAGTGCTACCTGTTGTCGTACCCAGGTGGTGCGCTGCTTCCCTGGAAGGGTAATAGTGGAGGTTGAACCTCCACGAAGTGCCCAAAGGAAGAGTAGACCTGTAATGTGATTCAGTTCACGAGGCGGAGCGCCAAGAACTTACTAACTCCTTACCCTACAGATGTTTGAAAGTGACATGCAGGAATTTCAGTTGGGCAGGATAAAACTGCATTTACAGCATACCTGTTATTTTTTGTTAAGTATTATGTGCTCTATTCCTAGATTTTTATTGGGGGGGAGGACAGAATTTTTTCATTATTTTATTTTGTGGCCAGAGGTCAGGATTTTGGACTTTGTTCTGTATTAGGTTACAAATTTTATTAACCAGAAAAGATGTCATCTGGTTTTTAATCTGAAACTGATAAATCTTCTAATGAAATATCAGCTTTGCATACAAGTAAATTGATATTTATGTAATATACTCAGCTGATACACACTTTCATGATAAGATATAGAAGAAGCAAAATCTAATCATGTACAATTTTTAAATCATAGTCAATGTCAAGAATCCATGCCACACATTGCATATCATCTAATAATTTGTCGTTAAAAACAGAACTGGAAAAGAAATTGTATGTTTTTATACAGCATTTGTTCCTAGTTAAACAGGAACTTAAAATAGGCATTTGAAGGTCGTAGCGATAGTCCCTTCATCTATGATCATTATGTGCATTCTTGTCACTGCAGAGAGTATATTAGATTTTAGCCAATTAGAGAAACTTAATCATCTTCATGGATTCAAGCCGGAAAGCAGAAAATATCATTGAATTGCCTATTTCTGAAATAATAGTCTATAATTAGATATAGTATACTTATATTCAGAATACTTATTTTGTGGTCAAGTCTTGTAGTATTTTGTGGTTTTCTATTTTGGGCTGTATTATGTATGTATTCAATGTCACCGACTTTGTAACTGCATATTTAGCCTTCCATGCCACATGCATGAGGATGTAATTTCTAGAAATGCAGTCTGGCAATGATTTTTAGTTTTTCTAAGTGTGATTTCAGTGGCTGATTTGGCTGGCCACAAGAGAGATGCAAATGCTAACTAGTTTAAGATGTTCCTCCATAAGAGCATCTTTTCTGAATCAAATTCTATCAAATATTTTTTTCTTGATGAATAAACTAACCTAATCCAAAGAAGCACAAGAATACTTCTGATTACTTAATAACTCGTACGGTATTTGGCTTTTACACCATGTCCACAGAAAACCTTTATTTTCTCAACCATTGATCCATTGGTTCTGACAAAAATGCTATAGCTGATGCTGTGACTTACATTTTTGTATTTTTAAATTTAAAATAAATTTGTATAGTATACAAAATCTAATTTTTTATAATTATCTATCTCCCAATCCCTACATTTATGTTTAAGAAAATATTATACACATTATTAAAAAAAAAGTTTGACTTTCATACTACAAACATTGGCTGAGGTATTTAATTTCAAATTTTGTAACATTATGAGTTGGTTGTGTGCGAATACTGAAGCCCACCAGTGTCTTTTAGAACACAAATTCTATAAATCTGTAAATGTCCATTTAGGAAAAATTTATATTGGTAAATATTTTCAAGATAATCTGCATAGAAATGCTCATCATGTAATACCTTAACATCAGAAACCATTTCTTGAACCATGTTATTTTTTTAGTTATGCTCAAATGCAAAAATTTCATTCTTCAATTAGCATATGGTTTTTGAATATGATCTCCAGTTTTTGTCAAATATTTAATATCAGTTTTAGTCATACAGGAGTTGAACTTATTATTTATTTATTTATTTATTTTTATTTATTTATTTATTTTTACAATGAGTACAAAATTTCTGTAATATGAGTATAAGGAATGGAGGAACATGAGAAAGCTTTTGTAATTTTTACGAAAGTGATTTCCTTAAATTTAAAACTGCCAAAATATGAATTTTGGTATATTTTAAAACATTTCTTTGATTTGAAGTATACTGTCAAAAGTCGTTAATCCGGACTCGTCGGGACTTCGGCGATTCCGGATTATAGATCATCAGTTTAAATGTGGTAAGATGGCATGCAGAAATTACAACATTAAAAATATGAAACCGTAATTTATGAAATAAAGAACAATTATGATCTAAGGGTATCAAAATTTACAAAAAAAAAAAAAAAAAAAAAAAAAAACTTAATATTTATTTGTTTACTTTATTAAACATTTCTTTCAATGTAAGTTGTTTAAGTTGCTTCGTTTTATGTGATAATACTTTCTCTTTAATTTTATAAACAGACATAATTTCTTGTTCAGTTACAAAGTTCCGCTGTTCAAGTCCTATAATTGCTGTGTCGAGAATACCAAATAATTTGTCAATCGAAATTTTTTCGTTTTCAATAACCTCTGTCACTTTCTTCACTATCGGAAGTGAATTATAATGACAAGGAACTTGATTTAAATCATATCAAAGACTTAGTACATTGAGATGAAATACTACACTTAGTAAGGAATTATAAGCCAAATAAAATAAAAACATCTGCCCTGAAGATAAGGATAGTGCTGACAGATCAACTTCCAATCCGCGGCGTGAAATTGATAAACAGATTTCGGATTTCAAAACATACTTTCGCTTTGTAGATACAAATTACATATTAGTAAATATATATCGGAAATTCTATTTGACATAATCGAAAGTTCAAGCTTACTTTTATGAAATTGCTCTAACAGTCTGCAAAAAATAATAAGCCGGATCCAATTCGAAGATTAAGGAACAACGCAATCTGCAACATTAACTGAATTAGATAATTTTAGCTTAGCGTATAACTCCGTTACACATTAAACGCGCATGCACACAAACATATTCGCAGCCGTAAAGGTCTTACGCGCTCTCGTAAACGCCTGTGAAGTTTGTAGCTTTGAGGTCCGGATTATAGATCATTCCGGCTTATGGGTGTCCGAATTAACGACTTTTGACTGTATATATTTGATCTGTGATTGCAAAAATAAAGGCCAAATAATGATTTTCATTCACATGTACAATAGCTATAGTTATATGGTTGTCCGTGCTTTAAGCATCTACTAATGAGAATATAAAGTAATTTAATGAAAAGTAGGTCTTGGAAGCATCCATTCATGATGACTAATGGATGTTATATGGTCAGCCAAAACACACTTTACTTTTTCATTTGGTTTTAAAAAGAGAATGACTTATACATTTCACAATGCAATTAAATTAATAGGTTTAATTACTTAGGTAACACATGCTTTTATTATTCATGATACAAACTTGCTAATGAATTCTGTAAAGAGAATTATTTAAACTATTTTTTCCATTAATCCAAGATAAATTATTTGTCTCTAGTCATGATAAAATATTCTGTAGTGTATTAATTATCATATCCATAATAGTAAATTAATTATCATATCCATTTTAAATAAAAGCTTATTTATAACTTTTTTAATTGAATTTTATTTTATTTTTTTTTGGGGGGGGGAAGGTGGAGCTCAGTTACACATTATCAGTGATGAAATTTTCAGTCATTACTAAACTACAAGCCATAAATTACAAAAAAAAAAAAAAAAAAATAAATAAATAAATAAAATAAAAAAAATAAATAAATAAATAAAAAATAAAAAAAAAATTAAAAAATAAAGAAAAATAACTGAATGTCATTTGGAGAATCACGAAATCGTTTTGAATATTCAGTATCAGAAAGTGGATGCTATAGCAGTATTATAACAACCACTTGAAAACTAAAATATACCAATCAAATATCACAATTCATCATTAAGTGAGTCAAAATGGAAATTTTGTCATTAAGTGCACAAAGAAAATGCCAAACTCAAAGCAATTTTTTTTTCAAACGCTTTTTCCTTCCATCTATTTCAGAGTGCAACACATTTTTTTAAAGAAATGTTTAAAATCACTCAATGTTTTTGATAACTTTTGTTTTAGGAAAGAGTGAAAAGTTAGTTTAATAATGTATGAAAATTTGAAAACTTTACATAGGATATATTTTTAGACATTGAAATTTAAAAAAGGATTAATGTCAAATAGGCTAAAAAAATTGAGCGATTTTTCAAAAATTCGCCCAAAAACTAAGCTACAATTTTCATTGAATAGATTTCTTTTTACTGTATTCGCTGATGAAAAGAGTAAATTTCTGACATGCTTATTTACATTCATTAAATGAAGATACATTTAAAAAATGGTTCAAACATCAAATGAATGAAAAAAAATCAAAATCACATTTCTGAAAAAAAAAAAAAAAAAAGACACTTTGCCACATTGCATTACTTTTGACCAACAGTGTTTGTACAAAATTTGAACTCGGTAGCTTATCAGTACGTCGCGGCGCGCAATGAATGGAAGTTGATCTGTCAGCACTATCCTTATTTTCAGGGCAGATGCTTTTATTTTATTCAGATCATAATTTCTTACTAAATGTAATATTTCATCTTGATGTACTCCGTGTTTGATATGATTTAAATCAAATTCTTCGTCATTATAAATATCACAAATACACGTGAAATAGTTTTCTGGTTGCAATTTTCTAATTTCGACTATGCATAATGTATGCTTTACGCATGTGCGCATTGAAAGAAATGTTTAATAAAGTAAATAAATAAATATTAAGCTATTTTTTTTGGTGAAATTTGATACCCTTTATATCATAATTGCTCTTTATTTCAGAAATTACGGTTTCATATTTTTAATTTTATAATTTCTGCATGCCATCTTACCAGATTTAAACTGATGATCTATAATCCGGAAAAACTGATAATTCGTAATCGCGAAGTCCCGACGAGTCCGGAGTAAAGACTTTTGACTGTACATAGCATTTTATTTCAAGCAGTACTGAATATTAGAGTGGGGGGAAAGGTGAAAACTTAATTTTTTTGTGTTTTAATAAACTGGCAGGCAAAAAAGTCTGTACCACTGTACCGTATTAAGTTTTAAAAAAAATCTAGCAGTTGTCTATCAGTATTTGTATTTATTATCCAAGACATAACACATTTTATTAAAAATTGCTGCAAATACTTAACATGAATCTTAAAGTGTTAGATTTTGATCTAGTGCTTTTATTTTCAGTCTCACATGGGAGGTGGAGGAGTACAACAGTCGCAGTCCTCCATGAATTTCAACACAGGAGCAGGAAATCCGCAACAGAGTGGAACTGGTGGCTTCCCTCAACACTTCTAGGCAAGATTATAAAATTAATTGTTCAAATAGGAATTACAATTTCATGATGTGCATTTTTCAAATCATGCATTGCTCATTGTTTGTAATTACTCATCATATAAATAAATTTTTCTTAAAAAAATGAACAGAAAGCCTACAGATTTGTAGGGTTATATTGTTTCTCTGCTTAATTTCTTCCACCCAGGGCGCTTATTCTACGATCGCTGACCCATTGACTACTTGCGCGAACTTGAAAAAAACCCGGTCTCTTCTCCCGCATTCAACGTATCGGAGAAAACCATTCTGTGTTCCTCGGTTGACACGCGGCCGAGTCCACTTGACTGTATTGAAAGGGGACAAGGTTTCGAGGAGCTTTAGACCAATCACAGCACAGAGAAGTGATGCAATTTATAGCGCGTGCCGGCTGAATTTCTATGAATGTTCTCCCATCATTTCGCTCTCACACTGCATTTGTAGTGGGGGAAAAAAAAAATGGCACTAAAAAGTATAATGACTAAAACGCAGCAGAATATGCTGCTTTGTTACATGGAAGAAAATCCCATTTTTTTTAGAGGAAAGTTGACTCAGGACTTCACAGCTAAGAATAAAAGAGAGATGAGGGACGTGATTGCGTACAATCTAAACGCACAAGGAGGATGTACCAAAACAACAGAAAAATGCATAAGAGTAAGTGAAATAAGCTTACTTAAAATCTTTTTTAAAAAGAGGCAATTTTAAATATTTAAATTTATAATCTGATTAATTTGCATTGCAATCTAACTGCAAACTGTTTTTTTTTTTTTTTTTTTTCCCATGCACACATTAAAACTGCTATTTATTTACAGTTAATATCAGAAAAATATTTCTAGCTTTTATTTTTTTTTTTTTTTTTTTTTTTTTTCTAAGAAAATTATTTATTTATGTAAAAGAAATAAAATTTATTTGCTCCTTACAGTATGCTGCTGCATTTAGCTATTACAAATGTATTAAAATATTTTATTTTAAATAATTTACCTTATAATTAACATGATAGAAAATAATTTTTCAATATAAAATATGTAACCAAAATTATAATCATCTATTCTATATAAGTGATTTATTTGTATTGTAATTTTTGTCATTACTAATATGCATATATCAATAATACTTTTTTAAAAATATTACTTTACTGTTATTTTAATTTCTTATACATATATAAGAACTGCTTGTTTTAAATATTCTTCCTTCTCAAAAGAATTTAATTCTGTGAAAGTAATTAAAAGGTAGTAATATTCTTTTCACATTGGAAGTACTAAAGTAACAACAATAAACACAGACCTCCTACAGTTGAAGAAATTCCTTGTCAAATTCTTTAAAAATATTCATGTAAATGTTGACTCTACTTACTTTAGTATGTCCAACATTAGTTCTTTATTCTATACTAAAAATAAAAACTCACCTTATATAAAGAATTTGAACTCATGTATTTCCTGTTCTTTTTTTTTTTTTTTTTTAATTAGACATGGATTGATTGGAAATGTTCCACAAAAAAAGGCAAGCAGCCGAAATAACAGTTTCACACAAAAAAAAAAAAAAAAAAAAAAAAGACTGGAGGAGGACTACCTTGTGCAAAGGAATTGAGCGATCTAGAAAAAAGATTGCTGAATTTAATTGGAAATACCTCCGTTAAAGGAATGGAAGGCATCAATGACCCTGCCATTGAAGAAGAATCTGTAAGTGTTTTAAATTCTGTTTAATAACTTTATGTTGTTAGGTAAATATTGCTATGTGTTTAATCAACATATGATTTGAGTTACCTTGAAAGAAATGTTTGAAAAACGGAATGCTTATAGATATTGTTTAGCTAAAAATATCTTAATTAATCTCATAATGCATATTTTTACTCCACCTGGAAACAATACAAAAACAAAATTTACATTATTTGAAAATGAATAACTTTAATGTGCATTTCCCCAAACAGTTATATAAAGAAAGCCCAATAGTATCCAAGAAGTTAAAACCAAAAATAATAATTCCTTTGAAGTTCTAGTCACTGTATAGGCTAGTTGCATGATGGTTTTGTGATATGTTTGATGTGTAACATAAATGCACAACTAATTTTTTTAGAAACGCTCTAAATTTATTTCAGTATTATTTCCTAAATTAATATTTGTTATAGCATAATGTTACAGTGTTATTACTTAAAAGATTATTTTTATTGAATTCAGAATTTATAAGGAATAAATATATATAGAATGCCATGGAAGTCAGAAATATATTTTCCAATATATATGAGTTTTTTAGTAAAAATTAGCAACACACATTTTCTGTTACAACACAATGTACATGAAATTAGAGTATCAGTGAATTGATTACCTTTCAAACAATAATTTGTTAGAAGAAAAAACAGCATTTTAAAATTTTATAAAAAATTTGAAGTTCATGTAAGTTACAATTTCATTGCTGTAACTAAAGATGCAAGAAATTCAATGTATATATATATATAATACTCTAAATATTAATGCGTATTTTTTTCTTAGCATTATTGAAATGTGTTAAGGAGGAAAAACATGACATTTAGAAAATTTTTCTTTTGCTGCCAAACTCAATTTAGCATACCGCTGCAGAGACTTTCCAGAGCACCAACAGTTTCATGGAGCCTCCACGAAAAAAATTAAAACATGCAGCAGAGGCTGCATTAGACAAGATAGCTGCAGCACAGTCATCAATGGAGGAGAAAATTGATGAGTTAAATCAAAATATTGTAAACATGACAGCAGCAATCAGTGAGCTGTCATGTTCTATGAAGAACTCTGCAAATGATATGAAATCTGCAGTAGCAGAATTAACCAAAACAATTAATAATTCTTGCCAATTAATGTTTGCAGCACTTGATAGAAATTATCATAACAAATAAAAAAATTCAGTTTGAAAAAATATATGTTAATTATTATATATAACAGTGTGACATAATTTTTGAATAATCCATATGTTTCTGCTAGAGCTGTAGCTCTCCTTATTTCAACCTGTAAATAGAAATAACTTATTATAAATTATACTGAAAAATTATTTTAAAAATACAGGGGATAAAATAGAGTTAAATTATCTCAAATTTTCGCTTTTATTAGCTTTTAATTATATGCTATTGCTTTATAGATTTTATTTTAGTTTATAGATTGTTTTATTTATTACCAATTGAGGTGAGAAACATATTAAGAAATTAGTACTTAAATTAATTAGAGTTTTCAGATAAGTTTTCAGTTAGTTAGGAGCTTAAACAACGTACTAAAATAGTTGGTTATTAAATCACATTGTATTTAGAGTGCTCTTGCATGTGAAGTGCCTCTTTCAATTTCTGAAGGAATTTCTTCACTTTCCACAAGTGCTGAATCTGGCAGCCCATGAGCTTTGCACATGTTATGTAGGACTACACAGGCGTTTATTATTTTTCCTGCTACTTGTGGTCTGTAATGCAAAACTTTTTCTCCTAGCAGACACTTGAAAAAAAAAAAAAAAAAAAAAATATTGGAATAACTATTTAATATATTCTGACTTAACATTATATAATACTGTACACTAAAAAGTATTTTAAATTATTTAATACTCTTTATTACCTAAATCTTGATTTTAAGACTCCAAAGCATCTCTCTATCACATTCCTTGTTTTGCACAAAGCAACATTATATCTTTGATCAGGAGAATTTTCTAATGAATCCAGTCGTGGAGTTAATAAACCTTCCTCAAGAGGATAACCACTATCTCCTTCATAAAATTAGGAATTCAAAATAAGATAGAAGTAAAATATTTCACAAAAGAAAAAAAAAAAAAAAAAAAAATAGAAATACATAGCTAAAGTTTGGCATACTAGCAAACACTAATTGAAAACTACCTGCTACTATAATTTTAGGTTCAATGCCATTTTGTAACACATAAAAAATTTCAAATTGGAACAGAAATTAGGCAATGTAAAATTAAAAATTAAGGGGGGGGAGAAACATCATCAGATTTATTTGCTCCTTTCTCAGCAGCAGACTTCTTTCTTCAGTTGTACCTCTGTCTGAAACTGATATCAATTTCTTCAAAATCTATGCCAAACACATATTGCTTTTCGCCTAATTTTAAATATTAAAAATTCTTCAAAATAATGAAACATTTTATTACTTTACATACATTTTACATATTTCTTTATATGATAATTATAACTGTTTATATAGCCAGAATTATTTAACATAAACTGTTATCATCATTCATTGGTTCAGTCTTTGCTTTAGACCATTTATCTCTATGAACATTTTCAGAAAAACTTTTCATGTAGTAATATTAAAATTCTGGGAGTTAAGGTATCCCAAAATTTTATTTACAGTGCATTTATATCATAAACTAATAACAACTAACAAATGGTGATTAATTTAATTCTATGCATATACTGTACTGCATAGCTGTACTTCAAAGAAATTCAAGCATATGTGTGTGTATACACACACACACACATATGTATATAAGTACCTAACAGCCAAGTAGTATTTTCAGCCGATGATATTTCTTGCATTATTCTTCTGACAGCTGATGTCCTCCATATGAAAGCATCATGTGTTGATCCAGGAAACTTAGCATTGCAACTGATAATTTTTTGGTTTGCATCACATATCTGAAAGATAATTGTATAAAAAAAAAATTTAAAGATAATTTTTGTTTGTATAGAAATTTGAATACTTCAAAAAATGGAGGGGGGAAAAACCTAGAAACAGAAATAAGTAATCGTACTGCATTTAATATTCAGCAACAAAAATTAATTTTTTTAAGTATCACATTGCTGTGTTACAAATTTATATTTTTAAGAAATGGTTAAAAAGTAATATATCGTAAATACCATTTGCACGTTTATAGAATGACTGTAATGCCTATTAACAAAAATGTGCTCAGGACAAGTGCTGTCATTACGTGGAGGTGCCACTATTTTCACATGAGTGCAGTCTATTGCCCCAATTACACCAGGAAAACCAGCCAGTCGCATAAAATCAGTTTTCAGTTCTTGCTGCTGTCTAGGAAAGGAAATATTCATAATCAATTTATAACAATTGAATAATTGATTATAATTAAAGCTTTTCAGGTATACTGCATAGAAAGTAAATTTTAGGTGCATATTTTATATATGTACACAAATTATTTTAGAAGCATTGGCAGGTGGTTTATTATGGCCCTTAGCCTCTATATTATACCCAAGAAAACTCTGAAAGTATGCATACAGCTCTACTTTATGTTTCTTCTACTTTTTCAGTTTAGAGAACCTAAAGCAAGGTTTTATTTAAAATAATGCAACTGGTTATACATACCTTGAAGTTTTTGGAAATTTTATCCATTTTCTGAGTAATTTTCTGTTGAATAGCAGCAGCAGCAACATGTGAAACTGCTCTACTAGCAGTAGGCTGGCTGACTTGGAGGCAGAATTCATTTGCTATAGACTGCTGGTTATGAACCACATGCAAAAAACCGTAAGGCACAAAGTACCTGAAATTATGACAGTTATTTTTTACTTATGCAATGATATATAAAACTAGCAATCTGATAATACTATATATTAATCTTACACATACATATAAATATATAGGATCTAAGAAATCCAATGAATTTAAGTCGATAGTAGATGTGATTGTCTTGTTATACAAAGTAATTTAAAGGAAATGTTTTGTATGAGATATTATTCATGTTAACTTATATATCAATAGTTTCAACAAACTATTGCATACAACTAAGTGCATAGTGTGAGTAGCTGTCACTAACATCTGCCAAATGGAAAATCCATGGCTTAAATCGTAGCATAAACACAGTTGAAAACATGTCAATACTAAATTTCAATACAATCAATTTAATGCCCGTCCACAGCATTTCTGCCACTAAGTGACAAGCAGCCCAGTAAAATGAAAAAGAATGAAAATGAGAATTAAAACTAGCATCAAAAAGAGTTGTCAAACAGCAAAATGTGCAAATTGACAGCTGTGCAGATGGATAGAAAGACATCAATTATAAATTGCCTATTATGTGTGCATGTGATTGTCAAATTATATTAAAAGTATGAGAGAATTAGTACTTCTGTATGAGATGATAAATGCTGGAGCAGCATTTAACACTTTGACACATTAAATGGAAAACTCTAATAATAATCAGTATCTCTTTTACTTAAACAGTTTTTTTTTTTTAAACTTTTTTTTTATTTTGCAAAGAAACAGTTATTTGTTAATACTAATAGACCAAAAAATACTATTTTATGAAAAAAAAAAAAACCCTCAGTTTTATAGCATTGTTACTTTATAACATAATGCAATAATAATGCAGTATCATTCTGCTAATAAATTTTAGCACCTAACTATAAGTTACACAGTTATAAATTGGGTATAAAAACATTTATTACCCAGCTATGATTTAAAAAAAATTAAATAATACAACTCAAAAAGTTTAAAAATTTACTTAAATTTCTATCATAACTGTTAGTAGATTATATGTCAAATAATCATTATGGCTTTTAACACTGAGAGGGGCTTTAAAATCATGTCTCTCTGTGTTAAAAATTTTAATAATTTCATTTCATATTTTTCCTTTGTGAAAACAAGGAATTTAATTCAAAAATAGAGTGACCATTTATTTTCATATGGCAATTCAATATGCACCGTTTCTCAAAACAATTATGAAGGGCATGAATTAAAATTTGTTATCAGTATTTCAATTTAAATAAAATATATTTATTATTAACAACAAATTTTAAATCGTAATAAATTACGCAAGTGATTATAATTTATGAAAGTATCACACTACATACAAAAATTTAAGTTTTACATATTTTTTTAAAATTTTTATTTTACAATGGTGTGAATGTCAAATAATAATAATGAATGACATTCCTTTTTTTTGTGTTCACAATATTGTTCGTAAGAGATTTCACTGTTGTATTTTCAAATAAACTTAATTCTTGCTGTACATAAATCGAGTAGACTCTTCTCGGATGTTTATATTATTATTAATTGATAAAAGATTTTGTACTAGAGAAATACTTTATGAAAAAATTGAAGAAATATCGTCTTCTACATTTTTAAACTATATAATTGCAATATATATATATATTACTTCAGGAAAAGTATAAATAACTTACCTTTCTTTCAGTAGAAATTGCGTTCCTGTTTTCTGAATGCGGCTCCAAATATTCCCTCAATTCATCGCAAACTGAAATTACTAGAAATTTTGGCAATCTGAAATATGTAATGAACACATCTTCTGGCAGAGAAAAAGCGTCATCATATTTTCTATAAATTCGCCGCCGATTCAGAGATCTACGACCGTATTCTTCATTTAAATATGAAAAAATCAGCGGCGAAAACGCATACAAAGCCATTGTCTACTTAGTAAGTCAACTGCACAACCCTGATTGACGACGTTGCGGCAACACTTTTTTGCGCGCTTTTGGCAACTTCCGTACTCAGAGAATATAGGATGTTGGGCAGACCTGTTTTTCACTAGCAGCGACCTCTGGCGGGCCACAACTTGCTGTTGACTCTCCTAGCGTAGAATAACCGTCCAGGTTCCATACGGAAGCCTGAACTCAAAACTACAAATAACTGTCTGATCTAAAAGATACATCTTACAAATATAATCGTTTGTAATATTGTTTAACTAGATGCTACACGGCCAGCCTTTGTCTGCCTTTTAAATGTACCGGAAAAATGTCGAAAGGGAACACCAGACATTGAGTTTAAAAACTGCACAGTTTTACTCTGCAGAACAACTTTTTCAAAAAACAAACCCCCCTCCCAAAAGCACAAATTACAATAAAAATGTATTGTATATAAAAACATTACTATGAAATAAACAGTATCCCTTAATACAAACATTACTTATCCTAATAAATAAATTAACCAACTTCCTGTTGCAAAATCTTAAGAATTCAACTGGTATAACGGAAGCTAAAAACTTTGTTTCCTAAAATCATCCTGCAAAACTTTTCAGTATCTTAAAGAGTGAAATAAGCAATAAATAATGTGAAAGATACACAAAAAACAAAAAAATCTGAAAAGGAAAGTATTATTAATAATATTTTATATCATATTTGCAACAGTCAGCAGTCCATTATACCAAGCATTGAATGACAACCTGTTGCCAAAAACCACATTTCTAAAGGAATGAAACATGAATTAACTAATAACGTATTATAACATATTTTTTCTTCAATATAACTAAAACATCTTGCGAGTTAATAATTAAGACAATTAACTGGGACAAACACCAATTTATTAATGAAGTAACACATACAAAAGAATAAAAGAGAGGGATTTTGTAAATTACATTGTCTGCACTTAAGAGTTCAACTCCCAACTAAAGTTTTGTGTTTCACATGGCCTGTAAAAAGGAAAATGATTGTTTATATTAGGGCAAATCTTGCATCAGGTGACCTAGAACAGATGCTCTGTTTGAAGAATGACTGATGCCATCTGTTACAATGTTGAATGTATTGAATTATGTTGGTCACTGGATTTTCCAATTTCAGAAACTTGTTGATTTGTGGTCACAACTGTTCAATGTCTTTTGGAACAAATTAAGCATTGCACCATAAACTCTTACAATGTTCCACCTAATGCCCAGTTCTAAAATAAGTATAACAGGCCTTTTCATTACATATGATGCCCTGTTTTTCTTTGAGAATAATTCTTTATGTTAAAAAAGTCTTCAATTTCATTAGTTTTTATGCTAAAAAGTTGTTTAATTTCATTAGGTTTATTGCAAAATATGCAGTTTTACTTCATTTAATTTTGCATCCCTTTTTTTCACTTGAAAACCAATTGTAAGAACCAGTGTTTCCTTTATTGTTAATTTCCTATTTTCTTTATATAATCCAGATGTAAGCATTTTATATCCTAACTTAGCAAGTAAGTTACCAATTTCATTGTAATGTGCAAACCTTTTAATTGGGGAAATACTTTCGAAACAAATCTAGGATTCAGTCATGCACATAATAGTATGATATGTAATTTTCAATACATAAAAATGCAACACATCAATACATTTTTAAACCCAATAACAACCTTATATCCAATAATAGAAATTCTTTTTAGAAACATCAAAAGGAAAAAGGCAAAATAATTCTATTTTTAAGAGCCGTACACTTTCAATCAGATGACAGTTGTCATTAGTTTATTTCGGTGAAAATTAAGTAAGACTTTTTATTAATTTTATTAAAATATTTTTATCATTAATCCTTTGTGTAAATTTTAATGTAATGAAAATCATTTTGTCACCAAAGTGAAATGCCAATTTTAGTGTGTGTTGGTCTATATATGTACACATGTATGTAAGCAGACATTAATCTAGAAATATTTATTTGCCATATGATAGTAAAAATATAAAAGCTAAGATAATGATTGATGCTTTAATTATGAAATTTTGTACAAAACCAATCATAACTTTTGTTTATAAATTACATAAGCACTGTCCTTTTATTATAAATAAACATCAAAAGAAAGCATAACAGCAACAAAAACAGGTGTATTTAATTATTGATAATGAGAAATGAATGTGCATTCCTGGTTCTGTAAAATAATATAAAAGCTAAGATAATGATTGGTACTTTAATTATGAAATTTCGTACAAAATCGTAACTTTTTATTAGCTTTTGTTTATAAAATGCATATACACTGTCCTTTTATTATTTATAAATAACCATAAAAAAGAAAAGATAACAGCAATAAAAAAGGTGTATTTATTATTGAAAATGAGAAGAAATGAATGTGCAAACCTGGTTCTGTCAATGCAAAGAAAGTTTCAGTAAAAGGTCGCAGTATTCTCTTGCAGTTTGAAATTTAAAATTTTCAACATGTTCCTGTGAAGTACCCCAACATTTCACATATAGACTACGATTCCTTCAGTCTTTCAAAAAGTGCTGTTTCTAAGTGCAAACCCACAACAGTGGATGGACTCTGGATAGAAGTGGAAGAGGAATAGAAATATTAAGAAAAGCACTTCCATTATGAAAAAATCACATTACAGTCCAGGAAAAAAAAATTATCTGTTCAAATATTTAAAAAATACTCTTTACATTTTGGACATTAATTAAACGGCCCCGAAGTCATTCTAAAATTGTGTATAAGCCCTCTGTACAGGACAAACTGGCGACATGGTTGGCTACCATTTGGTATCACCAATGCAGGTCCCCAAGTTTGGCAACATTAGGTCCGATGCCTGAGTAATTGTAACTGGTCAGGTTCCTTTCTATTACAGCTGTATCTGCCCCTATGTAACTGTAACTGTGTATGCCTTCCAGAAGTTTCGAAAAATAGAACATACTAGCAATTTTTGAGGGAAAACTGTGTAAGACGAGAGAGAACATCAGTTTTAGTTCAGAGCACTGAGAGATCACAGGGTGAGCTTTGCTCTTATTTGTGCTTTGTTTTGTCTTGTGTGGTGGCAATTATAGATTGTGCTCTGTTATACTAAGAAGAGTTGTACAAACATTTTTGTGGAAAAAGTTTTAGATCTAAGAAGTTTTTTTAAAAAAAAAATAAATTTCATTAAGTGAACCAAAGCGAAATTAATAGCTATTCTGGGCAAATTGCCAGTTTGGGTTAATAAATGTAATTCTAGGTATCGAATATATAATGGAGATACTTGGATAACCGGCACTTTGCGAACTTCCTGAAATCGCGTTCGGCAATGGGCGATACGCGCCAAACAGTGGGAAGATATTTTAAGCTGCTAGTTCAGATGTTAATTGAGAAAGGGATATTTTCTTTCTATATGTAGATAATTTCCAGGTAGTTAGGTATAATAGGAATGATTCCATGTATAATTGGTACTCCAGATTTACCTAGGTAATTAGATTTACTTATGTAGCTCACTATGGCACTGTATAGTAATGTAGCAATCTCCAGAACGCAAATTTGAAAGAAGTTCGAATTCTTGAAACTAGGGAGTTCGTTTGGGCTAACAGTAAAGAAATCTACTCGCAACAAACCGACCCAGGTTCGGGTCCCGCTCATGCGACGTTGCACTTCTCACTACTGTTAATAGATGCCGACACAAGCAAGCAACATGCCGAAGCTTTACCGAAACACGCGTTCGTTACAGTAACATCAAAGACGAAATATGTCGCGAAAGATTTTCTGCTGTTAACAAGTATGTGGAGGAAAATAACTTACGTTCACAAGCGCTTCTAGTTCTTAGTAAACGAACTAGTGGTAATTACTCAGAATTACAGATCGTGATAGATAAAAGTGTTTTTGAAGAAATTCGTAACGAGGAGGAGGTAGCGATAGTTTGATAGAAAAAATGGAATGATTATTTAGAGGGGAAAAAACGAATTATTGTTATTTAAATATATTTCAGTGGGAAAAACTGTTTCAGAATACGAGTAGATTCGTCACAAAACGTATTAAATCAAGGTGTTGATTAAATACGCACGTTGAGGTTCACTGTCCTGTCCTTTGTTTTAAATCAGTTTCAATCTGGCAATCTATGTTTCCCAACAAAATACCGTCGTTTGAGTTGGCAACTGTCCTCTGTAAAAAGAAAACAAAGATGGATTCTATTGGTGTAAACATAAGGTTCTTTCTGCCGGTTCTGTGTTTTATATGGGCATTATATGGCACATTTCATTATGTCCGGGTTAATGAGAGGAATATGTGTGATATGACTTATATGTTCGAATATCCTGAGTATCTGGTATGTTTATTTTTTCAAATCATTCTGTGTAATGATATTTTTCAGATTAATTCGAATAGCGGAAAAAAAATTTTCACATCTCATTAATTAAAAAAAAAAAAAAAAAAACTGCTATGATTCAAATCGACACATAATGTTCATATTTATTTTTCTCTCTAATTAATTTTAGTTTTTAAGCTTAAATATTTGTTGCAATGCAATACTTTAAAAATCTGCAAAATCTTTGTTGTGCAAATTTTCAACAGCCCATTCTCATTTTTATATCAAACTGTATCCCAATATAAGTGTTACGACCTTTCCGAATGTTTTAAGTGCATGATATAAGTGGGATGATTGTAAATGCTTTCTCTCTTGATTTGAAACATTAAGTAATTACATAGCTTTACCTTAGGTAATTACATATCTTCATCGATAAAAGCGCTTAATGTTAATTGTTCCCTGATTTAAGGGTTTTATTTTAAAATTATAAATAAGCTTGAAAAGCATCGTTTTCTCACTATTATTTTTGGTACTTGTCAAAACTGCTAAAGCTTTGGCCAACATTTCAAATTCCCATATTACAGATTAGGAGACCAAATTTGTCGGTTTCTTGGCGCGGAGGTCGTTTTAATTAGGAAATGTAATAATATTTAATAAGGAAAAAATGTATATATTTAATTTTTCTTATTTGTGTATGATGATCAAAATAAAGTAGTACCTCATGGAAAAGATACATCTGAATGAAGGAAGATCTATATTTAAAGTACAATTCTGTTTATTCTGCTCTCTTTGAATAGGAACCTGCATTTACCCCATATTGAGGGACACTCTATTTAAAAGACATTGAAAAAAAGTTTCAGAAATAATATAGAGTTTGAGAAATAAATAAAAATATAAATACTGTTTGTTAGTTATCTTTTTTTCATAGACAAGTATGTGCCCAATGAAAAATAGTTTTGTGACAAGGGAACACTGAAATGAAAAGTTAATTCCTGTCTTCTGAAAAATGTTTTTCAAGAGGAAGAAGGGGAACAATACATTGGGGAAAAGCAAGTTGTGGTGAGGAAAAGGATATGGGCATTAAATGGTAAAAAAAGGATATTTCACTTTCATAGAATTCAAAATCTAGTTATTTTTGCTATGGTTCTCAGCAGGGAAAAGAAAACAGTGTTAGTAAGTTGTAAGGGAATTCAAGACAGGAATCAATGGGAAAGAAATGGTAGTGAGGTGACTGGTCTACCTGCCAAGGCACAGGGATCTCATTATGTGGATAGAAATAAAACTTCTATCATTCTTAGTTCTTGCTATGTTATTTTTGTGTACCTTCAAACATTAAATAAAAAACTGATATAATTCATGTAGTAGAAATTGAAAAACCAAATAACTCATGTGCTAAAGGGTAGAGAAGAAATAAAATTATTATTGATGTCTAATTCAAATGAGCACCAAGACTGTTAAATTTTGAAATACTGAAACATGTGGTGGTGTGGTGTGGTGTATTTAATTATGGCAAAGCACACTAGGGCTATCTGCCTAAGGGGAGGGATGCCTTTCGTGGAGGACTTTCTAAGGGAAACTGGCTCGTAAACACATGGGGAAAACCACGAAAACGCCCATGCAGCCAGCCCGTTCGCGGGATTAAAACCTCGGACCAAACTACCAATGTTCAGCGTCTTTACCGCTCGGCCGCTGGTGGGCTCCTGAAACATGTGAAAGGGAAACAATATTGTTTGATTGATATTTTTTGTAGGAGCAAACAGTATTCCTGTAAATAAAGTGTTATTGCAAGAAAAGCTAAAAGAAATTTGGGAAATTCTGGGATTGAAAACTTGGGAAAATATATTTCAGGATACTCCTTAGTGAAAACTGGCAATTTTTTTGGTGCCATTCTTGTTTACATGCAATGCCGATCCAAGTAAAGTCCAAAACACACAAAAATTATAAAATAAACTGCTCAATAACTCAATAAACTGTGCTTTAAATCAAAATAAAACAAGAAAATAATATAAAAATGTGTTGAATAAATAATATAAAAATAAATATAATAATAAATAATATAAAAATATGAATGAAAATAATATTAAAAAAATGGAAATACATGTTATCTAACCTGTGTAGTATAGAAAGGAAATATCAGCTTACCTTATTTATAAACTTTTGTGTCATTAGTGTGTCACACACAAAATTTCTTAACAGCATCCAAAAACTGTTTAAAATTATCTGAACTAAAATGTGCATGCTGATGTCAACACATAAATATACAAAAGTAAAAATCAAAAATATCCTCTGTACTGCCGGTGGCATTTCTTTCAAAAGTCCCTTTTTATTACATCCCACATACCTTCCATAGTGTTGATATGAGCTCTGGTTTCCAAATCCTTAAATCTCACTGTGTAATTTACTGAGAGGGGAACAAAGCCATTCAAAGCTTCATTTACACAGCAATCAATCAAAGTTTTCCTTCCCATTCATTCCAAAGCGTACAGAAACTTCAGGTTAATCGTACTACCAGCAGGCAGTTTACAGTGTAAAGAACAAAATAAGCAATGGACTTTCTAACCAACATCCAGTGCATACATAAGCCTTGAGAAATATTTTTCCAATAGTCAAAATAACTGCAGTCACACATTATAACCAACAACATCATAATAGGGTTTCCATAACATTCAATGTAAAATATTCATGTTACCATAAATGAAACAACTATTTGACGACAATCTAAGGGGTACCCTAAAATATAGACTATTCCAAAACTTCAAAGTATCAAATGGTTGGTTAGAAAAATATAAGCAAAGACATAATATTAAGACTATTTGTGGTGAAGAAAAATCAGTAGATATGCAATGTGTAACAGACTGGATAAAAAAAAACTAAAAGAAATTTATGAAGGATATGAGGCTAAAAATATCTACAGTGCGAATGAAACAGAATTATTTTATCCAATTTTGCCTGAGTTCTATGCTTCAAAGAAGAAAAGTGCTCTGATGGTTAAAAGCTCTAAGGAACATATCACTGTGCTGCTTTGCTGTAACATGGAAAGAAAGGTTGAGCAACCACTTGTAATTAGAAAGGCCAAAAACCAAAGCAGCTTCAAACAGATCAGTCCGAAAGCTTTATTGATCCATTGGCATCATAATAAAAAGTCATGGATGGTTTAAAGCATAATGACAGAATGGTAGATTGCTCTTGATGCAACAATGTCTACAGAAAAATAGGAATATTTTGCTATTTCTTGACAATTTATCAACCATTTGATATAGGTGAAATTAGTGTTTTCTCCACCTAATGCAACATTAGGACCTTTGGACCAAAGTATAAACAGAAGCTTTTTTTTTTATTATAGATTGTAGTGTCTTTACAACATGTTCTTTGTCAAGCTGCTTGCAAAAACAGTTATAGGGTTTCAAAATATCTTAATGTTTTGAGTGCTATTCAGTGGACAACAAAGGCTGTTAAATCCATATAACAAAGTTGTGTTCAGTGCTGTTTTGAAAAAGCAGTCTTTATGAATTTTAATCTTGAGTGCTTTCAGTGAAAATACTACTAATGAAAATGAATTGTTTGAACTTGCCAAAATGAGTGGCAGTGCTCAAATGCAAGAATATTTAGAAATCGATGAAAACTCGTGTACTGAAGAAAACAATAACAACATAGAGTCTTTTATCTCAACTGTAGATGGTGATGTGAGCTTTAATAAAAATAATTTGAAAAGCAGTGAAGAAGATGGAAAAGTGATGAAATAAAAGATGAAACATGTGACATAAAAAAAGCTATATAGATGCCTTAAAATACATCTCCCAAATATAGACATTCATGGTAACTGTTGGTGACATTCAAGGACTTGTAACTGTGACTTAAGTATTTATGTAGAAAAAAGTGCTTGCAGTGCATAGACTTTCAAACAACCCCATGTAACAGATTTTCAATAAGTTTCAATATGCTGTTCATTTTGTATATTTTTACAAAAATTAAACATTTTTAATTAAGAATTTTTGTTTTTCATGAACTTCAAATTCAAATACACCTGTGACTATATAGCTTATTTAAATTTTTTATTATGTATGATGAGACACCTCTATTTAAGGGACAAAATGTCTGGTCCAGTGGGTATCTCTTATTGGGAGGTATTACTGTATTTTAAGCATATCATTCTTTATTAGAATTTTGAATAATTACATATAAGCACTTTGCTAGAAACAGAATATTTTTTACATGTTCTTTATGTGAAATTTACAACTGCGTATGATAATTTTTTTTATACCTTATAAATTATAAATTATTTACCACCTTATAAATTATAAATGAGTGAATTTTCAATACCTGTATTGTACTTGAGTCACATGTTACATATCTGCTGTCAGAATAATCATTATCTATTAGAAGTTGAGACTAATATATAGTGAAGACTGGTGTTTGCATTTTGGATAATGGTAACTCTTAAGAGTTGTCATTTTTAATTATAAACTATAAAAACTGATCACAATTAAACAATTAGAGCAGTTCCAGCTTTATACCTCTTCAAAAAACAAAGTAACTGAAGTTCAAGAAAGGAAAATTATTATATTGATTTTTATGTTCCCTTTTTATTCCAAAACTTGCTCATGATGTGATGGGCTTTGGCACACAGTTAACAAAAAAGAACGGAACTACAGTAGACTCCCAATTATCTGTGCCTGCTGCACAAAGGTTTTTTTTTTTTTTTTTTTTTTTTACGAACGTGAAGCAAAGAAAATAAAAGAGTTCACAAAACTGAGAGAAACGTTAAATTTGCTAACATCGTGCTTATTTATGGCAAAAATATCCTAGGCCTTCTCGGAACCTTCCCCCCTGATGAGTACATGGAGGTAGGAAGCTTACCTCCATGGATGAGTAAGTGATTTCTTACTCACCCTTGCAATGCCCGCTCCACCGCCCTCTCTCGTCTTAATCTTGCTGACATGTCCACTTCCTCCCACTCATCATTGTTAGTTTAAGCCTGATAGTGTTTGCGAACCAGTCGGAGTTAATTTCTTATCTTTTATTGTGTTCAGTGCTTGTCCTTTTTGGTTTTGTGTTTTTCGTTACCGATTTAAAATGTCAAGAAAACAATAAGAAGGTTGTGTTGTAGATTTCGCAAAAACCATAATTAATTTCCAAAGTAGCAAACGGCGCTACAAGGCAGCAGATGGAATTGGATTACGGAATCGCAGAAACAGCAGTGCGTGACATTCTAAAGCAAAAAAAGAAACTGGTGAACTTTGCATCAATGTCAGACAGTGCTTCCGCAATGAAAACGTGAAAAACTATGAAGGGTACCTTTGATGAGCTAGACATGGCATTCACAGAGTGGTTAGCTCAAGTTCGAAAAGAGGGTACTCCTGTAAATGGTCCTATCACATTGCGGAAAAGGCAAAAACCTTTTTTGAGTTGTTAGGCCTGAAAGGAAACTTTGATGCGTCTTCTGACTGGTTGACTCGTTTTAAGCAGCGACATGGAATTCGAGAAATTGGACTTATACTAATGGGGAGAATATATTAAGCATAATAAGCTAAAATATTACGCGTTAATTTAAACATTTCCTGCTGTTTATTTTACGTTTTATTGTACATAAAACGATTTTTCAAAGTTTGAATGACTGTTTTCTTATTTGCTATACCTGTTTTTAGTTTTTTTCGGATTATCCGGGGCAGCCGTGCCACCCAATTCTGCAGATAATCGGGAGTGTACTGTACTCTTATATGCGCTTTCAGGTCGCCAAACATTTTTGGCAAGAAACTCCATGGTGCCATATCACTATCTAAATTTTTTTTCTACATTTCAAACTTTAAGCCTAAATTGTCTCCAAAAATGCGGTTTTTGCATGTGCAAAAACCATATTTTGAACACACAATTTAAGCTAAAAAATCTGAAACAAAAACAAAAAAATTAGATAGCAAAAACATAAAGTTTCTAACCAAAAATATTTGACAAGAATCCATGCACACAGCAATATGTTTTAACTTTAAAAAAAAAACTATGAATTGCACAATCTAGGCAGCAAAAGAATCTACGAACTACACACACCTCACTTTAATACATTAACATAACAACAATAAATTTCAAAGAATACCATGTACACAGCATTCTGTTTAAACTTGAAAAAACATCTAGGCATTGTGGACAAATCAACAAAATAAACTAAATAAATTATAAACAATTCAAATAACAACAGAAATTCATAGTTAAAAAAAAATGAACATAACATTCTATGGTTAATCTTTGGATTATGGTAACTTGGCGATTTTTTGGCAACCAACCCTGCTACAGCAACCTGCTAGTTTTGTTTTGGACGCCATTTTGTTTTCACGAAGTAAAGGCTTTTTTTTTTTTTTTTTTACTCAAAATTTTTTTCCAACAATCTGCTAGCCAAATTGCGCTTATCCTAGAACTTTTATGGAACAAAAGGGCTTAATCATGAGGAAGATTAGGTTCAATATTGGGAGAAAGTGCAGAATCGCCCACTGCTTGCCGCGTTTTTAAGAATTGCACATACACGGTATCCATGTACACGTCGACCTATTTTCACTTAAAAAAACATCCCAGAATTGCACAAAAATGGCATTGCGCACACTCTTGACTTTATCCATGTACACTGCTAAAGTCCTAGCTAGTAACCTTTATCACCTTATCAAAATGTCGCCAAACTACCTGTTACCATATTCCAAAGATTAGCCCATTCTACAAAAATAAAAACAATAAAATAAAATGCACTTACCATGATACATACGTGAATAAAATTTCGCCAGTCACACAACATCTGTCAACAAAAGTGCCACGATTTTGCTATATTACATGTCTTTCTGCAATTCAAAATTTCGAAAGTAACAATGAAAACTTCCTTCAAAGTGAACTTACTACACAAAAACCACGATCCAAATCTTAAACTCTGCTGACAGCCCCATACTTGATCAACAACCGTTTCACTGCAAACCCACACAAGTCTATTAGAAATGCCATTCTTCATCTGAGTTCTCATATCAGCTCCGCATTTTGGACACGCCAAACTCCGTTTTAAAAGTTTTGACTCCCACAGAAATTCCAAAAATGCACTTCTATCCGCATAAACACACCTGTGAGCAAAGGACTCATTAACAACTCCGACATCGTACCTTTTAATACTAAATTTACTTTCCACACAATATAAAATACACGACTAAAATCTTGCCACCACGTCTCTAAGTTTCAATGTCAAAAGGGTTGCCATACAAACAGCATCGTCCAACAAACCATCCCATAGCATGGAATCGTGCCACAAACCAGCGCAGGACACGTATCACCACATTTGGTGATCTTAGGGTGGTGCATATAAAAGTAGAGCCAAAAGAACCATGAAATAAAAGGCACACAGTTAACTAAACACAATCATAAACCTCCTGCTGAAGAGGGTACGGTACCTGTTGCCCTCGAAATCAATTAAGGTCTTGACTAAATCTACGGCAAACTCAATGTTGTTGCATTACTGATTTTATGTTTCTCTTGGCATGTAAGTTAAATTTTATTTTTGCATTTGTTTGTCAAAAGTTATTGAAATAAAACACTTCAATCCCTTGCTAAATTGGTAGTGGTATCCCACAGGCAAGAATCTGTGTGATACCGATAGACATTGATGAATATTTCTCCATCAATGTGAAATGAAGATGTATTATGTGCGCATCAGCATGTGGTCAGTGACATTATTCAGAATTTATTTAAGGATATTATTTAAAAATGTATTAAATGAATTTACATCGTGTATGATCCATTAGCATTTTTAGGGATATTTACAACAGTATGAAAATTATGTGTGAAAGTTGAAGTATTTGTTCATCCTTTAACTGGATATTTGTATCTGCAGTTAGGTTTAGTTTTGAACATTTCTTCATTTAGTATGACATATTCTGCATCAAGTAGTTTTGTTACATAAATACTCCAAACAAGGTAATATTAAAATAGAAGTGTGAACAGTTTAGTTCCAAGTTATCTTAATAGAAATTTTCTAATTATAGTGTTTAAATAAAAATTAATATTTGAAATATTTATTGTAGTAATAATTCATTTGGTTTAGTTCATTTTATTTATCATTACCTTCTTTTCGTGCATTTTAATTTCACTTTAAAGATCATTGAATCTATGAACAGTAAAAGTTAACATCTTTCATTTATTTATTTACTAGAAAGATAATTTATATAATTTATCAATTAGTTTATTTTTGCTTAGCTAATTTATATATTTAAATTAAAGATTAGTTAGTTAAAGTTTTAAAGTCTTAATTTAATTAAAGATTTTTGTTTAAATATTTCTATTTAAAAGTATTTATAATCCCATTAATAAAATTTGCAACATTATAATTATGAACTGTAGTAAAACTATTTGTTATTTCTTATATTTTTTTTTTTTTTTTTGGTACTTGCTAATACTCTGCCCAAACCTGAAAAGAATTCACTATGCACGCTATGTGGCTAAAATAGGCAACCGATGACAGTGCCAAAATATATTTATATAGCAACCTCAGAGTATGATGAACAATGTTTATTAATGTTTGTTCTTATAGCATTGAGTGCATTTTTTTTTCTTTTTTGCAAGGGACTGTGGAGTATGCCAGCTGATAAAAACAAAAAGCTTTGCATTTTTTTTCAGAAATATGACAGTTTGTCCAACAGTAGAGAATGCTAAAATTCACTTTCCATGAAGTTGTACTTCATAAACAATCAAATTCTATGGATTATTATATGCTTTAATGCTGTGTACACAGCAATCTGTTTTCGCTGACGAAAACATCAGAGAATTGGGAAAATTCAACATTAAAGCATATAATAATCCATAGAATTTGATTGTTTATGGTACACAGCAAAACCACAGCTTCTGCAATTCAAATTAGTGCAATACTCTGTGTTTCTTTAAATGAAAATATACTACTGTATACACAGAAAGAAAAGCAGATAAAAAAGGATAAGTGTTTTATTATTTTTAATACTGTTAATTGATTGCTATTTTATGTAATTCGTAATGCAACATCATTTTTTAAAATGGCTGTTACGTTTTGTTATGTAGGTTGGCAAAAAATTAGTTGCCAAGGTTACTAAAGTGATTGATAAATAATCCAACTTTTTGGGAGGTTTGAGCAGATAATCAAAAAGTACCTATTTTACTAATATTTAATTTATAATTAAATTTTAAAACTAGAATTTAATTTTTTTATCGATATATTTTACGAGGCCTGTAGATATACTGATTTATTCAGATTAATAGGTCGTCTCCCACTTCCAACCCAGAATAAATTTTCAAAATTGCTATAATTTTTTTTTTCCCTGTTTTCTAGAAAATCCCTTTGAAGTATGAAGTGGCAAGCAAGTTTCCTCGCTATAGTTTATATATTTATGGTGAAGGGTAAGTTGTATTATAATGCAGTAGTCTATAGTCTTTTCATCTTTTTGTATTTTATTTTCAAATAGAAGCATTTCATCTGTAGTATTACGCATATAATGCATTTAGATATTTTACTACCTTTTTGTTTTACAAGCCTTTTTCATACAAATATTAAAAAATATCTGTTATTTTATTTAGCTTATCTTTATATGCATAATTCTGATTATTAAACATACTTTATAATTCTGATTATTTAATTTGATGTGTTAAAATATGCAACTGTTTATCCTCTCCATAGCAACTACTTCTCAAAATAACCTGTGTTTCTAACAATATAAATAAACATCAGTATTAATAATTACAGTGTTGTCTAAAATAACCACTGATGCCTGACTGTGTCAAGCCCATTATGTATTGTTGCATGCGTATGGATTCGTTTGAATTGAATGCATAAGTCCAATGAAAAATGAACAAATTTATTATTATCACAACAAAAATGCTTAAATTTCTTCATATTCGTGCAGTATTACAATATATCACAGAAGTTATCTTTTAACTACTCAAATGTTCAAGAGAACTTAATTCAAAATAGGTAGAGAAAGCTAATCCGCGAATTCGCTATAATTAACAAGAGCAGTTTTCTAAACAAACTCTTAAAACAACAACAAACTGAGTAACTCACTGACTAACTAAATTGAGAGGTTTTCCTCCTTTTTATAAGATTTTTAAATCGCGCGCGAGAACTTTCTGGAACTTTTTCGAAATCAAAAAGAGATATTTATTTATTTAATGTTAAATGCACACGCTCTTGTATTTTTAATCTTCCGGCTTAGCTTTCTTTTAATATTCGCCACGCGCTGCACTGCACTGCACGGCGAATAAAACAATTTTATTTATAATTCAACTAACATTAGCTATTTAAATACCAAATTTGTAACACTATGTATTAAGCCAAATGTTGAAATGTTTAAATTTGTTACCAAATTGAAATATTTTATGTTTTAAATTAATCAGTTATATTTCCTCTCTGACTATAACAGCAAACTGTGATAAAACACATTTCTGAATCATTAGTTTGATTATTTATATTATGTAATTTAACTTACAAATTTAATTCTGCACTTACAATATAGTAGTCTTTAAATAATTTATCACATTCTTGAATTAGTTATGCTAAATATATCACAATACTCAAGTGGCACCAAAACTGCTCATTTTTCATTTGTTCAGTCACGAGAAGAGATTCTGAGCATCGCTCCTTTCACAATTTTATATTGCTGTGCTGTATTCCTGTATAAATTTCACCTTTCTTTCTTCTGTTATAAGAAAATCCCACAATTACAAGTTTTAAAATCAAATTTGAGACAAAAATAATAATTTTTCTATTAAAATCATTGGAATATAACATAACACATACAAAAGTCATGACATTGGTTGTTAAAAATCAACGAATTTTTTTGCCAGAGTTTGGTGTATTCTAAAACTTTGGTGATTTCTACTAAGTGGTTACAATAATATTTAAGTATTCCCTAATTTTAGATAATGGCTACCAGCTATTTTAGCGTGCTCACAAAAGGCTGTAGTCAATAGAAGAAGCTAGGTCAGTTGAACTTCATTTATACACTTTTATACACATTTAGGCATTCCATTAATAAAGAGTTGTAAATGTATACCATAATTTTGGACAAAATTAAATTCTTAATACAGTCAAAAGTCGTTAATTCGGACACCCATAATCTGGAATGATCTATAATCCGGACCTCAAAGCTAAAAACTTTCTGCGCATGCGCCACGTTGGCACATGCGCACAGGCGTTTCACGCGTGCGCGTAAGACCTTGACTACTGCACATATGTGTGTGCGCAAGTGCAGAATACGTTTTCGCCTGCGCGTTTAATGTATAACGGACGGTGTAAGCTAAAATTATCTAATTATCTATTTCAGTTAATGTTAATGATTGCGTTGTTCCTTAATCTTCGAATTGGATCCCGCTTATTATGTTTTGCAGACTGTAAGAGCAATTTTATAAAAGTAAACTTGAACTTTCGATTATGTCAAATAGAATTTCCGATGCTGGAACCTCCAAAGGATCTACAAAACAAAAGTATGTTTCGATGTCCAACAAACAAAAAGTGGAATTGCTGCAAAAAATGGATAAAGACATGAAGAATGTGACAGAGAGGTTAGTGAAAACGAAAAAATTTCGATTGAGAAGTTAGTCGGTATTCTCGGCACAGTAATTAACGGGACTTGAACAGCGGGACTTTGTAACTGAACAAGAAATTATGTGTGTTTATAGAATTAAAAAGAAAGTATTATCACATAAAATGAAGCAACTTAAACAACTTACATTGAAAGAAATGTTTAATAAAGTAAACAAATAAATATTAAGCTTTTTTTTTTTTTTTCTAAATTTTGATACCCTTTAAATCATAATTGTTCTTTATTTCATAAATTACGGTTTCATATTTTTAATTTGTAATTTCTGCATGCCATCTTACCAGATTTAAACTGATGATCTATAATCCGGAAAAATCGATAATCCGGAATCGCCGAGTCAAAAGTCGTTAATCCAGACTCGTCGGGACTTCGGCAATTCCGGATTATAGATCATCAGTTTAAATCTGGTAAGATGGCATGCAGAAATTACAAAATTAAAAATATGAAACCGTAATTTATGAAATAAAGAACAATTATGATCTAAAGGGTATCAAAATTTACAAAACGAAAAAGCTTAATATTTATTTGTTTACTTTATTAAACATTTCTTTCAATGTAAGTTGTTTAAGTTGCTTCATTTCATGTGATAATACTTTCTCTTTAATTCTATTAAACAGACATAATTTCTTGTTTAGTTACTAAGTTCCGCTGTTCAAGTCCTATAATTGCTGTGTCGAGAATACCGACTAATTTGTCAATCAAAATTTTTTGGTTTTCAATAATCTCTGTGTCACTTTCTTCACTATCGGAAGCGAATTATAATGACGAGGAACTTGTTTTAAATCATATCAAAGACGGAGTACATCGAGATGAAATACTACATTTAGTAAAGAATTATAAGCCAAATAAAATAAAAACATCTGCCTTGAAGATAAGGATAGTGCTGACAGATCAACTTCCAATTCATTGCGCGCTGCGGCGTTCTCCCCGCCGAGCAGCGTGAAATTGATAAACATATCTCGGATTTCGAAACATACTTTCGCTTTAGACCCTTTACATATTAGCAAATATATATCGGAAATTCTATTTGATATAATCGAAAGTTCAAGCTTACTTTTATAAAATTGCTCTAACAGACTGCAAAAAATAATAAGCCGGATCTAATTCGAAGATTTAGGAACAACACAGTCTGCAACATTAACTGAATTAGGTAATTTTAGCTTAGCTTATACCATCCGTTATACATTAAACACACATTCGTTAACGTATTTTGCGCATACGCATATTCGCAGCCCTAGAGGTGTTACGCGCATGTGTCAATGCGACGCATGTGCAGAAAGTTTGTAGCTTTGAGGTCCGGATTATGGGTGTCCGAATTAACGACTTTTGACTGTACTGTCATTTCAATAAAAAACACATCTAAATGTATACCTTGTTCTCAGATGGAGGTAGTAATAAGTACCAACTATATATAAATGACTAATATTGGTGGTATTAATAAAATATTACCACACTTCAATATTCATGTGACACTTTCAGTATTCAAGTAGTGCTAAGAAAAGACTTTTGTGGGGTAAATTCATTATACAAATTGATAATCATCAGTTATCATCTTCCCAAAAAGACCAGAGTTGCTTAGAACCATGAATTGTAACTATGGAGAGGTACATTGTGTATATACTGCTTGTTTATAGATAATTGTATTATTCATATACATTATATACTGCATCATTCATAATTGCAATAACTGAATGATTATGTAAATTTAATATATGTATCTACATTATAATGTATTTTGGTTTTTTATTAGGAAATATGCTGAATCACTCAAGTGAGTATTTAAAAAATTTTTTTGTTAAAAAGTCATTTCATGTTATTATTTATAATTATATTACTACTATTTCCTAACTACAATTTGCATATTTTCCATTATTTCTTTCCACCAACCTATATACGAGGAGTGGCTATAGTGCTCCGCTTGCAGGCGAGAGTGCGGCTCTTATGCAAATAAATTATGTGTATGAAATATGGTAAACTGAAACTACCGAGTGCCTAAAAAAATTAATTCATTTTGTTTCTTTTTAGAAAGTTATTATTGAACTTAAATTGCTCAATGTTGAAACATAATTATTTCATTTCTTGTTAGTTAAGAAACTTGATAATATTATTTAAAATAAAAACAAAATCATCAACAACAAACAAATTGCACTGATTTTATCAAACAAATTTTTAAGGGAAATTTTTAAATGTTAGATTTGCTTGTGGATGCTTGTGGATGTGTGATAGATTAACATTTGCAAAGAAAAAAATCATGGAAGAGTTGGAATGTTTAAAAACTGAAGGAAAATACTTTTTACTACATCAACCTATAATTAGAGAAAACAAACACATGGTAAAACTTTGTTTTGTCTTCGATGCATCATCATATGCTGAAGGCAAACTATCATCGAGTGGTCATTTAAAATCAGTGTTTCTTTCTGTCTGAAACCTGTTTCACTCACTAATTTAAAAATAATATAAATGTGGATATAGGGCTTTTGAAAACTCTAATTGTGGCTATCCAACTTTCCTGAATTCTAACACAGGGCGTCGGAGTCGGGCAAATTTTTAGGTATAAGGAGTTGGAGCTGGAGTCGCTAAAAACAGGTAGACTCCGACTTGAGTTTTTGTTGGACAGTTTGAATTTGAAATGAAATTAAAGTGAAATGAAAAGAATTAATGACAAACTGAGTTATTATTTTTATCTATGGACTACATACATTAATGAATATTTATTTTCTATTTTATTGACATATTAATAAATAAATATAGGGAGGAGGATGGATGTGATATTTGTCATTAGTGATTAAACTGATTCGTTTAGTTACTTTAGCTCCGAATCTCACTGGTAAATTTAGGTATGCAGAAGTAGAAGCAAGAACTCCTAAAATTGATGCCATTCTTAGGAAGCGAGCAGGAAAAGGAGCAATTATTGATCAAGCAACGCGATGGAGAAGTACATATTTGATGATATAGAGATTGTTAGAATTAAGAACGTTTTTAGAAGATGCATATAACCCTAATGTTTCACTAACAGAAAGACTGTGGAATGATCTTTCAGAATTGGAAACTCTTCTTTGTACACCGTTTATAACCACAAAAAAAGCTACAATCTGAAGAATTAAGAGGAGGCGAAAAATGGAAGAATGTGATGTTTGTTCTTTCTGAAAGGGGGGTTATTGCAGAAGGAATCATTTTTCAATGAAGAAAAGAGAAACTAGTTTGCTAGACAATGAGATCTTGCTGGGTTCAATATATATAGATCCATACCTGCCAACTTTTACGAATTTTTCGTAATTTTTACGAAAGTGTGTTTGTCTTTACGATTTTACGATCGTAATCCATTTTTTACGATTTTTTTTCCTTTTTCAAGTGTTTTTAGTGATTTTTGTCGAAATTTTAGAATTTTTCGCCAATTCAGCAATTTTTGCCAATTGTATCGTGTTTTACCGCCAACTACCGACTACTTCGAATCCAGTAACCTGCGGTTTCTCCCAACTCGCCGCTTAACCAGCCAATCCAATGCGCTGAACTTGTTTCTCCCACTCTTTTCTTTGTGGGCACCAGATTATTTTTTCGCGTTCGCTTCAGCAGCAAGGGAATTACTCAGCGAGCGTGGATTGACACATTCTCGTAATTTCACACAGTAATGCTGAGTGCGAGAGAGTCTTCAGTGTAGTGAAGAAAAACAAAACTATGTTTCGTTCTTCAATTTCACCAAAAACTCTAGAGGTTTAATCCTAGTATCCGGTGTACACGGGATTTGGCTACTTTTGGCGACTTCATGATGAGCAGTAAAAACGGGACATATACGGTGAGTAGTTAACGGGTCATTCAAAGAAAATATACAGTTAAACATAGTATATAGTATGTATATAATATATATACTATGTGTGTATAATATATATATAGACGTTCTTTGGATCATTTTTGGTGTTGGCGATAATTTTCAAAGTCGCGCCAAGGCTGCACCGTATACTAGGATTTTACCACTCTAGAAAACATTTTAATTGCTAAATGTTATGAGGAAACTAATTGTTATGACAGGAAATTTTCCAAATAATTTTTGGCTAAAGCCAAAAAATGCACTTTAAATTCGTTGCAATAATTTTTTTGTGTAACATTAGGTTCTTGTTTTATGTTTCCTAATAAATTTTTTAGTTACTACTTAATTGAGATTTACTAATGTAAGTGTACAATTTTCTTTTTTCTATTTGTATAAATTGTTATTTTTTTAATATCAAAGCATGATATTAATTCTTCGTGTTCTTCTGAATTTTGGAGAAATCTTCTGAATTTTTATCTTTAGAGGTTGGCAGGTATGTAGATCCCAAACACCAAATTTTGTTGGATGATGAACAAATTAAGAATAAGAAAGCACTCTTTGAACTTTCAATAAGAATTAAATTTTTTTGAGAACAATTGGAGTATTGAAATCAGGACAGTCAAACTGCAGACATTGCAACTGAGTCTCTATCATCCTCTTCCAGTGATGAATTAGATTTTGAGACGTTTTTGGATAATATTGAAAAGGCTAAGGCAAAGCAAATGAAAATAAAGAACCAAGAGCCTTTAGATATAAAAATGAAAAAAAAAAAAAAAAATACAAACAAGATTTCTACACGGCCTTTGAAGAAATTGAGAAATATGACTGCTCTTGCAAGACGCCTCTTTTAGAACTTATAAAATTCTGTCCTGAAAAGTTAAAAGAAGTAGAACCCTAACAGTAACAGCTCTTCCTCCTTCTCAACTCAGTGTGGAAAGACTCTTCTCAGCTCTGAAGTTTATTAAATCAGATCTATGGTCCTTCAACAAAGATCTTGCCGAAGCTATACTGTTTCTTAGAAATAACTTCAGTCAATTTTTCCATTTCATAATAAATGCTAATTAATATAAATAATTTGCTATGTCATCATTTTTTTCTGTAACATCTATTACTTCTTTTATATTAAAAAAAAAAAGCCTTAACCCATGTGTATATGTTTACATATATATATGAGAGAGTAGGAGTCAGAGTCATTAAAATTCCAGGACTCGGAGTCGGTCATTTTCCCTACCGACTCTACAGCCCTCTTCTAACATGCAGCTCTTGCTAGCATTAAGTTTGGCTACTCCTTTATACATAGCTGCTTTATGCATTTATATTTAAAGTTTCTGTACTCAGTTGTTGATTGACTGATAAAAAGTTGATTAGATTTTAGGTACAATTGAACACTAGGAAGTGGAAATTTGTTTACACTGGTGGGACTTTGAGCCCAAGAAACATGCATGAATGATTCCACTAAAGAAGAAAAAGGGCATTTACTGTTTTTATATCCTTTCAACCTAGGGACATATGTAAGGGATGTAATGTATTTGGTTAAAAAATTCAATTGTGAGTTTTCAGTGAATAAGCACACGTTAGGGTCCCCAGAACATATTTTTATGATGGTGTCTGTATGTATGCGATTCTTATTTTTTTTTTTTTACAATAACTGTTATATGAGATTTCCAAAAATTTCCGTTTCCTGTATTTAAGCTTTCTGTATACATAAAAAAAGTTTATTAGATTTTGAATAAAATTACATACCAGAAGATGTACTTAACTTGAAGTTTATAACAGTTTTGAATGGACAACCAGTGGTGGTACTTTACTCGAAGGCCATAATAGCTTTTGCAGCTGTTTAACATAGCATGTTTTGTTTATACAACATGTGGCTATTAATTTCCAGGACTGCTCTAATAACACCAGAACAGATGATGTGAAAAACGTAACCTTTTAATATGTTTCGAAGTAATCCCCATCTGCCGTAACACACTCCTGTGCTTGGCTGTAAAAGTTGTGGAAAAAACTTTTAAAGTCCTCTTTTGGAAGGCTCTTCAATGTCGATGTTGCGTTTTTCTTGATGTCTTCAACATCCACAAAGCATGTTCCTTTCATCACAGTTTTGAGTTTTGGAATGTTCGATCATTCTCTCCAGACTTCGTCCCCGCAGACTTCTTTTTGTTTCCCAAACTCAAAGCTGTGATCATAGGAACATGCTTTGGGGATGTTGAAGACATCAAGAAGAACGTGACGTTAACATTGAAGAGCCTTCCGACAACTTATACAGCCGAACATAAAAGTGTGTTACGGCAGATGGGGATTATTTCGAAACATATTAAAAGGTTATATTTTTCACATCATCTGTTCTGGTTTTATTAGAGCAGTCCTGAAAATTAATTGCCAAACCTTGTATAAACCATAATATATTGTTACAACTGAATGAGCGTTGTTTATTGGTACCTAACTATAGTAGGGATATATGAGGTGTGACACAAAAAATAACGAGACTAGATGTGTGTGGCTTGAAAAATGAGTGGAGTTGGCGACAACTGTTTTGGTGGCACCTCTTCTATCCTGCTTTGACTAACCGTTGACTTTGCTTTGACTAACCGTTGACATGCTTTGATTAGTTTTGACTTAACCGATCATGCCAGTAAGAGTACTGCATCATTGAGTGAACACATGCAACTGCGTTCTGCCAGAAAAACGTCTAATATAAAAACCAAACAGCGAATAAACATCAAGTTTCTTGTGAAGCTTAAGAAGACAGCTAGGGAGAAAACACTTTAAATATTAATCGATGCTTATGGAGATGAAACTTTGTCTGATGCACATATGTTTGAATGGCATAAGCAGTTTTTCAGGGGGAAGGGACAGTGTGGTAGATAATGAACATGCTGGGAGCCTCCTTGGGCGTTCATCATGATTGAATGGATTCCCAATGCTCAGACTGTTAATCAATACCACTACATTGAAGTACTAAAAATACTTCGTGAAAAATTAGGAAAAAGGCCACAGTTGAGGAGGGATGGATGGCTCTTGCACCAAGACAATGCACCCGCTCCCACGGCCCTATCTGTCAAGCAGTTTCTGATTAGCAAAAACATTTCTGTGATGGGGCATCTTCTTTATTCACCTGATTTGGCTCCATTTAACTTTTTTTATTTTGTAAAGTTAAATCTTGCTTAAATGGAACCCATTTTACCTTAGTTGAAGAGGTTCAGGCAAAAACGGAGAACCTCCCGAAGGGCCTTCCAAAAACTTCGTTCGAGAACTGTTACCTGCAATGGCAGCACCGAATGCAGAAGTGTGTAAATGCTGAAGGGACTACTTTGAAGGTGATAATGTCACGAAGAACTGATTCTGTAAGTACAATGATTTATTGGAACTGTCTCGGTTTTTTGTGTCACACCTCGTACATGCAGATACAAAGGAATTCAAGTTGATTGATACTATAGGAATAACATAAAAGAAAATTAAAGTATGGTGTTTGTTTCAAAGTATTTATTTTTAAATATATAAGTGTTTAATTTCATTTAATTAGAAACCAATTAAATAACACGTTATTTGACTGCCCAATAAAATGAGCAAACATTCAGTGATATTGGTATAAATTTAGAAAAAGCAGATTTTATACATGGCAAATTATACTTAATAAAATTCAATCCAAAATTTTATATTGCAGACTTTTCTATTCTTTGGAACCACAAACTAAATTTTGTTTACTAACAGTTCATCAGAAATGCTACTTTACTTAAACTCGTTATTTACTCGTTGTTATTTAATATATGGAATTGGTGGGAAATCATGTGCTGGCCACGTCAGACTTTTTAAATAAATGATATGGAAGCAATCATGTGTATGTGTTTAACTTTTTTATGAATGTTTTAGATGTAATTATTTCTGAGGTATGCCTTGTGTATTCACAGAGCTGGCAACATTCAAGGTAATCCCGTGCTGTTCGTCCCCGGCAATGCTGGCAGTCATCGTCAAGTTCGATCTCTTGCATCTGTTGCTCTGAGGATGGGAAAATCTCTTCAACTGCATATGCATTTTAATTTTTATTCAATAAATTTCAATGAAGTAAGCCATCTTTATGGAATATTTATTTGTAATTAATTTATGTCATTATTTAATATTTTTTACAAAGTCGCCCACCAGCGGCCGAGTGGTAAAGTCGCTGAACACTGGTAGTTCGGTCCGAGGTTCGAATCCCGCAAATGGGCTGGCTGCATGGGGGTTTTCGTGGTTTTCCCCATGTGTAACGTGTATATGAGCCAGTTTTCCTTAGAAAGTCCTCCATGAAGGAATCCCTCCTCTTAGGCAGATAGCCCTCGAGGCTTTGCCGTAAATTAAATAACCTAACCTAACCTTGTGCGAAGTAAAAAGGTATTGTAATCCCAAAAAGTTTCAGGCAGCATATTTCAATGAAAATATCCAGTTCGACCGCTATCGAACGCAATTTAAAGATGTTTTTATGTAACATCTGTACATAAGGACAAAATAAAAGACTGTTTTCCTCAATAATTAAGAGAATTTTTCATTGTGTCTGTACGTACGCATAACAGATAAATGAGTAACCTCAGAACGCTGAAATTTTGTATTAGGACTGCTATAACATGTAGATGTGCACCTCGTATTTTCTTTGCAATCGGCCGCACCAAATATATATAATATATTTATATATATATCCACTCTGTTACACGGCTCAGTGATCTCAGTTTCTTTGCTCTTATATGTTTGTAAATTGTTGATTTTTTGCTTTAAAAATGATTTAATTATATTGTTCTTATCTTCTGGATAAGGTTTTTATGCCTTTAGGAAATCTGCAAGCAATATTTGTAGAATTATCAACAATTTAAAAGCTGTTAAGCATAATTTTTAAATAACATGGCACACATGTTTGTTTACATTTGAAACAGCAGAATAGTAGATTTGTTGCCAGTCTAGAAAGACTAAGTAAAAACAATGGTAACACCATTTATTATTGTGAATTAAATCATGCTTAATCCTTTCTGGAATTTTTTCGAGGAGATAAGTGTTTAAGATTTGCTTCATAATTTTTAATATAGATATTATGAGTTTTTATGTATGAAACATGTTGTTGCGAAGTGAGAACTGAATTGATTGAAGGACAAATACTGAATCGTTTGTGAAAAACTGTTTCTTTTTTGTTTTGCTTGCTTAATTTCTTTTCTATATCATTCTAAATTTATTATAGTATTTTATTAGAACATGTGGCAGTGATTAGATAATTCTTCAAATGATATAAATTTTGTGCATTGTGAGTTATAATATGAGCTGTTAAGTGAACCTAGCGCCAGAGTGCCACTATGGTAAACAAAATATAGTGAATTTTGAAGTGTGCATTTATTCTGTTCTGGTTTATGCGCTGTCGATGAAGTAGATTTAATTCAATCCAATAAGTTTAAATGAAATGCAGAAAAAATGCATTTAAGTTAATATTCCATACAAGGAAGTCATATGGTGTACACATCAGATTTTTTTTATGTTTAGCAAAGTGTTATGTAGCACTCACGAATTATGCCAAAATTCATTTGGTGTTGAAGTAATTTTGATAACAACACAAAAGCTACTACTTTTCATTTTGTTATCATGTTACAATTCATAACATTTAACCCAGTTTTTAAGAATTATTATGTTTTAATCCATAATAACAGTTGAAAATTCAATAAATCTTTATTGCCTTACTTGTAACTCTTCTAAGTTTTTTAGTCCAGCAGGGCAATTTGCCCAAATGGCCTATTAATTCCGCTTTGGCACTTTGCATTGATTCACTATAAATGGTGAACCACTTTTTAAATTGTTGCCCCCCAATATTAGAGCCCTGTATTATATTTAAAGAAATTAAATAATAAAGAATCTGCATAAATGTATGTATGTTTCTCACGTTGTGATAAAACAATGGTATCTAGAGCAATCCAGTTTTGAATAATGTATGTCTCCACCTAAATATGTGCATTTGGAAGCCCAAATTTGGAATTTGTGTTATTATCTATTTCATATTTTGTAAAGTATTTATGAGTTTTTGATTAAGAAACTCAACGATTTGAAAGAAAACAATGACAACACTGTACGAATGGGGGAAAAACGCCCATTTTTATTTCCAGTGCGAGAGACTGTGTATTAGAAATTCTAAAGATATGCTCTTTTAAATGTTTTGCGATATTGATGTTGAATTCAATTGTATGGTTTAAGTGTGAAAAACATGATATTTAATAAGTAGAGGTAACACACAAAACGTTAAAAAAAACTGCCCTTTGAGTGTAATATAGAATCTGAAAACTTTTAGAGTTTTTTGAATGGTGGACATTAGCCATTTTATGCTTTGGCGACGACTCAGGCCAGAAGCTGTGGTCATTTTGTTATGGAGGCACCTAATATGTGGCCGCTGTAAAGGGACAGCTCAGACAATTTACATCCATGGCTTCTCCGGGATTCAAACCCGGGCCCTTCGGAATGGCAGAGTCACTAACCACTTTCTCGTCTGGGCGGCTAATTTTAATTATTAATTATTTTATTTATTTCTTTATACCTGTAATGATTTCTTTTTTAAGGATTGCCATTATGAATTGCAGCAATGAAAAAATTTTTTAGCACTGAAGTGAAGAGAATAAAAATTTATTTACAGTCTTCTTTGGAGCACAGAAAATTAAATGATTTTTGTATTTTATCCACAAAGAGCAACTTAATAACTTAAATATGCATGATGTTGTAAACCAATTCGACAAAGAAAAAGCCAGGAATATATGGTTATGTTGATAGGTTTTATATATTTTTATTTTGCATAATGGTAATGAACTGACTTTTTCTAATTGTGAAACTTTTGTAAAACATTGGCTGTTGCTCTGCTCCCCTTTCCCTATGTATTTTGTCACTTTATTGTTAGTAATCCATCACACTGAATATTTTGGGACAGCTCTGTTTTCGCAGCTGCTATGGCATGTATTGATGCAGACATGCTACACTAGGTTTGGCAATAATTGCATTACTGACTTCATTTATGTTGTATAACAAAAATAGGTACTTTTCATTTTCGCCGGCGCAAATCTCGCCAAACAGACTTTATTGGCGACAACATACAGTATACACATAAAAATATTTCCTAACAAATGTTAGTTCTAAGAATTTATTTTGAAGGCATAAACATTTTAATAGTCGTTTAAAAGTTTTGCAAAAAGCCAATAAATAAAGTCGAGTAAATTTGTAAAAAGACATTTAATTTAAGAATTTACTAGATGCTTTCATGGTTCAACAATCCTGATTCTCCGATTTCATATCACGTGAACCCTAGTGATCTCATCTCATGTAAGCTACGCTACAAAAATATAATTCTCTCATAATTATCTACATTAATTTCAAGTTAAATTTTAATTTGGAATAAAAGTTTAAATACAAGAATTATTTCAATTCGTACGAATAGCTTACTCAGAAATTATGTAAAACTGCAGTGTTTACTTCGCTAGTGCATTCTCGTTAGAATTGATGAATTTAACCCTTGACTTTTCTATATTTTCGCCTTCGGGTGAGCGATGTGGTTGCATCCTAATTGACTTAATTACCGTGAATGGCCTTAGGGCATAAAATTGAACTATCAAGTAAAACTTCTATGTAATTGTATGCCAGTATTGAAAGAAACAACCAATCTGATAAGAAATGGGTGCGATTTGTTTTGAAAATGAGACGTAAAAGGTTACCAGCGAGGATAATCCATTTGGTATCAGTTGTACCATTATTGGCGACTATATCGCCTGCGCCGGCAAAACGGAAAAGTACCCAAAAATAGCATATACAGTACAAAGTCTTTAATCCGGACATCCATAATCCAGAATGATCTATAATCTGGACCTCAAAGCTACAAACTTTCTGCGCATGCGTAGCGTTTACGCATGCACATTTAATGTATAATAGACGGTATAAGCTAGGCTAAAATTATCTAATTATCTATTTCAGTTAATGTTGCAGATTGCATTGTTCCTTAATCTTCTAATTGGATCTGGCTTATTATTTTTTGCAGACTGTTAGAGCAATTTTATAAAAAGTAAATTTGAACTTTCGATTATGTCAAAAAGAGTTTCGCATTCTGGAGCTGCCGAAGGATCTACAAAGCGAAAGCATGTTTCGATGTCCATCAATTAAAAAGTAGAATTGCTGCAAAAAATGGATAAAGGCATGAAGAAAGTGACAGAGAGGTTAGTGAAAATGAAAAAATTTCGATTGACAAGTTAGTCGGTATTCTCGGCACAACAATTACATTACTTGAGCAGCGGAACTGTGTAACTGAACAAGAAATTATGTCTGTTTATAGAATTAAAGAGAAAATATTTGCACATAAAACGAAGCAACTTAAACAACTTACATTGAAAGAAATGTTTAATAAAGTAAACAAATCAATATTAAGCTTTTTCTTTTTGTAAATTTTGATACCCTTTAGATCATAATTGCTCTTTATTTCATAAATTATGGTTTCATATTTTTAATTTTATAATTTCTGCATGCCATCTTACCAGATTTAAATTAATGATCTATAATCCGGAAAAACCCCTAATCCAGAATTGCCGAAGTCCTGATGAGTCCGGATTAAAGACTTTGTACTATATTAAACATTTGTGAGGACTGCGTTCGAAGTTTGATTATGATACTTTTACAATGTATGTGTCTTTTGAATAAATGCATTAATTACATTTTGTGTTGTAAGGCTTTGAAATTGTGGCATTCATTTTGATTTACCATATATATGAAATAACTGGATTTTGACAATAGCCAATGCAAACTGAACTCTTCTCAACTAGGAGAATAATTAAATTTTATTTACAATTATTTACACATAAATGAAAGTATTCCATGATGCACAAATTTTTCATTTTCAATGAGTCTGACACTGGAACTTTGGTTTCAGAGAAAACTTCAAAATACAATATCCGCTCTTTCTCTTTCTATCAACCCAGTTCCTTTCACTTCTTGTTCCATCTTCTCTTGCCAGATTGCATACTCCAATTTATTAGTACAGAAGAGCGACTGACTGCATGGCAGTTCAGAATTAGTTTTTATTATCTTGGTTA